TTTGCGCTTCTCTTTCTTGTTTGGACCACTTGTTACACTGTTTAAAGATGCTGCTGCTTGCAAGACCAGTAGCCTTTAGATGATCAAACAGTTTATTCCCAGATGGAAATTAACTATGGCAGTTGTAGAGCTGATGAGGACATCACCCACTGTTCGTGGTTCGGCAGGTACTTTGACCGATTTTTCCCCCCATCTTTGGTTTTCTTTCCTTTGGATTTAGGAACACTTTCAGCTTCACTCTTGGATCCTCACACACTTCCGTGGTCTCTGCGATGGAGACATTTTCTTGGGGCCTATTTTCTAACTCTTTGGCATTGTCTTCATTTAAGTTAGTATCTTCTAGATCAAACTTTACTCCTTCAGTTCCATTGAAATTGTCATCATAATTCTGGGCTGATTTATGTTTCTTTTTCTTCTGTTTTCTTTTTAGAAAGCTTTTGCTTTGGTAAATCTTCCATTTCTTCCTCAGAATTGGCATTCAATAAATTTTCATTCATTTGAGCTCCTGAAAAATGTTCTTCCTCTTCCTCCAACTGCTGCTTTAACAATGCGACCATTTGTCGATGCAATAATGGGTTTCATGACGACATTTTCACACATGAACATAATGTGGTTTGATCATATTTAACCCTTCCATTACCTTTTGTGGTGGTTTGAATGAGAAATGTTTCCCATAGTCTTGAGCATTTGCACATTTCGTGGCACTGTTTGGGGAGGTCTAGGAGGTGCAGCCTAGCTAGAGGAAATGTGTATGTGTCACTGGAGGAGAGTGTTGAGAGGAAAAAAGACATGCCCATCTGCATTTTGGTCAAGATGTGAGCTGAGTTTCCTGTCCCAAGTGCCTTGCCTCACTGCCATCCCTGCCATCATGGACTATTAGACCTCTGGAGTCCTCAGCCCAAATAAACTCTTTCTTCTATAAGCTGCCTTGATCATCCTGTTTTGTCATGGAACAGAAAAGTAATGTAATGAATACACACTCTTGTTCCTTGCCCACTCTCACTGATTTCCTCCCTCCTTCTAACTAGCCTCACTTCTATCCCCTGCCCCCCAAACCCAATGAATTTCACTAGGGTTGTGTAGTAGCATATTATTTTAAGATGTGTTACTTTTGTTTATGCTGTGGAGCATTTGTTTTAATGAGGCAAAGATGTGTTGCATTCTTTTATGTTACATTTGTTTAACTCTGTGAAGCTGTGTTATTTTTCCTGTCTAAAACACCTGATGGTCTAATAAGGCGTTGAATGGCCAACAGTCAGGCAGGAGATAGGATAGGCGGGGCTGGCAGGTAGAGAGAATGAATAGGAGAAATCTGGGAGAAAAAGAGAAAGAGAACAAAGAGATGAAGATACCAGGGGCTAGCCACACAGCCACACAGCCACACAGCCAGCCATGGAGTAAGAGTGAAAGTAAGATATATAGAAGTAAGAGAAAGGTAAAAGCACAGAGGCAAAAGGTAGATAGGGATAATTTAAGAAAAGTTGGCTAGCAACAAGCCAAGCTAAGGCCAGGTATTTATAATTAAGAATAAGCCTCTCTGTGTGACTTATTTGGGAACTGGGTGGCAGGCCCCCAAAAGAGCAAAGAGCCAAGAAAGCAAAACCAACCAACAACAGGGTTGCTTATAGGAGCATGGACAAGAGGTTACTTATATGAGCATGAGCAATTTACCAGTAGCTACACTACTAAAGAAAATGTCTCTTTTCCCCTGAACAACTGTTAGCTACCTATAAATCCTCAGAGAGGGGTAGGGACCTCATGAGTCCTCTTCCTCTATGACAAGACGTTGATGAGCTCAATCTTGTGTAGGTATTGCAGGGAATCACAGTTGCTGTGAGTTCAAGAGTGCCATGGCCATGCTATGCCCAAAAGACAGCATTCCACAACACTCCACTCTATCCTCTGGCTCTTACATTCTTCCTACCTCCTTTTTCTTGCATGATGTTCCCTGAGCCTTGAATGGAATAATGCAGATGTCATACTTATGGCCAAACATTCAAGAGTCACTAGTCTCAGCACTGTGACCAATTATGAACCTCTGCAGTCACCTCTGGCCACAAGAAGCCTCTCTGATAGAAGCTGATAGTAGCACAACAGTTAACATAGTCATTTGAAGGGCAATTTGATAGACACACCATGTCCACTTAATGAAACAACCGCAGTAGTTTCCCCATGAGATCCTAAGACCTCCTAAGCATGGGCTTTTGACCAGGTTTACAGTACCAAACATGAATTCCTTTATGTGGAAAAAGCTTCAGTTCCAATCAGAAGGAGGTTGGTTACCTCATAACAGACTTGCCACTGTAGCACTACAGCATACATCTTGTCTGGTTGGTTGGTAGTGTGGGGCACCCAGGGTTCATGGCTGTTGATGACAACTCTCTTTCCCCAGCAGCCTGTGTTAGTACTCCTGGCACAAACTATCGTTCAGTTTTCATAGAGAAACCCAAGTCCAGCTTGCAGGAAGTGAAATAAGATGGCTAATTTGGGTTGTCAACTGGATGGAATTTAGAATTACCCTGGAAACAAACCTCTGGGCATGTCAGTGAGGGATTTTCTAGATGAGGTTAACTCAAGAGAGAAGATCCACCCTAAATGTGGACAGTACCATCTCTTGGGCTGGGGCCATGTCGTGTATTGAGAGCAGGGCGAACACAAGCATTCCTTTCTCTCTGCTTCCTGACTGCAGGTGCAATATGACCATGTAGCTAGAGTTTTTCTGCCTGGCCCACAGTCAGGACAAATCTTTGTCACCTGCCAGTCCCACAGTCGCTCAGACCCAACCAAGTAAACACAGAGACTTATATTGCTTACAAACTGTATGGCCGTGGCAGGCTCCTTGCTAACTGTTCTTACAGCTTAAATTAATCCATTTCCATAAATCTATACCTTGCCACGTGGCTCGTGGCTTACCGGCATCTTCACATGCTGCTTGTCCTGGCGGCGGCTGGCAGTGTCTCTGACTCAGCCTTCCACTTCCCAGCTTTATTCTCCTCCTTGTCCCGCCTATACTTCCTGCCTGGCCACTGGCCAATCAGTGATTTATTTATTGACCAATCAGCAACACACTTGACATACAGACCATCCCACAGCATGACCAGGCACTGCTTGCTCCTGCCACCATACCTTTTCCCTAAGGAGATGGACTGTATCGCCTTTGGATTTCAAGCCAAAATAAACTCTTCCTGGAGTTGCTTTTGTGAGGGTATTTTGTTGCAGCGACAAGAATCTTAACTTGGCCTCATTAAATAGAAATGAACTTATTCACTGGGCAGTGGTAGCACATGGTTTTAATTCCAGCACTTGGGAAGCAGAGGCAGGCAGATCTCTGTAAGTTCGAGGCCAGCCTAGTCTACAGAGCTAGTTCTAGGACAGCCATGGTTACACACAGAGAACCTGTCTTGAAAAAACCAAAAACCAAACCAAAAAAAAAAAAAAAAGAAAAAGAAAAAAATGAAGTGAAATTATTCAATTAGTAATGATAAATATAAGAGGTTGAAGCTAGAAAAAAATAAGTAATTTGCCAGATGTCACTCTGAGGACAATTAGGATTCCAAGCCAGATCTGTCTATTGAGAATGTCCCTCTTCTCTCTATCCTACACTACTTCTGGTCGTAGGGAATGCTCCCAATCCTTTTTTGTTTGTTTGTTTGTTTGGTTGGTTGGTTTTGGTTTTGGGAGATAGGGTTTCTCTTGTGTAGCCCTGGCTGTCCTGGAACTAAGTCTGTAGACCATATTGGCCTCGAACTCAGAGATCCACCTGCCTCTGCCTCCCAAGTGCTGGTATTAAAGGCATGTGCCACCACCGCCTAGCTAAATTATTTTATTTTATTTTTTGTTTTGCTTTGTTTTTTCAGGATAGAGTTTCTCTGTGTAGTTTTGGTGCCTGTCCTGGATCTTGCTTGCTCTGTAGCCCAAGCTGGCCTTGAACTCACAGAGATCCACCTGGCTCTGCCTCCTGAGTGCTGGGATTAAAGGCCTGCGCCACCATCACCCGGCAATTTTTTTATTTTATTATCATGTGTGTAGGTGGTGCACACTTGTCATGGCTCATGGAGGTCAGAGGACAACTTTCAGAAGTTGCTTCTCCCCTTCTACTGTTAATTCTTGGGATTGAACTCAGGTCATCAGCCTTGGCAGTGAGCACCTTTGTTTCCATTTTAATAGTTTACTTTCAACGGTTGGTTATCTTCCAAATTTTTTTTATTTTATTATTATTGTGTGTGGTTATAAGTGCATGTGTGTGTGTGCCATGGTGAATGTGTACATGTCAGAGGACAACTTTTGGGAGTTGTGTCTCTTCTTCCACTGTCTTCTGGGAATTGAAGTCAGGTCATTAGGCTTGCATGGCAAACACTTAACAACCTTGAGCCATCTCACTGATACCCAGTAATGAGTTCTCAACACTTTCATGTTCAGTACATTGCTCCGTCATTTTCCTTACTGGTTCAGAGTTTTGCTTTTTGAGATGGCCTCTCTCTATGTAGCTTTTTGGCTGGCTTGGAGCTCATGGTGTAGACCAGGCTGACCTCAGACTCATAGCAATCTACCTGCCTCTGTATACTGAGTGCTGGGACTAAAGGCATGCACCATCATTCATGATAGGTGGTTCAGATGTTTTTTTTTTTAGACAGGGTTTCTCTGTAGTCTTGGTGCCTGTCCTGGATCTCACTCAAGACCAGGCTGGCCTCGAACTCACAGAGATCTCCGCCTGGCTCTGCCTCCCCAGTGCTGGGATTAAAGTGTGCACCACCATGCCAGGCGGTTCAGATGTCTTAAAAGAGAAGATTAATGAAGTGATAGACTGTTCGTCCAACTAGAACTTCTGGCAGACCCTGACGATGCTCTGCTCCATTGCTTTCCTATCGATTCATTTAAAGGCTGGGGGGAAAATAAACAGCAAACAAACTTGTTCATTTCCTTGAATGATTGAATTCAGCCCTTCAATATTCCCAACCAATACATTCTTTTACTTCAACTAAAGTCTAACTTACCGGAATGAGTAGGAGGCCACCCCCTCTGAGAAGAATTATTCCTCTTAGGCTGTTTCAACTTTCATGGGCAGCCAGGTCTGTGGGAGTTCGCTGGCATCCCTTGGAGAGCTCCCAACCAAGCAGTTACAAGTTCATGGATATGAGTCTATGTATGAGTTTTCATCTTAAAACAGTTTGAGGTCATTGCAAACTTTGGTGAAGAAGACATCACACCCTGCAGTGCTGAATTAGCTGTACTCTTGCCTGGAGCCTGCAGGGCCTTCCCAGAACCAGGCATACGGCTAAGGCTTTTAGCGGATAGAAGTTTCACGTGCCACTTAGCACAAATGAAGTATTTAACAAACAGGAGGCGTTATCTCCCATCTTGGATCGTCTCCAAGCCCAAACAAGTGAGATGCCGCATCCGATTCTGCTAGTCCTGGTCCTGGCCTGTCTATATAAAACTGGACAGGGCAATTTTGGAGCCACCATAGATTAGCCTGGATTCAGACTTTGCCATCTCCAGGCTCTGCCATCCCTGGCAAGCATCCTGCTTTCATTTGCATGAAGGGACCAATCACCAGGATTCCTGCCTTACTGGGTCATGGTCACGGGTTAAAGAAATTGTGCACGCAAAATAGCTCATTACCAGGACCCACCACAGCTGGAGAGAAAAGGCAGCTTTGGCGGGAAAGAAGGGGGCGGGCACAGTGCGGCGGAAGGGGTGGGTGCAAGTTCTGTGCTTGGCCCCGCCGGGAGGCAGAACAGCTAACACGACTTTCCTGGAGTCCTCAGAAGGAAACCCGCGCTTGCCCTTAGCAATCCGGGACTTGCACACACGCGGTGAGCAGACTGCCCTGGGACAAGCGCGCCCGGACGCTTTCCGACTTTCCCGGGACACGCCCCGCTCCTCCCCGGAAGGCCGCTCCAGCCGACTTGGCGCGCTTTTGAAGTCCCCGGGCGCTCGGATCTCCGCGGTCGGCGACACGCCCCTTTCGGTGCCGCGGCATGCCTCGGCCGCTCGCTTCGCGGAGGACCCGCGAGGAGGTGGACGCGACGTTGCAGGTCGCCAAGCTGAACGCCGCCGAGCTGCTGCCCACGGTGCACTGTCTGAGCTTCGGTCCCGGCACCAGCGGCGCCGCCTCCGGCGACTTCTGCCTGCTGGAGCTGGACCCCGCACTGTGCCAGCAGCTGGAGGCCGGGCACAGGTGAGCCAGGATGGGTGTGTGGGGGTACCCTGGGCACGCCGATCCCCTCGTGCAAGGCTACCTACCTGTTGCGTTTTGTAGTGTGGGATCTCTGAATGAGGAACTGGTCCAGAGAGTTGCTTTGATTGGGCCAATAGCGGCTCGTGGGCGGATCCCCGGTTTGCTGTCATCTGCCAGGAGGAATCCATGCCTCTCTCTGCTAGACTGACGTATTAGCACGATTCAGCTGAACTTGAGAGAGAGAGAGAGAGAGAGAGAGAGAGAGAGAGAGAGAGAGACTGAGACTGAGACTGAGACTGAGACTGAGACTGAGACTGAGACTGAGACTGAGACTGAGACTGAGACTGAGACTGAGACTGAGACTGAGACTGAGACTCTGCCTATGTGTGATTTGAAGCCAGAGAACAACTCTCGCGAGTTGGTTCCACGTTTGAGGGAGGTAGAATGCCCCTTGTTTCTACAGCTTCACCGAGTACCCTGGCCAGTTCTCGTGTCTCCACCCCCATCTGCCCACAGGAGTGCTGGGTTACAGATGCCCATGAGTCCATCTGGCTTTTCATGTAGGTTTTTACCTGGTGAACTGGCACCTTGGCCTCCCGCTTAATTTATTTATTTATTTATCTATTTATCTATCTATCTATCTATCTATCTATTTATTATTTATTTATTCTTGAACAAGAATTGGAACAAAATGTACCCCTCACTTTTAGTATTGGTTTTTATGAGACAGGGTCTCATGTATCCTAGACTGGCCTCCGCTGGTCTTGTAGCCAAGGGTGACCTTGAACTCCTGATCTTACCTTTCTACTCCTAACACAATGTTTTGAAGTGGGAGTAGTAATAGGATGTAGAAAGAGTAGGTGCTTAGACCCATTGAATCAGTGGTTCTCAACCTTCCTAATGCTGTGACCCTTTAATACAGTACCTCATGCTGTGGTGACCCCCAGCCATTAAAATATTTCATTGTTACTTCATAACTGTAATTTTGCTATGTTATGAATCATAATGTAAATATTTGATATACAGGATATCTGATGTTCAGCCCCCAAAGGGGATCGACCCACAGGTTGAGAACTACTGCATTGAACATTATTGGCACCACGAGTCAAAACACAAACAAACAAACAACACCCCTCTTATTCTTTACACTAACTAAAGGTTTAGTTTTAGAAAAGTCCAGTCTCCTATTTTAGGTTATTTATTGTTTAGTTAAGGGAAGTTGGTTGTGCACAAAAGTATAAAATGCTTTATAGGTAATGAAAACAGAACCAACACCTCAGAATCTCTGTCATCTTCGCCTTTCTCCCCCCTCGTCACCTTAACCTTTTTTAAAAAGACTTATTTATTATTTATTTAACATTTGGGTTTTTCCTGCATGTATGTCTGTATGAAGGTGTCAGATCCCCTAGAAATGGAGTTATAGGCAGTTGGGAATTGCCATATGGGTGCTGGGAATTGAACCCAGGTCCTTTGGAAGAACAGCCAGTACTGTTAACCACTGAGCCATCTCTCCAGCTCCCTCACCTTCACCTTTACAAGATCTTCTTCAGTTGTGGTAAACTCCAGTCTTTAGTCTGGTTTGTAAATAGAATTCTCATGCAGCCTTCCTTTCCCAAGGTCTCTCTGCCACGTAGCCGATGATTAGGCCATGCTGTGAACCTTTGACTGTGCAGAATAAGACAAGGATGCCTTGAGTGGGTACCAGCTGCATCCTTATCCTCTGGGAACTTGTAAGAGATGCAGAATCCCAGGTCTCATCCCGGACCTGAGTGGGTACCAGCTGCATCCTTATCCTCTGGGAACTTGTGAGAGATGCAGAATCCCAGGTCTCATCCCAGACCTACCGTATCCCAGTCTGCCTATCTTCTCCAAGGTGTCTCTGTGTGTATGTTTGAGAAGTAAAGTGCCGCTTTAGCCTGTTTTAGAAGACTGCTGTGGCATTTTCTTTCCCTTTGCTTTTTTGGTTTGTTTGGGGTTTTGGTTTTGTTGTTGTTTTGTTTTTAGAAAGGATCTCAAGTAGATGAGGCTGACCTCAAATCCACCGTGTACTATCTTACTATGTAGCTGAGGATGGCCTTGAACTTCTGATCCCCTTGCCTCCACCTCCCAATTGCTAGAATCACAAGTGAGTGTCACCATTGGCCCTTCAGCCAGCTGCATACCACAGCATCATGACTAAAGCATCTGGGTGCAGTGTCTTCTGGTGTTCTTAGCCTGTCTGTGGTGACATTTGGCCTTCTGGTCTCTTGGAGTCTTTCTTGCCTGTATTTAATTAATTTTCCTTGGTTAGGTACTGGATAGCTAGCTAGCTCTAAGTCCTGGTGTTTTTTTCTGTGGACTCCATTATTGTACCACAGGGGCCTGTATCAGTTTCTTTGCTGTTTTGTGATTCAAAAAAAAAAAAAAAATCAAAACAAACAAAAATCCCACTTTGACCAAGGCAGCATATAGAAGGAAAATTTCATTTGGGCTTATGGTTCCCGATGTTAAGAGTCCATCACTGTGAGAGAGCCTGGTAGCCAGCTGCAGCCATGCAGTGGGAGTAGGAAGCGGAGAGATACATCTTTTATGGCAAGCACAGAGTTGAGAGAGCGAGTTAGAAGGCCAGGTTCTATACTCTCAAAGCTCACCCTCAGTGACACACTTCCTCCCACAAGGCCACACCTCCTAAATCTCCATTGAACCTGGTGGTGGGGGTGGGTGGATTTCTCTTTCTTTCTTTCTTTCTTTCTTTCTTTCTTTCTTTCTTTCTTTTTTTTGGTTTTTCAAGACAGGGTTTCTCTGTGTAGCTTTGGAGCCTATCCTGGAACTCTCCCTGTAGACCAGGCTGGCCTTGAACTCACAGAGATCCGCCTACCTCTGCTTCCCAAGTGCTGGGATTAAAGGTGTGCGCCACCACTGCCCAGCGGATTTCTCCTTCAAAGTACCACAGGTACAGCCCCAAGGCTGAATTTTAAATCTAGAAGCCAGAGGAACTGGGAAGTATTTGAAATGAGATATCCACTAGTGTCTAAATAAGCCGTGTCTTCTGCCCCCACCTCCATTTTCCCGTAGTTTTGTGATTCGAGGGGACAAAGATGAACAAGCCGTGTTGTGCAGTAGAGACAAGACCTATGACCTGAAGATAGCAGACACGTCCAATATGCTGCTTTTCATCCCTGGCTGCAAGACTCCAGACCAGCTGAAGAGGGAGGAAACACAGAGTAACATTGTTCACACGGAGGTACTGTTTTGTCCTATGCCCATATCTGAGAATGGCACTCTGGGTTCCAAGCTTCCCTTTGGTTAAACACTTTTGGTAAAAGATATGTATCCTCATAGGAAGTCTAAAAATTTCCTTACTGAAAGTTTGAAGTGTCTCAGTTCTTTTTGAATTTGTGAATTCTCTTTTTTTCCACTTTGGCCCTTTTTTTTTTTTTTTCTCGGACACATCCAATCTTTCTCTTAATGTGGTCTGTTTGCTATTAGGCAACTTGCTCTGTTTTAAAATTCTTATTTTATTTTATTTTGTAAAAGTTTTGTGTGTGGGTGTTTTGCCTGCGTGCTATGTCTGTGAACCATGTGCATGCAGTGAGTGCCCTTTGAGACCAGAAGATGGCGTCATATACTCCTAGAACTGGAGTTACAGATGGTTGTGAGCTGCCATGTGGGTGCTGGGAATCCAACCTGGGTCCTCTGGAAGAGCAACCAACCAGTTTTTTAAGTCACTGAGTCATCTCTCCAACCCTAACTGACTCATTCTTAAAGTTTTATCCATTTTTAGTAAATTATGCCACAGATATGTTTTGAAAAATAAATCCCTCATACCACAACTAGTGCATTTGGTAGAATTTATGAGGTAGAGAAAGGAAAAAATTTGAGGCTGGAAGGGAATGTGTGTCTTAGTTTTGAAGTTAGGTCAGTTTGTTAATATGGAGCCAAGTAAAACATTGCTTATTTTGGAGAATGCCAATGGTAGTTACCAAACAAAAGTCTCCAACTTCTCTTGGTTGTCACGCATGTGACAATTGAAGCAAAGCCCGTGATTCTTTCAGAATGACTCAGAGTCGCTGTTTCCTTAAAAAGAGAATTGAAGAAGAAACAAGGGGACGTGCTGGGAGTTGTAATGATTCATACGGTATTAGGAGAGGGGAGCTATCAATAAGTGTGTGTGTGTGTGTGTGTGTGTGTGTGTGTGTGTGTGTGTGTGTATGTGTGTGTGTGTGTGTTGTAGCCCAGGCTAGTCCTGAACGTGCTATGTAGTTAGGATGACCCTGAACTTCTGATCTTGATCTTGCTGCTTCCAGTTCCCAAGTGCTGGGACTCCAGGCACACACTATCATCCCTGGTTTCTGCAGTAGTGCTCAGATCAAATCCGGGGTTTGCTTGCAGGTTGGGCAGGCACTCTACCAGTGGAGGTCCCTTCCCAGCCTCCTGTTTTGGGGTTGATTTCTGAGACAGTCTTTCAGTGTTGCCCAGGCTGGTCTTGAACTCTTCATCCTCTTGCCTCATCTGCCTTTGAGCTATATCCCAGGTCATGGGCATATTTTTGTTTGCTTATTTATTTATTTATTTATTTGAGACAAGGTCTCACTGTGTACCCCTGGCTGGTCTGGAACTTGTATATAGTGTATAGACCAGGCTAGCCTAGACCTCATAGAGATCCATCTCCCTCTGTCTCTGGAATGCTGTAATTAAAAGCATGTGCTGCCATGCCAGACCCTGTGTTTTGTTTTTGGAGGTTTAATTTATTTTTTTTTCTTTCTTTTTTTTTTGTTTTTTGTTTTTTGTTTTTCAAGAAAAGGGTTTCTCTGTGTAGCTTTGGTGCCTGTCCTGGAGCTCGCTCTGTAGACCAGGCTGGCCTCAAACTCAGAGATCTGCCTGACTCTGCCTCCCGAGTGCTGGGATTAAAGGCGTGCGCCATCACCAGCAGGTTAATTTATTTTTATTTTATATGTATGGATGTTGGCCTGCATGTATTCTATGTACCACCATGCTTGGCATTTCTCTTATTTATTTTATATTTCTAGTTGTTTCCATCTGGTTGATAGAATTATCGCCACCCACTCATTCTAGCATGTTTCTAGAATATTTTTAGGGTGTGATGTTCAGGTATTGATCATCATTTTCTTAGCAGTGCTTTTCTCCTCTCTCTCTTTTTTTTAATTAAAAAATTTTTTTTTTTCTGAGATAGGGTTTCTTTGTTTAGACCAAGCTGGCCTTGAACTCACAAAGTTCTGCCTGCCTCTGCCTCCTGAGTGCTGGGATCAAAGGTGTGCACCTGGTGGCGGTGTTTTTCTTAACGGGCTTTTCAAAGTAGTTCAGATGGCTGGGAAGGTGCCACAGAGCAAAGATGACTTTGCGGGAATGTTTTTATGTCTGAGAAAGGCCCACAAAGGCTTATGCTGCATTGTGATTTCTAGATCTTTGGTTTCTCTAATAATTATTGGGAATTAAGAAGATGCAGACCTAAATTAAAAAAGCTGAAGAAGCTCCTGATGGAAAATACCTACGAAGGCCCTGACAGTCACAAGGAAGAGGATCCAAGCCGCTCAAAAGTAAGAATATTATCTCTTGGTTTTATTTGAAATTTTAAAATGCTAATTTATTTATTTATATTTATTTATTTATCTATTTATTTATTTAGGGTGTGTGCCATCATCCATTATTGGTGATGGTCTTATTTTTTAAAATTTGTGTTATAAAGGTTTGAACATAACCTTTGGACATAAACATAAAGCTGTCTGGGTAGATATAGAGTGGCATATTGTCAAGGACTCTGCCATTTAAATATGCTTGATGTCGTTTGACCTCAGAAGCTAAGCAGGAGCCTGGCCTGGTGGTATGGGCCCTGGTAACCCCAGTCTTACAATATTGCCTTGATTGGACTAGAATTTGCTGAATCAAAACAAGAAACAAAGCAGGATTGGGCTGAGTTAGGAGATGGATTGGAGACCACCTGGGGCTAGTGTGTGCTTCAGGCTTTAGGTAAGTATATAAAGTGATACCCTGTTACAGTTTCAGTGGCCATTTCCTCATAACTAATGATGCTGACCATCTTTCTTGTTCTGATTTGTTGTCTTTTTTTTGAGACAGGATCTCATTGATCACCGGCTGGCCTCACACTTGCTATGTAGTTGAGGATGGCTTTGGAATCCTGATATTCCTGTCTGTACTTCCTAAATGCTGATATTACAGGCATGCACTACAATGGAGGGTGTCAGTGGCACTGGAGATGGGACCCAGAGCTTCCCACATGCTTCGGGAGCACTCTACCTGGGCTGTATCCCTAGACCCTGATTGTCGTTTTTTTGCTTGCTTGTTTGAGTTTTATTTTGGGTTTTTTTTTTTTTTTTTTGGAGATTTTATTTCATGTGTTTTGCCTGCATGTATGTCTGTCTGTGCGCTGTGTGTTTGAAGTGCCCATGGAAGCCAGACCCATGGACCCACTGAGTCCTCAGAAACTGAAGTTACAGACAGCTGTGACCCATCATGTGAGCGCTGGGAATTGAACCCTGGATGCTGTAGAAGAGCAGCCAGTGCTCTCTTAATCACTGAACTGTCTCTCCAGCCCCGTGGTTTTTTTTTTTTTTTTTTTTTTTGGTTTGTTTTTGAGACTGGGTCTTTCTATATCACTCCAAGCTCCCCAAGCTGGTCTTCTGCTTAATGCTGGAATTCCAGGTGTGTGCCAACATATTCAGCTTTATTGGCACTTTATATATCTTTAGAGAAATGTCTGTTCAATTCTTTTCCCTCAATTTAAATTGTGTTACTTACCTTCCTTATAAAAAAGTGAAATATAGTTCCTTAATAGATATACATGATGCAAAGATTTTTACTTTTACTTTTTTACTTGCTTAATTTCTCTCCCCTTCCTTTCTCCCTGCTTTATCTATCTATCTATCTATCTATCTATCTATCTATCTATCTATCTATCTATCTATTTATTTTTGAGAGAATGTCTTACTTTGTACTGGCCTATGACTGTCTATGTACACCAGGCTGGCTTTGAACTTGGAGCAATCTTCTTGTTTGTGCCTCATGGGTGCTGGGATTACAAATGTGTGCCATGCCTGACTTTGATTTTTGTTTTTGTTTTATGAGACAAGGTCTCACTATGTAGTCCTGGCTATCCTGGAACTCTATAGTCCAGGCTGGCCTTGAATTCACAGAGCTCTGCCTGCCTCTGCCTCGAGTGCTGGAATTAAAGGCATGTGCCACCATATTTAGCCTGACTTGATAAAGATTATTATTATTATTATTTTATTATTTGGGGGTATCACTGTATATACTCTCTTGTAACAGCCCTGGCTGGCCTGGAACTCACCTTGTAGACCAGGCTTGCCTCAAACTCACAGAGCTCCGCCTGTCTCTGCCTCCTGAGTGCTGGAATTAAAGGCGTGTGCCACCACTGCCTGGCAACTTGATTACTTTTTATTGTGATAAAAATACACACCACACAGCACTTCCCATTTTAATAAGTTCAGTAGCATTTAGTGTGTTCATGGTGATGTGCCATCACCAACACCATCTATCTATAGAACATTTTATCTTTATAAACTCCCTACTTATTAAATAATAACCTCCTGCCCCCAGGAAATGGCAACTACTCACTACTTCTTGTCTCTTTGAATTTCACTATTAATACATCATTTAAGTGCAAACATATATTTATTTGTCCTTTTGTATAGATAGGTGTTTTGTTTTTACGTTTATTTATTTGGTATGTGTGGTGGGTGGTAGTGGTGCTCATGTGCCATCACCTGAGTATGGAGGTCAGAAGTCAATTTGCAGGCTTAGGTTTTCTCTCCCACCTTGTGGATTCTGGGCATTGAACTTAAGTCATCAGACTTGGTGGCATCCACCTTTACCTACAGAGCCATCTCACCAGCCCTCTTTGTTTTATTTTTGAGACTGGTGTGTGTTGGACATGTATATGAGGAGGTGGGTGGGTGTACATCCTATGATCTGAGTGTGGAGGTCAGAGGACAGACAGCTTTGTGGAGTCAGTTCTCTCCTTCCATCTTTACATGGGTTCCAGGAATCAGACTCAGGGTATCAGGCTTGCAATGGCAAGCGTCTTTACTCATCAAAAATCTTTAGCTGCTGAGCCATCTTACCAGCTCTTAGACCGGACCTTGATCCCCCTGCCTCCACCTCCAGAGCACTTCCATCACAGGTGTGCAACACCATGACCAGCAAACAGCATTCTGAAGTACAAAACTTGATCCTTTTTACGAAGTCTAGTTGATGACCCTCCTCTTCCTCCCTTCCCTCCTCTTCCTCCTCCTCCTTTTCTTGTTCTTTCTTTGTTTTTGTTTTATAGATAGGATCAAACTGTGTAGCCCAGGCTACCTCAAGTTCTTCTTCCTTCAGCTGGCCAAGGGCTAGGATTACAGGTGTGTGCCATCACACCTGGCTTACGTCTTTTCTTCTGTCATTTGTGTTCTTAGTGTCCTAGTCAATAAACCATTGCCAAGTGCAATGGCGTCAAGATTCGCCCCTGTTTTAAGACAGATTTTGATTTTGTGTTATGATCATTATGCATTAACAGAAGAAACTATTCATGCTGTCACCATCTCTACTTACTACTTCTCCAAAACTAAAAAAGAAAACTAAGAAGGTAATGTTTCTCAAATGATTAAGATACATATCTATTTTGTTTGTTTCAGTATACAACTGAAGATTTGCTTGATCAAATTCAGGCAAGCGAGGAAGAAATAATGGCCCAGTTACAAGTCCTGAATGCCTGTGAGATTGGAGGTAGCGTAACTATTGCCATTCATAATGGCGGGACTGTATCCTAAGCGAGGGAGAAGCTTTGGGACACCTTAGCCAGGTTGCATGCTTGTTTAATTTCCTTTTAGCTTCAAAGGTGATGATATCAGGAGTGGAAGGGTACTTGTTGAGTGTGTGTGAGACCTCGTGTTTGAATCCCAACACACACACACACACACACACACACACACACACACACACACACACACACACACACACGGTGATGATGTTTGTCTTGCACTAGCCTATAAGATGATGGTTACATGAGGTCATTCTGTCAGTCTGTGAACAGAGTGACATTTGAACCACTCACTACAGACCTTTCCCTTTAAAAGTCCTTAAATATCAAGTAGTCTGGTCTTTTCATTTACATCGATTTTTATTTTATTTATTTATTTATTTTGGTTTTTCGAGACAGGGTTTCTCTTTATAGCCCTGGCTGTCTGAGAACTCACTATATAGGCAAGGTTGGCCTCAAACTCAGAGATCCATCTGCCTCTCTGCTTCCCGAAGGCATGTACCACCACACCGGGCTTAAATCAATTTTTTTTTTTTTTTTTTTTTTTGGTTTTTCGAGACAGGGTTTCTCTGTGTAGCTTTGCGCCTTTCCTGGTACTCGCTTTGGAGACCAGGCTGGCCTCGAACTCATAGAGATCCACCTGGCTCTGCCTCCCGAGTGCTGGGATTAAAGGCGTGCGCCACCACCGCCCGGCTAATCAATTTTTAAATAGGTAAAAAATTGAGGCCTAGCAAGGGCCTGGGATTGTGTAAATGACAGACATGGCATCAGTGCTACATCTTTGGATTGGAATCAGGTCAACAACTTCATTAAATTTTCTGATAGCTTGGAAAGTGTGCTGTGCTTCTTCAGATGCTAATGCTGGTGCGCTGATGAACATGCATTATTTATAATTTCAGCACATGCGGAAGATCCAGGTAGGTTGAGCTCAGAGGTTGATGAAGAAGAGTTCTGTGGTGCCTCCCTTAAGGGTTTCATTGGCTTCTGCTCTGGAGTGTAGCATTTTTGTCAGCATTTTTGTCTGGATCTGTAGTCATCACTGAGTCCGTGTTTGTAAGCATCTATGAGCTACCTATCCGTCCGTCCGTCTGTCCGTCCACCCACCCATCCGTTCATCCATCCATCCATCCATCCATCCATCCATCTACCCATCTATCTATTTGAGGCAGATCTCACTACATAGCCCTGGCTGGCCTGGAATTCACTAAATCAGCACTTTTCAACTTATGAGTCTCAACCCCATTGGGAGTCAAACGACTCTGTCACAGGGTCACTTATCATGTATCCTGCATATCAGATAACAGTAGCAAAATTATGAAGTGGCAACGAAAATGATTTTATGGTTGGAGGTCACCACAACATGAGGAACTGTATTAAAGGAAGTAGGAAGGTTGAGAATCACTGCACTAAATAGATGAGGCTAGTTTGGAACTCATGAAAATCCCCCTGCCTCTGCTTCCCAAGTACTGGTGCTGAAGGTATGTGCCACTCGGCCACTATGAACCCACTCTTAGCTTGCCTAGAGAAACATCCTGTTTCTTCACCTATTAGTTAAGAAGAAGGAAATCAGTATGGTTTGTGGATATGCTATTCGTTTTGCTCATAACCTTACAAACAAGATTAGCTTTTGTGTGCCTTGCCCTTAAATGTGGAAAACTCTTTTAAATAAAGAACTGCATGCATGTCCCCCCCCCCTTTTTTTTGAGATAGGGTTTCTCTCTGTGGCCCTGGCCATCTTGGAACTCTCTCTGTAGACCAGGCTAGCCTTGAACTCAGATTCGCCTGCCTCTACCTTCCAAGTGCTGAGATTAAATGTGTGGCACTACCACTCGGCTCTTAATGATACTTTCGATTTTCCAGAATATACAGAAATTTTCCTGGCAAAATGATAGATAGGCATTTGAGTTTATTTTGAAAGTGATATCTGGGCCATTAGTTTTAAATTCCTGCAGGGCATTGCTCTGTAGCTCTGGCTGGCCTAGAACTTGAATTTGCTATGTAGCTAGCTGGCATTGAACATTTGAGATTCTTCTGCCTCAGCTTCCAGAGTGCTAGGGTAGGTATTCACTACCATATCCAATGGCATTTCAGATTCCTTCGCAGAAATAGGGACAGGTGTCTTTCAAATTAATTTTATGGTTAGCATACCAAGAGACATAGTCCACAGTGACATTTGTGGCTGTTGTTTGTTTTCTTCAAGACAGGGTTTCTCTGTGTAGCCCTGGCTGTCCTGGAACTCACTCTGTAGACCAGGCTGGCCTCAAACTCACAGAGATCGTTTGCCTCTGCTTCCTGAGTGCTGGGATTAAAGGCATGTGCCACAGTGCACCTGGCTCACTGTGACATTTTCATGTATGTATCATTATACTTTGTTCTTAGACACCCTCCTACTGCCCCCTCCATCACCTGTCTGCCCCCTCCATCACCTGTCTGCCCCCTCCATCACCTGTCTGCCCCCTCCATCACCTGTCTGCCCCCTCCAACACCTGTCTGCCCCGTCCATCACCTGTCTGCCCCCTCCATCACCTGTCTGCCCCCTCCATCACCTGTCTGCCCCCTCCATCACCTGTCTGCCCCCTCCATCACCTGTCTGCCCCCTCCATCACCTGTCTGCCCCCTCCATCACCTGTCTGCCCCCTCCATCACCTGTCTGCCCCCTCCATCACCTGTCTGCCCCCTCTATCACCTGTCTGCCCCCTCCAACACCTGTCTGCCCCCTCCAACACCTGTCTGCCCCCTCCAACACCTGTCTGCCCCCTCCAACACCTGTCTGCCCCCTCCAACACCTGTCTGCCCCCTCCAACACCTGTCTGCCCCCTCCATTACCTGTCTGCCCCCTCCATCACCTTCTGTCCCCTCCATCACCTGTCTGCCCCCTCCATCACCTGTCTGCCCCCTCCATCACCTGTCTGCCTTCTCTTGGAGATGACCTTCTGCCCTGCAAATAGGCTTCCTTTTGGTTTAATGACAGGTATATTCCTTTAATTTTTCTTCCTTCCTCACTCCCATTAGACCTCTCCCTTATAATCTTATTTCTGCCTTCACGTCGTACATATAAATGTGTCTTCATACACACCTACATACACACACATATACACATACCTACACACACATACACACACACATACACACACACATACACACATACACACACACACATATGAGCGCGCACACACAAATTTAAATCTGGATTCTATGTATTCAAGAAAACATGGTATTTGTCTTTCTCAGTCTCGTTCATCTCTCTTAACATAGTGTTCTCCACTTCCATCCATTTTCCTTCGAATGTCATCATTTCATTCTTCACTGCTGAAGAAAATTCCATTGTGTACGTGTGTGGCCAGTTTCTTTAGAACTAGGGAAAGATGTCTTGACCCCCCAGCGGTTATTGTTCGTGTCCACACCGCAGCAGAATCTGTCATCTCTCCAGTGAGCTGGGCTTCTCTGTGCTGTGAGAACACATTTTCAGATAGCTGTGGACAGAGAGTCACTTTCGGCAGCATCACGCAGCACAGGTTACCTCAGGCTATCCCTCACTGAGAGTCTCTTCCCAGGGCACTCAAGATTGTGTCTCGTTGACAGTTAACAGTAGCCACCACAATGACTTATGGGGAAGGGGGTGTTACTACTTTATTTATTGATTATCTAATCTCTTCACCTACAATGTTCTTTGGTAAGTTTGACATTTGGCATTTGTAGGTTATTGGAGGATTCTTGAATTTGATTATGAGATCAAACTTCTGAATCACGTAACTCAGCTTGTGGACTCCGAATCTTGGTCTTTTAGTAGAGTTCCCTTGAATGTATGCCTGCAGGAACTTGGACCTCTGGAGCCAGAGTGAGTGTTTCCATTATTTGTCCCTGCAGATTTCTTTAAGACAATGAAATTCTTTTTCAGACAAGAAGTAAACTGGGGGCATAGAATTTATATTCTTATATAGAAAAAATTTTTTAAATATTTATTTTTATTTTATGTGTATGAGTTTTTGCCTGCATGTATGTATGTGCATCATGTACATGCCTGCTGCTTGTAGAGGGCAGATGAGGGCCTCAGATCCCTGGAACTGGAGTTAACTGGTGGTTCTGAGCCACCAGGTGGGTGCTTGGAACTGAACCTGGGTCCTCTGTAAGAACAGCAAGTGCTCTTAACTTCTGAGCTGCTCTGTAGCCCAGGGGTGGGGAGAAAATTAAAAATATACAACCAGAAAGGATTTGAGACTTTTGGTCACTGGGGTGAATAATTCTGCATCATCTTTTCTGCTTTTTTTTTTTTTTTTTTTTTTTTTTTTTGGTCACACACACAAAAAAATTACTGGTTGTGTTTGAGCTACTGTATAACAATGAATGTATGACTATATAATTCATGCAAAATGTGTAGCACAGACCTCGTATGTGACATTTCCTAGAATATTTAAATTAGTTCTTTTAAGTATTATTTATCATCCAAGTAATTTAATATTTCAAATCCTTAATTTATATGAGTTTATAGTTGGCAACTGGGTTTAAAATGTTTATAAGATGCTGATCAGTTTTCTTGTATGTTTTAAATTTTCAGAGAAATGATTGAACACTGTCTTAAATGCTATGGAAAGAAATACGTGGATGAAGGTAAAGATTGGAAAGTATTCTTTTTTTTTTTTTTAGTTTTTCGAGACAGGGTTTCTCTGTGTAGCTTTGCGCCTTTCCTGGAACTCACTCTGTAGTCCAGGCTGGCCTCGAACTCACAGAGATTCGCCTGCCTCTGCCTCCCGAGTGCTGGGATTAAAGGCGTGCACCACCACCGCCCGGCTAGATTGGAAAGTATTCTAATAGGGATTTTAAATTGTGTGATAAAGAAGTCTATTGGTGTTAATAAGAACCATGGGACTGTGGGAGATGGACAGAGATACAGGATTCCTTTCAAGACATTCTGTTGAGGTAAAGGAAGTGCTAATATTGTACTGAATAATTAGATAATACAGTATCAGTGAGATGGCTGAGCCAAGTCTGGTGACCTGAGCTTTATCCCTAGTACAAGGTGAGAACAGACTCTTCAAAGTGGTCATCTGAGAGCCCTATGTGTCCATGCACGTACACACAAATAATAAATAGACCAATGCCATTTTTAAAAAGATACGCATGAACCTATCTGACGCCGTTTCCTTAGATGAAGTTTATTTTGAACTGAATGAGGACAAAATATGCCGAGTGACCGCAGAGATGCTGCTGCAGAACGCTGTGAAATTTAACCTCGCCGAGTTCCAGGAGGTGTGGCAGCAGAGTGTCCCCGAGGGAATGACCACTCAGCTTGATCAGCTGAAGGTAAGGCTGATGGGGGCTGTGCCTGGGGCTCTCCAGGTGATATCTGACTGGATGAGGTGATTCTTGTCCTGGAGCTCAACTGGGAGCTATTTTATTTTCCTAGACACCTGTTAGGGGTACAGGGTACAGCCTTCATTTGCCCTATCACAGAGTCCTTTAACTTCCTCCGGTACTTATGCACAGTTGTTGGGGCCACAGATGTGTCATAGTTGGTGGAACACTTGCCTAGTACCCACAAAGCCCTTAGTTCAATCCCCAGCATTTAGGGTAGAGGCCAGAGGATCAGGAGTTCAAGATCATCCTCGGCTACACAATGAGGTTATGTCAGTCTGGTCTAGAGAAGACCTTGCTTCAAAAAAGGGGGGAGGGGACAAACAAGCAAACAAACAACCCCCCTCCTCTCCCCCGACCCCGTGCTCAAAGAATACTGGCCAGAGAATTAGATAACACTGCAAGGCAAGAAATGGCACTCAGTAGGTAAAAGTGCTTGCCACCAAACCTCACACCCTGGGTTTAATCTTTAGGACCCACGTGATGGACAGAGAGAAATGACTCTTAATTTGTCTTCTGATTTCTACACGTGTGCTGTCAAGTGCACATATTCCCTCTGCCCTACACTATAACACACACACACACACACACACACACACACACACACACACACACACACACACAATGTAAAAAAACAAACAGAATCTGGGTGATGGAGTGATGGATAGAGAAATCTTATGGCAACTCAGGTATGGGATTTGAATACCAGAATTTAGGTTATCTAGATTTCCTGTTTCTCCAAGCAGTGGGAATGGAGTAGGTGTCCTCTGTAATCTGGACATGTGGCTCTGGGGCTCAGCAGATGTATCTGAGGAGAAGATGCAAATGTTCCAGTCATGAGCCGGGGCTCTGGAGCCTGTGGGGTAGGGTGAGGTTACCTGGGACGGGTGGAGAAGTAGGTAATGGGCTGGGGTGGAGGTCTGGGAAACGACACATTAAGACAGAGGAGAAGGCAGTGGCGTCCAAGGTGGAAAGAAATGAAAAGGAAAGGGGAGTGGACATTAATAAGAAAATGGGACTGGTAAGATGAGCCAACAAGCCAAGGAAGGGCTTTCTGTACTTGGCAGTGACTGGCCACTGGTGACAAAAGCTATCTTGGTAAAATGATGGCAGTGGCAGCCAGACTGTAGAGGGCAAAGACATCACAGCTTGCAGGAACTGTTTTATGAAAATGGCGCCCTGTAAGTCTTTGGCTAGACTTTCTGTAAAGTTTCATGTCTCTGGTGTTTTAAATTCCTTGGGCTAAACCTAATGGCCAAAGAAACGAGTCATGTTTAAATATGAGATCATTACTTCAGCTGCCCTTTTCCCTTCTTGTCTGTTGCAGGGTTTAGCACTGGTGGATAGGAATTCAAGACCAGAAATCATCTTTTTGCTCAAAGTCGATGATTTGCCTGAGGGAACACAGGAGCGTTTTAATAGTCTCTTCTCTCTAAGAGAAAAGTGGACGGAAGAAGACATCGCTCCATATATCCAGTAAGTAATTCAGTCAGAATGGGTTATGAAGGTTGTTCTGTAAGATGTGGTGTAGGGGTTCAGATTTATGACCTGAACACGACAGTGCTGTGTAGTCCCTGAGGATACTGTGTCCCTTGAAACTTTCTCAGATGGCCTGCCCTATCATTGTCTGGTTATTCATCCTCAAGGTAGAGTGTGTGTTATCTTTTCCCCTTAACATTCCTTCTATAATCATTTCTCTGCTGTCCTTCCTACAAAAGTCACAGTTCTTCCGAGGAGAGTAAGTATACCCATGTCCCAAAGGTAGATACCTCTCATTGATTGCCACCTCCTAGCTTTCCTGCTGCCTGAGGCATTGCTTGTGGTGTTCTTTTCTTCTTTTTAGTTATATTTATTCATCTATTTAATCTTTGTGTATGTGGGAGTGTGCGCATGTGTGTGTGTGTGTGTGTATGGGTGGGGGTGGTAAATGCTGGTGCCCCACCCCCACACGTAACAACCAGTGTGGTACCATGAGTGCTGGGATCTAAATCCCAGTCCTCATGATTGTGGAGCAAGTGCTCCTAACCACTGAGCCATCTCTCCACTCCCACTCTTCCTCCTATTGAGGCCAGTCCTCCCTCTGCTCTACAGCCATCTCCTCTGGCCCTCTTTGAGACCTGGCTTCTTGAGTTCTCTCTTTTCTCCCATACTGGGTCATCCTCATCACACATGGTCTATAGTGTCACCCAGACTGCCAAGCAACCTGCTGACCCCATGTCCTTTTCTCTCCTTCATAGGAAAATGCCTGATTGAACTAGCCAAGTGCTCTACCACTGAGCTTTATCTCCAGCCCTGTTTATTTGTTTGAGGGAGAGCGGGGGAGTGTGTGTCATGGCTCATATGTGGAAATCAGATGACAGCTTTTAAGAGTGGGTTCCTTCTTTCTGTGATGTTCAGTCCCAGAGATTGAACTCAGGCCATCAGGAAGCAAATGCCTTTATGTGCTGAACCATCTCATTGGCCCTCGTCCTTCTTAAGTTTGCTTTCTTGCTTGCTTGCTTGCTTGCTTGCTGCTTCCTTCCTTCCTTCCTTCCTTCCTTCCTTCCTTCCTTCCTTCCTTCCTTTCTTTCTTTCTTTCTTCCTTTTCTTTTGTTTTTGTTTTTGGAGACAGGGTTTCTCTGTGTAGTTTTGCGCCTTTCCTGGAACTCACTTTGGAGACCAGGCTGGCCTCGAACTCACAGAGATAAGTTTTCTTCCTTTTTCTTTTTTTGAGATAGGTTCTTACTAGGTTGTTTGAGTAGGCCTGGAACTCACTCCTATTTCAGGTAGGCCCTCAGTCTGTGATTGTTCTACTCCCAAGAGCCTAAGATTACAGGGTTACAAACCTGTACCACTAGGCCCAGCTACATTCCCTCTTTTGCTCATGGTTCCCTGGGTACCCTCATCCAGGCCTGAATAAATGTAGTGACTTTCATATTCTGTTTTCAAAGTTGATGTTTACCATGACCTACCAATTGGCAAACATTGAAAAGTACCAATATAGTGAGTCTTCCATGTTCTCACTGCCAAAATTCCATAATTAACTCATTTCCTCCATCCTTTAAACCTCAGATCATAGTATGCTTTTTCTATTGTTTAACATACTACTAGTGGCCTCTGCATTATATTTACAATCATTTACAATATATTTAGCAGGCCCTTTCTGTGAACTTTCTGGCCCTCTGTGTTCTAGCTCTCTTTCCTCATGTCATCTCCTCTCTCCTCAAATTATGCTTCAGGCAGTCTTCTTTTTGAGGTAAACTAAAGTCCCAGAAGTGCAGGCAATCTAGACGAGCCCATACTTGACAAGCCTAGGATACAGGTTCTTTGACTTTAGACGCTTCCATATCACATTGCTTCTATTTCTAATTAATTTTTTTTAAGGTTTATTTTACTTATTATGTATATGGTGTTTTGCCTGCATGTATACTGTGGCCAGAGGAGGGCGCCAGATCTCATTACAGATGGTTGTGAGCCACCATGTGGTTGCTGGGAATCGAACTCAGGACCTCTGAAAGCACAGCCAGTGCTCTTAACCGCTGAACCATCTCTCCAGCCCCCTCTATTTCTAATTTAAAGATTACATGATATAATGGAGATAACATAGGACTTTGAAGGCATACACACACGATGGCAAAATTTGACCCTTTTTAATATCCCAGTTTGTTTCCTCATATCTAATACAGGGTTGAAGAACTCCTTACTCCTATTCTTGTGAGGGTTAAGTGAAATGATACATCTAATCTACCTAGTTCAATGAAGACTTAGAAGCAGTTGTGTTGTCAGCCGCCAGCTCACAGATAATAACATGGAGACTTCTTATTAATTATGAAAGCTCGGCCTTTGCTTAGGCTTGTCCTGCTAGCTCTTATACCTTAACACATTTATATTAATCTATGTTTTGCATCGTGGCTTTTCACCTTTCTTTCACTCTATGTCTGATTCCTTCCCATGTCTCACTGCCATCTGATACTGTGCCTAGATTCATCTCCTCCTTCCTCTCTGTCTGCCCAGAAGTCCCACCTATCCCTCCTGCCAAGCTATTGGCTGTTCAGTCTTTTAGTACACCAGTCACAGCAAATACATCTTCACACAGTGAACAAATATCCCACAACAGAGTTTTCACTGTTCTTTTCACATGGCTATTAGAAACATGGCTTTAAGTCAGATGTTATAGCACACACCTTTAGTCCTGGCACTCCGGAGGCAGAGACAGGTGAATCTCTGAGTTCAAGGCCAGCCTGGTCTACAGAGGGAGTTCCAGGACAGTCAGGGCTACACAGAGAAATAAACAAACAGAAAAATGGCTTTAGGAGGTAGAGATAAGTAAGCAGTACTGTATCACGTTATGTGCCCTAAAATATTCATGGTATTTGTTTATTTTTATTCCCACAGAGATCTGTGCGGAGAGAAGCAAACTATAGGTGCGTTACTTACTAAATATTCTCGTTCTTCAATGCAAAATGGCGTGAAAGTTTATAATTCAAGAAGACTCATCTCTTAAAAGAATGGCAGACTTTTTGGGGAGACTAAATAGCTTTATAAAGTTCCTGGATGTAATAAAAGAAGATTCTCTTGCATATTTTTATCCCTGACTTTTTTAAAGATTAAATTTTACTAATGACTATTGTATATGTACATGATGTGCGTGCATGGGTACATATGCTGCGACATGCGTGTATAGATCAGAGGACTTCCCTGTAGTCTTTTTTTCTCCTCCCACTTTTCAATTTCAGGGATCAAACTCAGATTGCCAGGTTCGCTCAGCAAGCACCTTTACCTGCTGAGCCAGCTTGCTGGCCCTATTCTTGGTTTTTAAAACCAACTCTTTGAATACTTTTTCTCCTCTTCCGCATTTTGTAATTGTTACCATTTCTTATTTCTCCAGTGCAGTAAGATATTTCCATATCCTTCAGGTTACACTTGCACAATGCTCACTAAATACAAGGACAAAAAATAAAAGCTGGATGGTGATGGCACACACCTTTAATCCCAACACTCGGGAGGCAGAGGCAGGTGAATCTGAGTTCAAGGCTAGCCTGGTCTACAGAGGAAGTCCAGGACAGGGCTACACAGAGAAACTCTGTCTCAGAAAAAAAAAAAACAAACAAACTGTACTTATATATCTTGAAGTCTGTAAGATTCTATGTGCAGAAAGTTCTGATTTTCACATATAAACTCTGTATCTTAAGATTTGGTGTCCTAGTTATTAATATACTTAGAAAGTTTTCTAAATAACTATTAATCTCATACAAAAATTTATTCTGTTAAAAGGTGTTTCTAAATTAAGGGGTATATTATACATTAGTCAGGATGCTCTAGAATATGTATATTATATTATAATATAATCTTATATATGTTTTATAAAATACATAAGCATATACTAATTTTATATCATATATAATTATACATAATATATAAAATGTATATGTATATTATAATTATATGTGTTAATCTATAATTATATATGTATTTATATATCATAAATATATAGTTATATATCACATATGCACACATCATATACATATGCATATAAATATATACTATATATGTATTTATATATAATATTTATGATATATTATGTCATATTTTGTATTATGTATTATATACATGTAACATCATATAATATATAATGTAATATGCAATGTTTATATAATATTCATATAACACATGCTATATGATATTTATAATACATAGCTATATAATTATAATATATAATATATATATTAGACTGACTCACAGGTTGTGGTCCAGTTAGTCCAACAATGGCTGTCTACCAATGAAAAGTTTAAGATTCCAGTAGTTATTCAGTCCATGAGGGTAGATGTTACAGCTGCTCTTTATCCTCCAGAATCTGGAAGAAGTAGGCTCTAATGCCAATGAAGGAATGAACTTGCCAGTGAGAGTGAGAGCAAGCAGGCAAAGAACAAAAGCTTCTTTCTTCGATGCCCTTTATAATGGCTGCTACCAGTTGTGGCCCAGACTAAAGGTGGATCTTCCTACCTCAAAAGATCCAGATTAAAGTTGGATCTTCTGACTTTAGATATTTAATTAAGAAAAGTTTTTCATGGGTGTAGCAAGCTGCTTGGATTTTAGTTAATTCCAGATGTAGTCAAGTTGACAACCAAGAATAGCCATCACCAGTAGGAGCCTTTATATTAGTTATTTATTACATTGCTGAAGTTGGCTTAACACTGGCCTTGGGTTATTTAACTATGTACTGTGGGTAAAGTGTGCATAACCCTGCATCCTCTATGAAGAACACTAGGGAGCAGTACAATCCCCCACACAGGTAAACTCACTAGAGAATTATAAATCACTTCTAGTTTTGGTAATCCCTTCCTTTTGTTCACTGGTTGCCCCACTCTCATTGAGGCACCATGCTCTGCAAAGTCCTGGCACTCTCTGTGTGCTCTGGCTCTGGTTTTCCCCAGTCTGTACATAGAAGCAATCAATGATGACCCACTGGACCCAACCCGTAAAGACCTACCAGATTCAACTATGAGCTACTGTGATTGCTATTCTTTGTTGTCAACTTGACTATATCTGGAATGAAGTATAATCCAGAAATGGAGGGCACACTTGTGACCCGGATCTTGAGGCTGGAACAAACCTGCCTTTAATCCAGACTTTGAGGCTGGAAGGCACACTTTTAATATGGGCCACACCTTCTGCTGGAAGCCAATATAAGGACAATGGAAGAAGGAAGGGTTGGTTCGTTCTTCACCTGCTTGCCCTCACCTTGTCAGACATCCATTCCTTTACTGGCAATGGAGCCTACTTCTTCGGGATTCCAACATGTGCAAAAGACCAGCTAAGACACCCAGTCTTGCGGGACTGAGCAGCTACTAGATTCTTGGACTTTCTATTCACAGCCAGCCATTGTTGGACTGCAGCCTGTAAGTCATTCTAATAAATTCCCATATATATATGGAGAGAAAGAGTCATTCTGTAAGTTCTGTGACTCTAGAGAGCCCTAATACACCTACTATATCCAGTAAGTGAAGGCCTACTAGATTCAACTATTGACCTACTAAACTCAACCAGTGACCAATCAGAAGCAATTGAGGTAGTGTTACCTGTTGGTCTAGAGCAGTGGCTCCTGACCCGTGGGTCATGACCCCTTTGGAGGTTGTATATCAAGTATTTATATTATGATTCATAACAATAGAAAAATTACAGTTATGAAGTAGCAACAAAAATAATTTTATGGTTGGGGTCACCACAACATGAGGAGCTGTATTAAAGGGTCACAGCATTAGGAAGGTCTAGAGGTTGACACCAACATTGATTCAGCCACTGACCTTGACCAGACCACAGACCTTAGGTTAACTACATGTATATGTATCATGGAAACACACAGACTTTTGTTTCCTGTACTAATGTTGAGACGTCGCCTCCAGCTTTCCACAAGAAGCCAGTGAGCCCACAGATGGTTATAAGACTTTCCAGACAGCTTTCTGAGTTAAGATTTTCAGCAGAGGTATGGAAAGAAGTGCGTTCACCTCAGTGTATCTTTATAAAACACAGTAAAAGTTTCCATTATCACTGCACTCCCCTTCACTTTCTGAGGAGACTAACTTGGAACAAGCCTACCACTGCCCTTCTGGGGCTTATACTTATATAACTGTAGAAAATGATGGAAGTCTGAGGATGCTCCCAGCAAACAAAGAGTAAGGAAGTGGTCCTGCATGAGGGCAGTTGTCAAGCATTTATGAGCTCTACCTTTACACTGTATGGGTTTAATAAATAAATGTTCATTGGGAACAAATAATTCCTAGTTCTGGAACGTTTGATAAAGTTATGACTTTATTTTCCTAATTGGTTTTGGTTTAGACCAACGTTCAAATAATTTAAAATCAGCTAATGAACTTGTCAACAGGACCCTTAGAAACGGTAAGTTAAATCTACGAAGGTGGCAAAAATGTTAGTGGACAATCCACAATTAACAGGGAGTTAACAGATACCGGTTTGCCACTTTGACCCTCAGGAACAGGAAATGCATAATACATTGGCGCCAAAATATCTTTAAATAAAAATTTCTGTATTTATGGACGTGATTCGATTTATAGCTGCAGATTCATAAGAGATGCCGAGGCCTTGGGACATCGGGGCTTGAGAGTGCCCTGCGGTCTAGTTACACATTTGCAGTTTAAACCACAGGGTGCAAATGGGTCGCGTTTGCTATGGACACAGCGCAACGTCTCGGTTTGGGGACCATTTCCAGCTCCTAGCCCCTCACCTCGGTTATACCTGGCGCCTCGTCCTTCACACTTAACGCCCCCTCCCTTCCTTCCCGCTCTTCTCGTCTCACCCAGTAAATCGTTCCTCTGTTCTTAAGTTTTTAGAGACAAACGGGAAAACAGGAGCCAAACCTAAAGACCTAGCGTCAGCCCTCAAGCCCCGCCCACTGACGCCCGGACCAGACTTCCGGGTTCTGCCTCCGCCGGGTCCCACTTCCTCTGACGCAGCGGGTCAGAGGTGACCGGCAAGATGTCGGCCGTCAGCGGCATTGAGCGGCGGTAGCGCGGCTCATCTGTGTGACAGGGGCCGGGCGGAGGCGGCTGAGAGTGGCCGAGGAGGGGAGGCGAGGCCGGGTGGCCGGGCGCTCAGGGTGCACGGGCCGCCGCCGGGAATGCGCCACAGCCCCCCGAGCAGCCGGCAAGGCGAGCCCCGCCGGAGCTCTTCATGCCGCCCACCGGCATAGAGCCCTCCAGGATGAACAGGAAGAAAGGAGACAAGGGCTTCGAAAGCCCACGGCCGTACAAATTATAAGTACCCCGCCTGCCCCCCATCTCCCTGGTTTTCACCCTTCTTTGATTTTGTTTTCACTGTTTGCGTGAATGACTTGATGGGGCTGGGAAACGAATGGGGAATTAAGAGTCCACGCCAGTGGACCTGACGTTTGCAGAGTGGAAACGTTTTGAATGACAGCATTGTTCAGCAGATTTCGGCTCCCGCCTCCTCCCGCCTCTCGCAGGCTCATAAACCTTTTTAAAAGTACTGCTATAGTTTTGTCAAGGTAAACCTTTGCATGGGCTCTCGCTAGATTTAAAATAAGCAGATTACTCATTTAGTAGACTTTGAAGATATAAACTTAGCAAGTTTGCTGGTGCGGTTTTTGAGCCGCTTAGAACATAGTTCTTATTTGTACTTGGATACAGCTATGCTTTTATTTAATAATAGTTGTTTTCTTTCTTTCTTTTTCTTTTCTTTTTTTTTTTTTAATATACAACCCATCAGGTCGTCTGTATCAACAACATAAACTTCCAGAGAAAATCTGTTGTGGTAAGATCATTCCCAGTCACCATAAAGCATATAAGTCGCCTTTCACAGTTCTTAGAGATTCTGTAATCTTCCAGATGATGGATGGTGCCTCAAGAATAAGAAATTAGAATTCGAGTCTGTTTGATTGTCGTATACTTTTGCTATATATGTTGCTTCTGTTCTCCCCACCTCTATCTTTTCCTGATTAAAATGTTTAATACATTAAATATGTTGTGGAATAGACAGTCTTTATAATCAAGCACTTTCACATGCATAAGACAAGAATAAGCCTGTAGTGAGATTTATCCCGTGAATAAATTAAAACGTACACACATTGATTCATTTGGTTCTGCTTGCTGGTTTTCACTTAATCTAAGCTCATTTATTTAGAGTAGTCATTGAGTGATTGACAGGGTGATTTAAGACAATTTTTGGGCTAGGCATGGTGTCATACAACTTAAGTCCTAACACTAGAGGCAGAGGCAGACAGATCTCTGAGTTTGAGGTCAACTGAATCTTCATGGAGAGTTCCAGTCCAGCTAAGACTACATGGAGGGAAGGGAGTCTATGTATTTTGGGATTTCTGCTACACTGGCTCACGGTTTACACCTTTTCTTTTTCCAGCACAGCATCTTGCTATGTAGGCCAGCCTAGCTTCAAACTTGTGGCCATCCTCCTGTCTCCACTTCTCGAGTCCAAATGTTACAAGCATGTGTTACCACCAGCTCAGTGTGTACTTTTAAATACACTGCTTTTCTTCACAATATTTTTGCCCTTGCTTGTTCCGATGTCAACTGTGGATCCATGCTGATGGTCTGATTTAAGAGTTTGTGACTCTTACTTGGGAATTGGGAGCATAGTGACTGTACAGTTGCATGTTTTTGAGGAGTTGGTCTAAAAGTTATACAGAAAATATTCACAAACTTTATTTAAATACCTTGTGCCCAGAAGATTATAGAATAGTAGGAACAGATAGGTTTAGATCTAGCTAGCATTTTCTTAGCTTTTTTGATTTATATATAAAAGTTAACAAGTTAAAATACTTTCCAATAGTACATATCTCTTAGGGCGTCTGTGTAAATGTTTCCAGTAGCATTCTTGTCCTCAGAGTTGGTATCAGGATTAGAGAGGACCTCAGAAGGTAATGTGGCACTGATGTGTAGAAGTAGCCATTATGTCCAGTCTTCTGTGCCGATGGTTTGATTGCTCCTAGATAACTTCTGTTGGAACCTCTAACATCTTTGTACTCACTACATCTGAAACATTTGATGCCAATCAGGAACATGAAAATCACTGCACATGCATTCCATATTTCACCCATCTTTCCCATTGAGTCAGTGCAGGATGTTGGTAAGAGTATTCAACAGTCAGTCGTATCATAGAGAGTTTCTTTAGATGGACTGCACACCCCTCAGGTAACATGGCAGAGGTGTGTATCATGTAGGCCTGCTTGGCAGGAAATTGGTCAGCATTTGGAAGTACTGCTACTCCTGCTTGCTTTTGTTTTCTCTGGCAGTACTTGCTGATCCATATTTCCTCATTTAACTCCCATAAGGAGACTCACACTTGTTAGTTTCAGTAGTGTAGTTTTTTTAAGCAGATGGTCTTTGTGCTATCAGATTCTTTTATATCAACCTCCTGGGTGTGACTTTTTCCCATACCACTTTCTGTTCCTCCAGCCTGTTGTGGTTGCAGTCTGCCTAGAAATACTTGTATTTGAGACTAGTTTGTGTTTCACTTTTCCAGTCAATGACTTATCACAAATTGCACAGATGAATGAAGCACCAGGCTGGTAAAATCTAGATAAATTATACTCATCCAGCCACTGGTATAATTAATGATTGAAATTAAGATTCTTGGAGAGCACTCACATTTGTGTAGGTATTTGGAATTTTATCTTTGGAGGTAGCATATATAAGTAGCAGTTACAGAAATATGCTCTAAAACATTCCAGCATTTTTTTTCTTTTGGTTTTTCAAGACAGGGTTTCTCTGTAGCTTTGGAGCCTGTCCTGGAACTCACTCTATAGACCAGGCTGGCCTCGAACTCACAGAGATCCGCCTGCCTCTGCCTCCTGAGTGCTGGGATTAAAGGCGTGAGTTACCACCGCCCAGCTTCATTCCAGTGTTTTTAATAGCTGTTCTTTATTTTTACAGGGATTTGTGGAGCTGACTATATTTCCTACAGTTGCAAACTTGAATAGAATCAAATTAAACAGTAAGCAGTGTAGGATATACCGAGTTAGGATCAATGACCTGGAGGCCGCTTTTATTTATAATGATCCAACCTTAGAAGTTTGTCACAGTGAATCAAAACAGTAAGTTATACACCTTAAGAAGCATATGTTTATGTGTCATTCTGTCTGTTATTTTTAATGATTGTCATGTTAATGTTTTTCAACAAGTTTTCTACTATTATTATAGCAGATCTATATGTTGTATAATTTCTGTTACTTTTACTGCATTGAAAATTTGGCTCAAGCATTTTTCTACTTTTGTCCAACGTAGTAAGTTATTAAATTTCCCTTCCTCATACTACAGCTTTAAAGAAGTATTATCTGGGAAGTTTCAGTAGATATTTTTAGTAAATTGTCTTACCCAGTTTTCTGCTTTAATGTTATGTAAGAGTTTACTTCATAAATACCAGAAACTAGTTTGAATGAATTGGATGGTCGCCATCATCTTCAGACCAGAGACAGTTTAAAATAGTCTTTTAAATGTTTGCACTATGTTGAGTATCTTAGGAAGTGCTGCATCTACTGTCAGCTGTATTTGTGGGCATTCTTAAAAAGTCTTCATAGCACTGGATCTTACTATTTCTGTGCTTCTCGGTATGTTGTAGTGGGATGCCAAACTCAGCTTTAAACTCTTTTCAGTCAAGATGGTATTTTAACTGGCCTAGGATAGTGTGTCATATTGCCTTAAAGCAGAGTTCTCAAAGTGTGTTCCCAGACAAGCAATATCGCCGTCATCTAGGAACTTTTTAGATCTGTCAGATCTCAAGTATTAGCCCAAACCTACTGAATCAGACAGCATGGAGTCCCTCAAGTTGTGCTTTGCAAGCCTTCTAGATGATTCTGAAGAGTCTGAAGCTTGAGAACACTGCAGCCAGGGATTAGAAGACTTGGGGACCCAGGTCTTAGCCTGATGATGCTAATAATCATTGGTTTAGAATCTTTCAAGCTCAGGAAGGAGATAGGAAAATGGTGTTGGAAAAGTCCAGGGATCCTCTCCTGAAAGCTCCCTTTTCATGAAGGTGAGTTGCTAAAACCCCAGTGTTCTTACTACGCTAGTAGAACTGACATAAAAAACTTGTCCCGAAACTATGTGCATATCCTGTTCTGCTGAAGAGAATAAAATCTACTACAGAGTAGTAAACGGTATTACCGCCAACGAGTGGACAACAGCCTATAAAAACCCATTGTTGTGCCAGAGGATAGAATACCTAGCGTGTTCGGCCTTGAGCTCTGCATTCATGATAGAGTAAGAGGCTAATCACAAAATACAGTGTGCATCTGTTCTCACCAGTAATTAGTTGGGAGTGCCCAGTACTCAAAGAGAATGGCCTGGGATCCGGGATAGTGTACCTAAGGAACAGCAGGCATCCTGGTCTGTTGAGGAAGTTAGCTTCGCTTCGCTCTGTATTTGAAGAGAAACTTCATCTTTTAGTGTATGCGCAGGCTAAGCCAGCACTAAGATAAGATAACCTCCTAAATGTTTTTTCCAGTGAAGTCGATGATGAATCATCACTTTCATTATGTGAGGCAAGAAGTTATAAAGGAAAATCTTTTCAAAGGTTAGGCCCTTTGTGGATCCAGAATATACTTTATAATTTCCTTCCAGTTAGTAACCGATCTTTGTAGATAGGTCATTCAGTAAGCGTTTATCTAGTTTTCTTGCTGGCTGTAGAAACTTAGTTGCACTTTAAGAGAAGGGGTATCTGTTTGCATATTTGTTTGTCTTGAATCATGGTCTTGTTGTGTACCCCAGGCTGTTCTGGAACTCACTGTGTTGACCAGGCTGGCCTTGAACTTGAGGTAATTCCCCTATCTCAACCTCTCAAGTACTAGAATAGCCCTGAGCCACCACAGCTGGCCAGTATTTGTTGTTGCTTTTCCTTGTCTTTTTCCTCTGACTTGTTCAAAATGGGACTGCAATGGGCTTTAGAGAACAAAGGCTCTAAAAAGTAACTGATTAGTTAGTGAAAAGGGTAAAGAAATGCAGTTTATACATTGTTACTTAATTACTACCCAGTTCTCAAGAGGACTTGCTTCTGATGTTTCTGGTTGTCATAACAAAGAGGGAAGTGTTTATTTATGTATTTTGATGTTGAGAAGGATCTTATGTAGCCCAGGATGACTTCAGACTCACTTTGTAGCCGAGGGTGACTTTGAACTTCTGACCCTCTTACCTATCTAGTACTGAAGTTACAGCTGTGCCCTAGTTCATACTCCTGTGTGCCTGGCAACACTGTAGTTTGTAGACGCAGAACACACATGGAAACCTCAGTTATTACAAAGAAACTATTTGATTTGTATGAAACATACTTCTTTAGTTTATAAAATACTTTAATAAAGTATAAATATACTTGAAATACATCAGTATTTTTAAAAATTGGTCTTTGATGTTTGCAAATGTATGTATACACATGTATGCAGGTGCATACCCTGTGCATTCTTTACATTTATTTTAGAAAACTGATATTAAGAAAGTAGTGATTTTGGCATTCCAGAGTTAATGAAGGATGTGAACACAATGTTCATTTTAATAGTTCTTTTTAGCTGTTGGGTTTTTGTTTTTTTTCCTTCCTTTTCTTTTCATTTCTTTCCCTCTGTCCCTCCCTCCGTCACTTTCTTTTTGTTTTGGGCACAGGCTGTCCTTGAACTCACAGAGATCCTCCTGCCTCTGCCTCCAGAATGCTGAGATCAAAGGCGTGCTCCACCATGTCCGTCACGTTATTAGTTCTTATCATGGGGAACAGCATAAGGAGTAGATAACTGGCTAAAAAGAATTCTTAACAAATTGTGTAAGAAGACATAATACTTAGAAGTAGTTGATGTCCATTGATATTAGAAAGATCTTGGTGAAATGTGTGGCTTATTGTTGTTACAAGTTGGCTTTTTATCTCCCCAGGAGAAATCTCAATTATTTTTCCAATGCATATGCAGCTGCCGTTAGTGCTGTGGATCCTGATGCGGGGAATGGAGAACTCTGCATTAAGGTCCCATCAGAGCTCTGGAAGCATGTTGATGGTAAAGCACCAGGAATGTATTACTACACAATGAAATAAATCCTATTAGATGTAGAGGCCAGAAAGTTAGTGATGCCTGGACTGTACACTAACCACGGTTGGAAAATGATTTCCTTCTTTAGGGTCAGGATTGATAGGAATACATTAGCTGTTACAGGCTGTTACAATGTAACTGGTTTCTCTGTTTTATGCGATGCTAGGAAACCAGGACTTTGTAGATGCTGGGCTTCTCTGTTTACAAGGCTGTGCCGCCAGCTCCTTTCAATTGTTTCTTGTTTTGTTTTTTAATGAAACCGACTTTAAAAGTCATAGGGATAGAGCCTGTGTCAGGTAGTGTCGAGCCCTTTGGAATTGTATCATTTTTGCAGCACTAATAGTCCTAAAAACCCTCTGGTTCAATTCCTCCTTGCTACAGAAGAGCATCCTCACGTCCCACAACCTAAGTCCGCTGAGCTCACCTGTGGTAGAGCAGAAGCTAGAACTTGGGCTCCTGCCACGTGTCCTGTACACTTGGAGTTCGTCCTCTCTAAAGCCTTATTTCCCTTTCTTTAAAAATGTAACCATTACAATTATTGTTGGAAAACTTCTTTCTACCTTTATTTAGTCTCACAAAAGTCAAGGAAAGAAGAGAGAAAGCACTTTGTTTTCATTGTGTTTGGGAGCAGGTGAGAAATTAGTGGGATTATTCAGTTTAGGCTCCTGTAGACGCTTATTGCATATTCATAGGGGGGAATTAAAATAACTACATTTAACAAGGCTTTTCCTGTACAGAAATAAAATGTAATTTAGAAACATAATAGATGATGCAATTTCATGAGTAATCCTCCCCAGCCTACCTCTGTCATTTACCCTCCAAAGTCAAATAGAGTTAACAGTTTGGGAGAAAACACAAAAGGAGAAAAAACTTGAAAAGTAAAATTGCAATTGACTTTGAAAGGCCTTAAAGCATCCACATTAGGGGTTGTGGAATTTTTTTCTGAAAACATTACATGTCAGAAACATTGAGAAGAGAATGTGATGCTCCTGGTGCTGTGCTTGTGAGAAACCGGAAGCAGCACTTAGATTGATTGGAGGCCCGTCATCAGCTAGTATAAGTGGAAACACTAAAAGCCTATATTGTGACAAGTGTATGGCGTCTTTGTTTTGTTTTTTGTTTTTGTTTTGTTTTGTTTTTTGTTTTTGTTTTGTTTTGTTTTTTGTTTTGTTTTTCGAGACAGGGTTTCTCTGTGTAGCTTTGTGCCTTTCCTGGAACTCACTTGGTAGCCCAGGCTGGCCTCGAACTCACAGAGATTCGCCTGGCTCTGCCTCCCGAGTGCTGGGATTAACGGCGTGCGCCACCACTGCCCAGCGGTGTCTTTGTTTTTATGTAGTGGGATTTGATCCCAGGCCTCTAGCATCTAGGCAAGTGCCCTATCCCTGGAGCCACAGCCCAAGCAGCTCTGTGGTTTCTTAATCTAATGCTCAGGCTATGGTTCTCATTGGTGTATCTTCAGTATATAGATTACTGTTGCTTATTTGTGTGTCAGTGAATGGATGTATTTATTTGTTGCAGAGTTGAAGGTTCTGAAGATACATATTAATTTTTCTTTGGATCAGCCGAAAGGAGGTCTTCATTTTGTGGTACCCAGTGTAGAGGGGAGTATGGCAGAGAGAGGTGCTCATGTCTTCTCTTGTGGGTATCAGAATTCTACAAGGTAGATTATAACTTCATTTTTGTGATTGCATTTTTATGTATTGAATATGCAGTGTATTTATTTATTTAGAATGACAAGTGTAAGCTTGATTTTTTTTTTTAATTTTTCCCCAAGTTGCTTCTGAATCATGCTGTACTGCTTATTCCTTTTCAGTCTCATCATTTCTTTCTTCATCTTTCCCTTTACGGACCAATCCAGAAATAATCCATCAGCTTGGTTCTGTAACTTGATGGTGAAGTTCAGCATGCATACAGAAAACTTTCCACATTGAAATGCAAAAACATAGTAACTTTGCACACATGACCAAACCGATTGAGCTCACACAGAGATCAGCACAAGTAGCATCACCATTTGGCAGAGTCTCTCTGCCTCCATTCAGCATTCCCACCTGGCATTCTGTCTAGTTACTCTGTTTCTGAAATACCATTGATTGTGCTTGGTTTTGAACTTTAAGTAAATGGACTCATTCATGCGTTGTGCTCTTTGTAGCTAGCTTTTTATTGTTTAATGTTGATAGGTTTACCTACATCTTTGTGTGAAATTGTAATCCATTCATTCTCGTGTTCTGTAGTTGAGTGCATGTTTTTGAAATATTTTATAATGTGAGTACTTTCCTCAGATTATTAATTCTTTTAAGCCAAAGATTATGTTTTAGACTTATTTAAATTTTGGTGCCTTGTACTGATTCTGTCATATAGTAAGACCTGACCCGAGATTTTAAGTGTAAAGCATTTTTTGTACTGTTAATCTGTTTGTAGATTTTGGTTCCCGTGTGTTGATTCATACTCTGAGTTGTGTACATGGAAGTTAGAATTTACAGTAGATGCTGCAATGGTGGCCGTGTCCAATGGAGATTTGGTGGAGACAGTGTATACCCATGATATGAGGAAGAAGACCTTCCATTATATGCTCACTATTCCTACAGCAGCGTCCAATATCTCCTTGGCCATCGGGCCTTTTGAAATACTTGTAGATCCATATATGCATGAGGTAAGTCATTCCACCCGTCTTGTTCTTCTCTGCACTTTTTCTCCTTAGGAAAAGGGGGCACTAATAAAATAGTGTTACTTTTAACTGTCAGGATTAGCGCTGAAAAGAAAAGGTTTCACGTCACGTTATTTGGAAAACCATTTTGGTGAGTTTGTTGACCAGGATTCTAACCCTTCCTCAGTATGCTGACGTGAGATAAATCTTACTACTTTTTTTTTTGAAAGGTCTCTTTCTGCAGCATAGACTGACCTGGAAGTCATACTCTGTACTTCAGTTTCTAAATTGCAGTTTTTCAGCTTCATGGGGCTGTGAATAAAAGGATATTAATAATGACAGTTAATTTTAGAAACCAACTTAAAATGTTAGCCAGGGTATACTTGATTTTTTTTTTTTATAATGGTAGCACTGGGTTAGAAAACAGATCAAACTTGTCATGTATTTAAAATAGTTTACTTATATTTACTTACATTTCTCTAGTCATAGCATATTTCCTGTTAGCCTTGACTCCGTTTGGGGTATCTACTTTTTTAATCTTGACCTTTCAGACTTGTAGGTTTATTTTGTTTTGTTTTGATTTTGTTTTTTTTTTTTTTTTTTTCTGAGACAGTGTTCCTACATAGTCAAGTCTTTCCTCAAACTCATGACAGTCTCCCTGCTTCAACTTCCTGAGTACTGAGGCATGCACCACTGCATCTGGCTTCTATCTGTCAAACTTTTGCCTCCCATGAAATGATTGTCGACGACACCGTCTTCTAGATGAAACCTTCGTAGGTTTCTGTTTGTTTTGAGACAGTCTCACTCTGTAGCTCTGGCTGGCTTTAAACTTGTGACACTCTGTTTACTGCGCTGGAGATGATGGGACCTGGGAGAATCGAGCTAATAAATGAGGCTGATTAAAGCCTCTCTCATGCAGTAGCCAACTTGATTCAGAGCATTAGACAGTCTGTACTCCAATGGTTAAGTAGAGTCACAGGTGTAACGGGGACATTCACAAGGACAAGTTGTGTGTGGCTGGCAAGCCATTTGTGGCCACACATGGCAAAAACATGTTTTTCCGTGGAGGCATATAAACAATAGCCAGTTGTAATGAATAATCTGAAGTAAACCCACTCCTGTCCATTGTACCTGGGAGGGCCATGAAAGCACATTCCAAGAACAGTTTCAAGTGTTTGAGGAAACCGAGATCCCATGACTCGTGCTGGCTTCTGGAGGTTTTCTCACAAGCACTCAGAATTCTCCTCACACAACTCCGTCCTTGGCATGTGGACGGACAGTGTCGGCTGAGATCACAGATCTGTGCCACCGTCCCTGGCCTCTCCATTCATTTGGCCTAGAGTTGTTTCAGGAGACAGTCTATGACGCTTGTTCTGAATCTAGCTTAATATGAAAACCATGACTACTATTTCTCCTGTGGGTCTCCTTAACCTCCTCGCTACCAGTGTGTCTCCCCAGTGTTCTGTACGTAGCTGAAACAGTAGAGGATGACGAGAGTGATTGTTCTAGGGACGCAGCTAGTTCTGGTCAGCATTAACTCTTTTGTGCTGAGGTCTCACTATGTAGCCCAGGCTGGCTTCAGCCTCCCAAGTTAGATTTACTCTTCTGAGCCACCACCCCAGGCAACAGAAACTATTCATTCCTAGATTCAGGGACTGAGATTTAGTGAGACTTGCCTGGCATGTGAAAAGCATTAGGTTCAATCTTCAACATTGTACACACGCAAAAATTACTAAAATATTACTATAAAATATGCAATATTTGCTAGGTTTAGACACATAAATAAGAGATTATGCTAAGCCTTAAATTTTAATTCTTTCTTGTTTATGGAGAAGAGAAAAAATTTAATTTGGAACCAGTTTTATTTTCATTGTGTGTAAGCTTTTAATAAACTTATATAATCCATTTAAAATTTAATTTTTAGTACAATGAACTTTTGTAAAACTAATCTGAAAAGCCCACTAATTTTACAACAGCTATTTTCAACATTATGAAATGTATTAGAAGCTAAATATGTCCTTTCTTTGAGATGATTGTCCTTTTACTTTGCAGGTTACACATTTTTGTTTACCCCAACTTCTTCCATTACTTAAACATACCACGTCATACCTTCACGAAGTTTTTGAATTTTATGAAGAAATTTTGACTTGTCGATATCCTTACTCCTGTTTTAAGACCGTCTTCATTGATGAGGCTTACGTTGAAGTGGCTGCTTACGCTTCTATGAGTATTTTTAGGTTAGTGTCTCTTCAAATGGAGAATGCCTAATTAGGGTAATGATAAAAGGAAAAGCTACTGACTGTATGATCAGTTTTAAGATTGGTTTTGAACTTCCGGTGTGATTGAGTTTATAGTTAACCTGGTGTGTTTAAGAATGTTAGAATGTAGCTTCCTGCATAAGGAAGTAACACATCCTAGTGCCTTTTTCCAGAATTATCCTTCACATTTCCATTTCTGGTTTCATTCTTAATGTTTAATGTTTGTAAATGTTTAATTTCCACATTTATGGGTCATTAGTATGTCTTTTGTAGCACTATAAAAATGTACTGGTATCCTCCATTTGTTGTTAAAAAACAAAACAAAACAGATTCTTTTTCTTTGTTTTAACCCTCCTTTTCTGCACTTTTTTTTTATGTCGTTGTGGTTTGTGTGTGGGTATTCCAAATTTCTAAGTTTTAGGTGTCAGGGCAGCTGTTTTACTTGACTTCCCTGACTCACGTGTCACGTGAGATTCTAATACTGTGCATTCTCCAGAACATGGTTAGAAAAACTGAATGGAGCAGTGTATTTGGAAGTAAATAACAGAGTGCCAAAATGTACCAGACACTCGAAAAAGGGTTCTAATTTTGTAATTGGGTTTCTGATTTGGGGAGAAGTGTTTCCATGCTATGTGTTTCAGGGTGTCTATGCACCAGACTGAACACTGGTTTACTGGAACGTGCCTCTACATCCAGCCTTGGTGAAGATTTGTGAAATTAAGTAACTCCATTGTATTGGGATTCATTTCTGATTAACACACTAGTTTCTTCCTCACTCCCCAAAATAGTGATTTATATTTTTTGTAAAATCAATAGAAAACATTTTCATTGTGTTCCTTGCTTTAGACAGATTGTGAATTTCAGATAAATTTTGGAAAGATTGGAAACTCTGAGGTAGAATATTCTTGACTTTTTCCTTCTGCATTGAACTTGAACCTAACACTGAATTGCTTGAGGAGTGCAGTTACTCTACTTTGACTGACCAACTGCTCATCCCTTGGTCCTAAGTGGCTACCGTGTCTTTGGCTTTCAGCACAAACCTCCTGCACAGTGCCATGATTATAGATGAGACGCCGCTGACCAGACGGTGCTTAGCGCAGGCCTTAGCACAGCAGTTCTTCGGATGCTTCATATCCAGAATGTCTTGGTGAGTGATGTCAGAGCTGCAGACTGAGCCTCACCCCTCCCCTCTTCTCTTGTTCTCTGAAAGTCTCTTGTGGTCCATTTTGTCCGCAAACTTACTATGACACTTGACGCTCCTGCCTCTCCCTCCAGGGGGTAACTGGTCTGTGCTGCTGCGCTTCCCTCTTTAGTTTCTTGTCTCTTCCTGTGTTATACACTGACTATTGCCCATAATTCATAAATGTTGAGTTATTTTGAGAGATTGCCTCAAAAAAGATAATTAGTAAGTTAGTCAATTAGTAAAATTTTATCTGAATTATTTTTGTATCAGCTTTATAAATCAGTTTATTGTTGGTGGTGGTATTTTACTCTTTTTGGGGGGCCCACCCCCCAACTCCCTAATAAATCACACGTGGAGGCTTATTTGTACTTATGAATGCCTGGCCTTAGCCTGGCTTCTTTCTTGCCCGCTTTCCTTAACTTATCCCATCTACCTTTTGCCTCTGGGCTTTTCCCGTTCTCTGACTTCTGTAACTCTTACTCCGTGGCTTGCTGTGTAGCTGGGTGGCCGGCCCCCCCGAGTCCTCCTCCTTCTCTGGCTCTTTCTCCTCTTTATAATTAGTGGGGCATGGTGGCACATGCCTCTAACTTCAGCACTCTACAGGCAGAGAGGCAGGTGGGTCTTTGTGTTTGAGGCCAGTGTGATCTACGTAGCAAGTTCAGAGAAGCACCCACTATGTGGTAAGACCCTGTTTCAAAAAAACAGCAGAGTTACTCATATAATTTACCATAAAATAAGAACTCTGAAAAATAATATCTTAGCTGTATAGAATGGAGATTTTAATATATAGAAAACTAATTAGAATTCAAATGTCAGTGTTCAAATTAGGTGGAAAAATGTTTGAGATGGTTCTTTTTTTTGGGGGGGGGGGTTTCGAGACAAGGTTTCTCTGTAGCTTTGGAGCCTGTCCTGGACTAGCTCTGTAGACCAGGCTGGCCTCGAACTCACAGAGATCCGCCTGCCTCTGCCTCCCAAGTGCTGGGATTGCAGGTGTGCGCCACCACCGCCCGGCTGAGATGATTCTTAAAGCAAAGTAATTATCTTCAACAGTACTGATAGTGGTGTAGAGAATTTGCCTTTTAGTTTTTAGATTTTTGCTAGTTTTCTTGAGAGAAGGGAAGGAGAAGTGTATTTGGGGCTGGAATGCGGCTCAGGTACAGTGCTTTCTTGTAGGTGCTAGCCCCTTGGTTTGAGCCCCAACACTGAAAACAGAGATAATCTTTATTTTCTTTAACTTGAGATGAATTTTTTATTGATTTTAGTCTGTTTTTGGAGAAGGGGTCTTAACACTGTGACTTTGGCTGGCTTACAGTATAGACCAGGTTGGCCTCAAACTCTGTCTACTGAGTGCTAGGATTACAGATGGAAGTCACCACTTGGCTACTTATAGTTAATAAAGCACAGTACAAAAATTCCTTGAGATTATAATTTCTTTTATATTTTAATAATGTGGGACTCACTTTTATCTTACTTTTTACAGATTTAATGTTATTGTTTTTGTGTGTATGATGGATATATGTGAGTAGATTTAATAATGTGGGACTCACTTTTATCTTACTTTTTACAGATTTAATGTTATTGTTGTGTGTGTATGGTGGATATATGTGAGTAGATAAGTGGTTGGTGCCAGTTGCCTTTTCTCTAGAGAAAGTACAAATATTAAACAGTTTTGCCTAAGTATATTGTAAAACCTAGGTTGTGAAAGTGATGTCTATGTGTTACAGTAAAGAATGTGGGATTGGAGTTTCCTGTATGAGGATTTGAACTCAGGGTGTTGTACATGCTAGGCAAGCATTCTGTCACTGAGATATATTCTCAGTCCAAGAATGTGGATTTTGTTTTGATCTTTTGAGATAGCATCTTACCTAGCTTAAGATGTCCTTGAACTCAACTATATAGCTGAGGGTAACCTTGAACTCTTGACCATTCTGCCTCAGCCTCCAAGTGTGGAGAATGCCAACACACCTTGCAAATGTGAACTTTTGAATTAAGCAGTCCTGATTATGGACAAGTACTTCTTTCGTGGCAGACAGTCTGAACAGTGGCGTTGAGAGAAAGTAGCACTATCAGAGTGAATACATTGCTAAATTCAACTTCAGAGGAGACAGTAAAGCATTGTGGACTTCTGACTTTTTCTGTACTACAGATCAAACCCAGAACTGCAGGAATACTGGGAAATCACTGCTACTGAGCTACGCTATTCCAGCCTATACAGGCAGACACAAAGTCTGTACAAAAAAATCCTGTTGTAGGATTCATACACTTAGCACTAGTGGAGCCCGTTCCTGATTTCCGAAGAGGACAACTGTCCACTTGCAGTGTGTCAGGCCTTGTAGTAAGCATTGATTTTAAGCAGTCTTAAGATTAAAGATCCAGTCAGATGTGGAGAAGGGTGGGTGGACACTTACTCTGTTACACTGTTTGACCCTGCTTGGACAGGTTTTAATGATTAAAAGCTTTATTGACTTTTCCTTAGGTCTGATGAATGGGTGCTGAAGGGAATTTCCGGCTATATTTATGGACTCTGGATGAAAAAAACTTTTGGTGTTAATGAGTACCGCCACTGGATTAAAGAGGTAAACAAGAGCTAGCTTTGTCTTCCACTTGTAAGTCAGTAATGTGTGCTAGTGTTTTCCTGATTTCCAGGTTCCCTGGCCTTCACTTTCTGTTTGTTTGTTTTGTGTGTGGGGGCAGTGCACAGCTAGGGTGCGGATGTGGACAGAAGACAGTTTACTGCAACTGTTTCTCTTGCACTGCCTGTGAGTCCTGGAGTCAGGCTCAGGTTCTCAGGCTTTTTGGCCAAGTCTTTACCCACTGAGCCATCTTGCTAGCCCTCTTGTCCTCTAATGAGTGTACAACAGCTCTTTTCAAATACAATGAAAATACATCCCAAGAAAAGATTTAACTCTGCTTCCTACGTTTGTTTCCCCGTCTTTGCTGGGTAAGGATGGTAGAGTGGCAGCGTCCACTCCACTCGTAGGGAGAGGGGTACCTTACTCACGCAGTGGGAAGGGTGCTTTGCACACAGCCGCCCCCGTGTGTCAGCGAGCCTTCAGTACCTACCTGTTCCCTGTCACTGCCGCATCTTTCTCGGTTACTTAAAGATGAAGGCAAAAAATGAAAAGAGTATTTTGGATATCTATTTCTTATGCACATAGATACTTTATTGATTTCTTTAGATTTGATTAGATCCTTAAATTCATTGTTTTCAAGTAGAAAAATCCCCACCTTAATATCATTATTAAATTAACATTCTATCCAAAGAATTGTTAGAGGGATCACACGCTTAGCACTGGTAGAGCCCATTCTTCCTTTTAGAAGAAGGAAATAACTGACCGTTTAACAGTGTGTAATGAAATAGTATTGTAATAAAAAGAATACTATCATAATTCTTTTACTCTCCCCACTTTACATATGAAGAAACTAAGGCACATAGATGTGGTGATGTATTGTGTACCCTAATAAAATTTGCCTGAAGATCAGAGAACAGAATAAGCTACTAGAGTAAACATAGATGCCAGGCAGTGGTGGCACACACCTTTAATTCCAGGACTAGGAAGGAAGTGACATGTCAGGGCAGAGAAAGATACATAAGGCATGAGGAGACAGGAACCTAGGCCCTTTTTTGGCTGGATCCCTTTCGGCTGAGGACTCAGAGACATTCAGTCAGAGGATTCGTGGAGTTGGTGAAGTGAGAAGTAGCTGTGGCTTGTTCCTTTGTCTCTCATCTTTCAGCATTTACCCCAGTATCTGGCTCCAGGTTTTTATTATAAGATCATTTAGATTTTGTGTTATACATAGAATTTAAATTATTTAGTAAAGTATATGGCTAATCAACTGTATTGCCAGGATCCAGTTGGCTTTTAATCATCTTACGATGCTGTTTACCTCTTTTCTCTGCTGTCTATATTATTTAACCCGTTCATGAATTCCAGCATAGTTATGATGCTGTCTTTTTTAAAAAACATTTATTACTTGACTGTATTTCTTTTCCTCTTTTTTTTTTTTAAGATTTATTCATTTATTAGTTATGCACATACACCTGCATGCCAGGAGAGGGCACCAGATCTCATAGATGGTTGTGAGCCACCATGTAGTTGCTGGGATTTGAACTCAGGACGTCTGGAAGAGCAGCCAGTGTTCTTAATCGCTGAGCCATCTCTCAAGCCCTGATGTTGTCTTTTTTAAACTTTTCTTTCTTTTCTTTTTTAAAAACTGCTATTATATGTTAGAGAAGAACAGAGGAGTTTTAAATTGATAGATTATTAGCATAATTTAATCTCCCTTCTTCTTAACTGGCTTAGTCCTTAGGTGCAAAGTACTGAGGACTAAGTCAATTTAGAAGACAATTCTGAGAGGCAGAGAAGAGCCATAACAAAAAGTTGCTGACCTGTTATCGAGCCCTGCAGTCACAAAATACAGAGAAATTTTTGGATTTTACCCTTGAGTCAGCTTGTGTAGCTTGCTCTCTTTATAAAAACAAGAGCTATTCTCCAGATATAGTTTGTTACCTTATATTTACATCTGATTCCACAAAAGAAAATTTGTGCTCTAGTACTAAAGATGGTTGTATGAAGAAGTTTTCACTGACTCTTACTTTTGTATCTTTTTTAGGAGCTAGATAAAATAGTGGCGTATGAACTGAAAACCGGGGGAGTTTTATTACATCCCATATTTGGTGGTGGAAAAGAAAAGGATAAGTATGTTATTGTTCTGAGATGATGTTATAAACCTCGTTTTATAGACTACCTCTTAGAGGATCGCGCTTGTGTGTTTCTGGCGAACCATAACGGTAGTGTGACGCCCCAGACTGATAGTATGCCAGTGCCCCTCACTGCTGTTGGGTCATTTGGTGACTGACAGTGAATGAAACTTTGTGCTAAGTTTTCTAACGCAACTTCGTCATACTGTTGTTAAAACTTAAAATCTTTGGAAGTAGTATTTTGCTTATTGTGATGGTTAATCTTAATTGTCAACCTGATTCAATTGAGAAATGCCCAGAAGATTAGTAAAGCACACTTCTAAGTCTGTGTGAAGATGTTTCCAGGGAGGATTGAGCAGACAAGAAGCTACTTTAATGGGGGTGCTCTACCCTGTGCACTAGCCTTAGGAGGCACAGGGCTACTTTCATGGGGGTGCTCTACCCTGTGCACTAGCCTTAGGAGGCACAGGGCTACTTTAATGGGGGTGCTCTACCCTGTGCACTAGCCTTAGGAGGCATGAGGCTGGTTGAAATGAAAGAGGTCAAGGAAGAACCCCACAAGCATTTTCTCCATGCTTCCTGGCTTCCCGGAGACAGTATCTGTGCTCTGCCATGTCCTTCCCACCAAGTAGATTAAAACTGAGCTGTAGTACATCCTTCCACTTTTCAGTCACTTTGATCAGGTTTTTGTTACAGACAAAAAGTTTAGCACAGAAAATGTGCACTGTTTCTAAACTTAACTATGGTTCTTAAGCCTTTGGAGCTGAGTTTTGAAAGAAATTTGGAACAGTTTGGAGATGTAGGCTTTTGTATCTCTAAGAGTATGTACAGCAGTATGTTTAGTGGACAATTCTGTTTAGAGCTCAGAAGACCAAATGCCAAGAGAAATATGGACAGTAAAGACTGACTCAGGAAGTTTATGATACAACTAAGAACTCTACCAGGAGTTGGGCTAGTAGAGGCCATGCATGTCAAATTATAGCAAAGAACAAGTCTCCACTTTTCTACCCTGAGATTTCAAGGTAGCTTTTGTTTGAATTTTGTTGGCTGTTTTGAGACAGGTTTACAGTGAAAATTGTGAGCAGAAAACTTTTAAGTTTGCCCAGAAAAGAAACAAAGTCAGGGCCATGGGAGCTGACAGCCGAAGAGATTAAGACCATTAAAAGAAGCAAAGGAATTTGCACTGGGACAATAGGAAGGGCTCCTTGAGGCCATCTGAGGAGCTGCCTGAACCTCACCTGTCATGGGTATAAGGGAAAAGATGAGAAGAAAGCTCTAGAGCTCCCTGATTGTGCCTGGATCTCCAGGGAGAGGTTTTCCTGAGTTCAGCCATATGGATACTTACAGGTCATGCAGCTGAAATCCGAGAAGGTCTGGCTACTGGTTGAGCAGGTAGCAGACCTTGATATCAGATGTGTGATGGCTTTGCAGGTGTGTGGTGTGCAAGTTATGAGGTCATAGAGGCCTGATTTCAGTGGAAGACCTGGGAGGCTAAGCAGTGTGTGGCAAGGTCAGGACGCCTTGGGTAGCCTCTGAGTGTATAAGGGTATGAGAATGAAGCCAGAGATGGAGTCAGACCCCAGGAAGTTAGTGGTGAGAAATCTGCAAGGAAAAGCTTCAAGCAGCCAAAACAGCCCGAGACAGAGGCCATGTGTGCCATCAAAGTGAAGCAGCAAGTCCCAGGCTGCAGAAGAACTTGGGACCCATACCTGGCTCCTACAATAAGTCCTGGATGCTGGACATGGAACTATGGTGTCTTAAGTTTTACTCTGCCATGCTTTGGTTTGCATTGGACCTATCCTTCTGTTCTCCTCTGCTTAGGAATAAGAATGTTTACTCAGCCATTGTATCCTGAGAGTGTTGGCACAAAAACATAATGCTGACCTCAAAGGGGAGTATAAGAGAGTTTATTCTAGAGCCAGGTAAGGGTGATCCTGGCCCATGGACACAGGTAGATGCAGGTTTCCCCAAACCCCATATTAATGTGTGGCAGCAATTTTATGTTAACAGAACAAAGTCACAAATCAGCATACTTTTCAAATACATTGTTGGTACTCAGTGTCAGACCCAGGGATTCTCAAATGCATTAGCAGCGGAGCTGCACTGCAGCCTTGTCCTTGGATTTTTCTTGTTTTTACAGTTATATTGTTTCTATTTTATGTATATGGGTAAAGCTGAATTTGGAGGCAACACCACACAGACATTGATTGTGAGAGTATAATTTGATACACTTTTGAAAGGTAATTAGTTAGAGCCAATCAGTTTTAGAATGGCTTGTAACAGCATTTCTGCTGTATGTATAGTATCATAAAAAATTGTGCTTTTAGGTATTTGCTGTGCAAAAGTATTTGTGTAAAATTTACTGTAGCATTTTGGAAGAGTGGAAGATTATGAACAGCTTAAATTGTTTACATTAAATGTAAAGTCCATCTTCTACTTATTTTTTTCTTTAATAGTCATATTTGTTTTATTGAGTGAATTTATGTTTTTTTCCAGCCCCGCATCTCATCTTCACTTTTCAATAAAGCATCCACATACACTGTCCTGGGAGTACTACACTATGTTTCAGTGTAAGGCTCACCTTGTGATGAGACTGATTGAGAACAGAATCAGCATGGAGTTTATGCTACAGGTAAGTACTAGGGTTAAGACTTAGCAACATTAAAGAAATAACTGTATGTCTGTCTGTATGTGTTAGTTACTTTTCTATTGCTGAGATAAAACACCATGACTAAAGCAACTTATTTATTTATTCGTTATTTATTTTTTGAGATAGAGTTTCTCTTTGTAGCCTTGACTGTCCTGGAACTCAACTCTGTAGACCAGGCTGGCCTTGAACTCAGAACTCCACCTGCCTTTGCCTTCCAAGTACTGGAATTAAAGGTGTGTGTCACCACCACCTGGCGACTAAGGCAGCTTATTAAAGTGTTTATTTGGGCTTAAAGTCCCAGGGGCTCGAGTCTGTGGTGTGGAGCAAAGGCAGGGTGACGGGCAGCTGAGACAGCAGGGAAGACGCATATTTTGGTCCACAAACAGGAGGCAGAACACACTGAGAATGGAGACTTTGAAACCCTAAAGCCTGCTCCCGTGACACACCTCCTCCCGAAAGGCCACGCTTCCTAGTTCTCAAACAGCTGCCAACTCCTGACCAAGTATTCAAATGCCCGAGACTCATGGAGCACAGTTCATTTAAGTCACCACATTCGCCTCCCTGTCTCTCATAGTCTTGTGGCCTTATCATCATGCAAAATACATCTAGTCCAGCTTCAAAAGTCCCCACAGTCTTTACAGTCAAAACACTGTTTCAAAGTCCAAAATTTCTTCTGAGACTTCAGGCAATCTCTTAATTATAATCCTCTGTAACAGGAAAAACAGATTATATCGGGCAGTGGTGGCACATACCTTTGATCCCAGCATTCGGGAGGCAGAGGCAGGGGGATTTCTGAGTTTGAGGCCAACCTGGTCTACAGAGCAAATTCCAGGATAGCCACAGCTACATAGAGAAACACTATCTAGAACAAAAAAGAAAAAAAATGCATAATTCTAACAGATAATGGCATATAATATACATTACCATTCCAAAAGGGAGGAATTGAGGCATAGTGAGGAAAAACTGGACCAAAGCAAGAATGAAACACAGCGGGACAAACTCTGAATTCCTTAGCTCTGTATCCAGTGTTAAAGGGTTTAGATGGCTCTGCCCTTCCTGCTTTTCTGCCTGCAGCACACTTCTGTCTCCCGAGCTCATTCCCCTCTCTGTGTAGCTCTCCTTGACAGATGTCCATGGCTCTAGCACCTCCAACCTCTTGGGATCTCCAACATCGCTAAAGTTTCACCAAGTGGCCTCTGAAGGCCTCCATATAGGGACTTAGCTGCCACACATCTGGCCTCAGCTGCTCTCCTTAACACCAGAGGAAGATTCCACAGCTAGTTACTTTGTTGCTATCATTAAATTTTGCCATATTTTACAGTTTTAGTACAAGTAGTTACAATATAGGAGATGAAATAGTAGAAACAAGGTAGATGGATTACTTGTATAAATATATATGGTATATATGCTTTTTTTTTGACCCACTCTCTCTCCTTCCCCATTCCATTCTGTTCTTCTTTTTTCTTTTTCTTTATTTCTCATTTTCTCCTTGAAATGCTGAGGATCAAATATCTGGTCTTATACATACTAGGCAAATATTGTTCTCAAATGGATAGATGCATTAAAAAATAACAGCTAAATTTTCCCCATTGATAACATTCTTAAAGGCATTTTAAAAGAAAAACTTTTAAAAAATCATTTTTGCTGAGGATGTAGTACAGTGGAATGCTTGCTTAATGTGACTGGGGCCCTGGGTTTAATTCCTGATATTATAAAAATGAAAACATACAATTTTTTCTAAAGATTGAAGAACAGAAATATTAAATAAGAAAAGTGTGCCATAAAAAGGGCATTTATACTTTTCAGAATGGAATAGATTTTAATTAGTATTCTCATTTACGAATTTTCTTTTGTAATGCTAGGTCACATGTGCTAGGTAAATACCACCCCACTGAAACACAGCTCCATTCCTCTTTCATATTTCCTTTTTTTAAAAGTAAAAGACACATAAAATTTATGACATGTTTAACATGAGAGTACTAGGCTCCTAATGAATATTCCTAGTTTTGAATTCCTGTATAAAATTTGGTAGGTATTATATATTGTGCTTCTAATCCTTAATAAATGATATTTTATGTGCACATTGTTAACATTCAGTAATATTTCTATGAACAATGTTCTTATATCCTGTTTAAATATTTGTATGTTTCTCTTGCTTTTAGCAGTTAACTCAAAAAATCTATATGTTACATAATTGCTGTCTTCTGTAAATGATCACAAAGGATCCAGTGCAACCTAGGTGCAGGGTCCCATTGGAAAGGGTGTTATGTGGGCATCTGTCCTTGCAGGTCTTCAATAAACTCCTAAGTCTGGCTAGCACCGCCTCATCTCAGAAGTTCCAGTCACACATGTGGAGCCAGATGCTGGTTTCCACCTATGGGTTTTTGAAATCCATTTCCAACGTCTCTGGCAAAGACATCCAGCCCTTAATAAAGCAGTGGGTGTATCCTTTTCAAAAAGTAGCAGCTCAGCAAAGTGGGGAAGAGAATAAGCGATGGGAAAGATGGGAAAGAGGGAGGCAATCCATTGATATTTCTCTAAAATTAGAAATAACTGACCGGTGACTTGTGTCTTCTGAAGCTCCTTCCAAAAACTGAGTTGGAATCATATGTAAACATGGATGTTTATATTTATAAAATTTGACGTAGTTTGTGTTATTTCATATGAACAGAAAGGTAGGTTCCATGGAGATAAGGTAAGTACTCTAGCAGACAGGCTTATAGTATTACTTGTAAGATGAAATGGTCTGGTGACTTTTAAATGTGTTTGGAGCTTGGCATGACTTGAATGGTATCTTGGAACTTGGCAATTTTTACATTTTTCATTTGAAAGTACTATTAATAATCCAGTGGAGTGGTGTTACTTTAAAAACATGAGCTTCTCAATGTTTCAGGAATTTTGTTTAATCTGGGAAACATTTTTCACAAGAATTTTGACTATTTTGCCACCTGGGATATAATGAAGTGTACTTTGATCTAGTGGGAATACATTTGAAAATTGTTAATATAATAAGCTTTTTTAAAAAGCACATTTTCATTTTAGTATGTAAAATTTCCTTTACAATTCTTCAGAGATCAGAGTGGAGTAGTAAAATTTTACGGAAGTTTTGCGTTTAATAGAAAACGAAACGTTTTAGAACTAGAAATAAAACAAGATTACACATCTCCGGGAACTCAGAAGTATGTGGTACGTGTTTTTCTAGAAGAGTGTGTTGCTCTGTCAAGCACGGTTCCAGTAGAGGAAGGGTTTTCGAGCTGGGGTGACTGATGACTTTGCAGCGAGTACTTGAAGGGAGGAGGCTACAGAGAGAGATTTCAGAGCATGCATCCTCTCGCTTCCCTGTGCTTGGCACCAGCTGAAGTCTCACTCTGTCACTGTGTATACTTTGATATTGTGACTTACCTGCCTTTCAATGTAAGGATATGCATTGGCCGTTTTCTAGCAGTCTGAATGGTATGTTGCTGTTGTTTCTTTTAAGGGACCACTTAAAGTGACAGTGCAAGAGTTAGACGGATCCTTCAACCATACCTTGCAAATTGAAGAAAACAGCCTTAAACATGATATACCCTGCCACTCTAAAAGCAGAAGGTAGGCAGTGAGTGCTAACTCTAAACCGGAGCTGAAACTACAAATCCCACCCGGAAAAAGGACTAACTTAAACTCCAGTTGTACACCCAATGTTTGCAGGAAGAGCATCTTACCTGCTAGCTTTTTCTCCTGTTGTCCATCGTGTTAGCATTACCACACATACTTTGCATCTGATGTCGTTGTTAACGTTTTTGAGACAGGAGCTCATGTAGCCCTACTAGCCTTGATCTTATTTCCACCTCCCGAATATTAGAATCACAGGCGTGCATCCCTACACACCCAGCTCTTGCTTTCTGTTGTTGAAACACCTCTGTCTTTGGAATTATTTTTTTATATTTATTTAAATTAATTTTAGGACATAGTATCACTCTATAATCCAGGCTGGCTTAGAAGTCACTATACTAAACGCAATCTGTGTGCCTCTGCTGCCCAAGTGCTGGGATTATAGGGATTATAGGCTTCTGCTATCATGTCTGGCTTTAAATAAAATTTTCATTTGCTTTTTTTTTTTTTTTGAGGGGGGGCAGGTCTCATGTATTCCAGGCTGATTTGCTTTCAACACCCACTTTCTCTAGCTTCAAGGTAGATTTTGTTGTTCTTAAATTCCATTTTGCTGGGCGGTGGTGGCACACGCCTTTAATCCCAGCACTTGGGAGGCAGAGCCAGGCAGATCTTTGTGAGGTCGAGGCCAGCCTGGTCTACAGAGTGAGATGTGAGATCCAGGAAAGGCGCAAAGCTACACAGAGAAACCCTGTCTCGAAAAACCAAAAAAAAAAAAAAAAAATTCCATTTCATTGTATATTCACTCTTCTTTGGCATATCTTTTAATGTTTCATGAAACCCTGTATTTGAACTTTGACTGCTTAGTAGCTCCATTCTGATTTGGAAATCCCACAGTTTTCAATTTTACTTTTCTTTAAATATAGGAATAAGAAGAAAAAAATCCCACTGATGAATGGGGAGGAAGTTGACATGGATCTTTCTGCAATGGAGTAAGTTACTTAAAAGTATGTAATTATCTTTGAAATGCATGTTTTTAAAACCCCTTAAAGTCAAGCAAAACTGTTAGGAAACAATTAACTCATTGAGGATAAGATATTATGTTCAGACTGGCTGAAAAGAAGAAATGCAGTAGTGTAGGCACAGGCCAAGCCTCAGCTACACAGCCTTCTTGCTCTCTCGGTGGTTCCTTGAGTAGTAGTTCTCAAACTGATATTCATGGGACTCCCTTGAGAAACCTTAAAATGCCATTTCTGATTCATTGTGTTACTTGTGGGCCTGAAGTTTCGATTTCAAATGAATCCAAGGTGGCATTCATTGTGTTTGGGACAGTGCTCCGGAGCACGGTGAGACAACCTCTGTGGTCGCACTGTTTGAATACCACACTTCTAAGTTTTCCTATTTAGTTTTGGTTTCTTGAGACAAGGTCTCTTGTAGCCCAGGTGGTTTTTGCTGAGCCTGGCCTTTTGTTTTTGTTTTCACTTTATTTTACATGCATGAGTGTATTGTGCTTGCATGTTTGTCTGTGTTTGACATGCATTCCTGGTGCCTGTGGAGGTCAAAAGAGAACGCACCAGATCCGCTGGAACTGGAGTTGCAGACAGTTGTGAGCTACCATTTGCATGCTGAGAATTAATTGAACCTGGGTCCTCTTAACCGCTGAGCCATCTCTCCAGCCCCTGGACTTGAATTCTTGATGCTCCTGCTTCTATAGCTGATTGTGATACTGATTGATATTTCTTAAGTATATTTTTATAATGAGTATGTCAAGAGCACCCAGTATTGAACTGAATTGGTATTACAAAGTGGTATTCTTCTGATCAAAATATTGACATAGCCTTGATTTTTACTTTGCGTGTTACTTGAGAAATACATGAGAATAAATTGATGGGCCTTCAAATTATGATTTGATCTTTCTTGAGAGAGGTAGTCATGAGTTTGTTTTTTTGATTTGAAGCAAGGTTTCTCTTTGTAACAGCTCTGGCTGTCCTGGAACTCATTTTGTAAACCAGGCTGGCTTCAAACTCAGAGATCCACTTGCCTCTGCCTCCTGAGTGCTAGGATCAAAGGCATGTGCCACTACCACTCAGTGAGTCTAGCATTTTAAAAGATACTCTATGTTAACTAAAATTAATTCAGTAAAACAAATGCTTTCCTTTTTTTTAAAATTTCTAATAAGGAGTAATGTTTATAGCTATAGTCAGTTATAGGAAGTTAAAGTTTTATCATTTACATTTTGATATCTCATAATTGCAGTAAAACTTCCCAGAGTAATATTTTCAGTGGAAAATCTGGGATTTGGTATTCTATGTGGTAACTCTTCATTATGTAGCAACTCTTCATACCTTTAAAGATCTTTAGTAAGATTGTGAGAAAGTTATCTTAACACATTGAAAAGTTGGTTGAAGTTTTAAAGTATCACTATGATAAAACTCTCAACAGCATGCAAAGCCTGTGTCTAGAGGGGAGACTGAGTAGTGACTGCTTTGTTTTTGTTTTCCATAGGTAAGTTTTAAAGTTCTAAAACTTTATTCTCTCTTAGCGCTGATTCCCCTTTGCTGTGGATAAGGATAGACCCAGACATGTCAGTCCTGAGGAAGGTGGAATTTGAGCAGGCTGATTTCATGTGGCAGTATGAACTCCGCTACGAGAGAGATGTTGTTGCTCAGCAGGAATCCATCCTGGCCTTGGAAAAATTCCCCACCCCGGCATCTCGTCTTGCACTCACTGATATTCTAGAGCAGGAGCAGTGTTTCTACCGAGTTAGAATGTCAGCGTGCTTCTGTCTTGCAAAGGTGAGGTTACACAGGAGGAAGGAGACTGCCCTATGACTGCTGTGCACTTTTTTTTTTCTTTTTTTTTTTTGGTTTTTCGAGACAGGGTTTCTCTGTGTAGCTTTGCGCCTTTCCTGGGACTCACTCTGTAGACCAGGCTGGCCTTGAACCCACAGAGATCCTCCTGCCTCTGCCTCCCAAGTGCTGGGATTAAAGACAGGCACCACCACTACCCAGCTACCAACCATATTTTTAAGGGTAAGAATAATTTTGGTTAGAAGTTCTGTGACTGGGGACTGGAGATATGGCTCAGCAGTTAAGAGAACTGGCTGCTCTTCCAGAGGACCTTAGTTCAGTTTCCAGCACCCACATGGTGTCTCCCAGCACCCACATGGTGTCTCACAACCGTCGGTAATGGGATCTGGTGCCCTCTTCCAGCGTGCAGGTGTGCATGCAGACAGAACACTCATGATCATAAATAAATCAATCTGAAAAATAGAAAAGAAATTCTATGATTGTAGTAATTTATGTTTTTATGTGAGAATACATAAAATTAACACATTTTGATTGTTCCATTGTGGTAGTTATTTTATTTTGGTTTAGGAATTGAAATTAGTGGTAAATAATCTACAATAATTATCTCTATGATTTAACATTCTAACAAAAGTTACTTTATCAATAAACAGTCTTTAGATTAAAGAAAAGTCTGAACAGAAGGATGCAGACAGAAAGTTGAGCAAACGTGCTGTGTACCGAGCACTTAAAGCATCTGCATGACAGGCTTGCTCCCATTTCAGTGGGTGCTGATGCTCTCTAGTTGTTTTGTCTGGCTTTGTGCGCTCAGATAGTAGAGAGAAAATGGTATTACTTGCTAGGGATGCATTTCATTGGCACTTTGAAAAGTCTTGTGATTTTTGTTAAAATCGTAGCAGAGCCATAAAACTACAAGATAAAATATTTAATCATAATTTCCTTTATTTCAGATACTTTTTATAGGCCCTAAAAATTTCAATACTAAGAGTTTTTTTTTCCTTGAACTCACTGAGATCCGCCTGCCTCTGCCTCCTGAGTGCTGGGATTAAAAGTGTTAGCTACCACTGCCTGGAATGAATTAAATAGTTAAGGAAAGGAAATGCTTTAAAGTTTTGAACTTTGAACTTTGAGCTTTGCTGAAAGTCCTTTTCCTGGGGTCTCTTACACATTAATTTGTTTTTATAGCTTATTAATTTATGAATTTGTTGTTGTTTTGCGTCAAGTAATCTAGGACTAGCCTTGCTTACTTAAACATAGCATTTGCTTGGTACATAAAGTTCAGTGTCTCTTTTCCTTTATTTTTATCTTTTGTAGTTTTTTATTGTGCTTAAATTTGAGGTATTTAGATATTCCTTATCTGTGAAGCATGAGTTTCTTTTCATGTGCCAGATCAATTTTAAGTGGCTGGAACCCCAGGGGCACTGCTTTCGGACAGCCGCTTCAGCATGCTGGGCTTGCAGTACACCTGCAGCCTCGTCAGCCCCGGAGTGAGAGACCCGGGAGACTCAAGCCTCTGCGCTTGTTCGGAGTTAGCAGTCGCCAGCCGAGTGTCAGTGGTTTTTTTTTTTTTTTTTTTACCAGCAAGAGTAGGGCACATGGCTTGCATAAGAGAAAACAACCATTCACTCAGCATTGGCTTCTGCTCTTGAGTAGGGGACAGATACCAGCATGGAAGCACTTAAAGGCCTTGTACATGACCTGGGCTAGGGGCAAAGGAATAGAGTCTGTTGTGTACCCTAGGCTGGCCTGGAACTTATCTTCATCATGTCTTAACCTTGCCTCTCACTATTCTTCTTCAAATAAATAATATATCGTATTTGGCTTCATTTTCACTTGAGTAGACTGAAAAATATTTAAAACTCACAGTAATGTTTTTAGTCTTAAAAGCTTAAAATATCAGAATTGCATCTACTGAGGGGATAGGGACAAACCCAGTCAGAGGTCTTTGCAAGCACATTTTCCTTAAACACAAGAGGATGCTGGCATTAGAAGTTAACTTGTGCAGAATGACTGTAAATCACATAGGAGTGGGCTTTTGGTTTATCTTGGGTTTTTTTGTTTGTTTGGTTGGTTGGTTGGGTTTTTTGGTGAGTGAATTTGTATATTTTCTTGGAAATGGGTAATAAATGACCAAGTTGCATTAATTTCCAAGAACCGTAGTGTTGGCTTTTAGAATTTTGTCTTCAAAGTGTATTTATAATGGTGATGCACAGTACTTCATCTTCTGATTGTTTACAGATTGCAAACTCAATGGTGAGCACATGGACAGGACCACCAGCCATGAAGTCTCTCTTCACTAGAATGTTTTGTTGTAAAACATGTCCAAACATCGTGAAAACAAACAACTTCATGAGCTTTCAGAGCTATTTTCTACAGAAGGTACTCCTTACTTCTCTTTGTTCTTAATGATGTCTTTATACTAACCAAATTTTATTGATGCTCACCTAGTAGGATTTTTTATCCACAAACTCTTGTGTATCCGTTTAACTTGGAAACTGTCCATCTGATAGGTGTGTATTTCTTACAAATCTACTCTGCTCTGAAGTTTTTCTAAAGTTTTAAGTGGTTACTCATGTTTATCATTTTATACAAATCATATCTACATTGCTTGTAACGTGGAAAAAAATGAGTGGCCTTTGATTGGTAACAAGGAACCGAGGTCTGGAGTCTGTGCACACCTTTCTGATAGCAGGCCTCTTAGAGTGGGGACAGTACATTCTGACTCAGAAGCAGCCCAGCTCAGAGTGCCAAGGCTTTGCTTGCTTGTTTGGAGACAGACGTCATGTAGCTTTGGCTGCCTGCAAGATCCTGCACTGGGAGGGCAGTGCCAGTCACTGTTCTGCTAGATGCCACATTTACATTTTCAGAAAGAAGAAATTAGATGAAATCTGTAGAGTGTGTTTAATGTTAAATTTACAGGAAGCTTTCTATTAATAAGTTAGAGGGAGACTAGAAGTGTGGCTACATTGAAGTATGGGAAGGTGACTAATTGTTGAGTGGTTTGGAAATCATTTACAGACTTTGTCAGTCAAAAGAATGAAGGCTAAGATTAGATGAACTGGATGAACTAGTACTAAGTGTGGAGTTAAAAGAAGAGAAAAGAGATGAGAGGGTTGCCTTGATCTTAGTTGAAGAAGAGGGCAGCTGCTTCGGACAAGGCACAGTAGAGAGAAGAATCACTGCGATTTGTTTTCTTCTATGTCTAAGATTAGGCACCTCCAGGCTTGTTTGATAGAAAGGGAAGCCAGAGGAGAAAGTTAATATAAAACAGGTCAGGCTTTGAGCAGAAAGAAAGACGTGAGAGGCAAGTGGAAGGAAAGGTATGAACACTGTTTTTCTCAAGCATGTAGAAAGGAAATTTTCTTTTAAGTGAAACTCCTTCTGTAGCTCCGAAGATTGTGGAAGAGGGGCCCAAAGCAATAACAGAGCCCAGAGAATGTTGTGGGACACCTTCTTTAGGGCAGGGCATGGCTGTTAGTTACACTTTGGACCCCTTAGCAGAGTGATTATCAGCGAAAGACCTACTCAAGATAGCACCTTCAGTGTTCTGTCGGGAGGAGTGGCACTCCCTGGGCCCCACCCTCCCTTCGGGTATAAAGGCAGTTAATGACTATGAGAGGGGAGAGTTGCTTTCTTCAGTGGTCTAGCAACTGGTAAGAGGCCCTTGTTCTCATAAGCGACCCTAATGCAACTCAATGGGTTACCCAAAAATGAAATAGTAAAGAAAGAAAAAAGACATGACAGTGAAGGGGTCCTGATTGGAGAGAGGAATAGGATTAGCAGGAGTTGGTAGTGGAGCTCTGTATATATGGCAAAAAGGAAGGTAAAATGGAGGTTAGAGATTTTGCTTGCTCTTTTTTTTTTTTTTTTTTTTGGTTTTTGGGAGACAGGGTTTCTCTCTGTAACCGCAGGTGTCCTGGAGCTAGCACTGTAGCCCAGGCTGGCCTTAAACTCACAGAGATCTGCCTGCCTCTGCCTCTCAAGTGCTGGGATCAAAGACGAGCGCGAGCACCACTGACGGGGCTTCTTTTCTAGTAAAAGGAAATAGACTGGACAGGATGAGAACATATGTGTGTCATAAAGATAGTTGTAAGGCTTTTTGTTTTGTTTTGTTTTATTTTGTTGTTGTTTGTATGTATTTCTTCCAAAATGTGTTTGTGTGCATGTTAGGTTGTTGTGTAAAGTTTATTTCTTACTGTGGGTTGAAGTGAAAAACTTGGAGAGAGAATGCTTTTAGTCCAGTTGACTTTTACATAACACTTGAAGTTGGCAGAAGAGAAGAGTTAATGCCTAAATCAAACACTTCAACTTCCCACGCTAAGGTGCAGAATGGGCAGAGAACAGATATTTCTGTGGGGAAAGGAGCTTCCCCTGAGTTCCTCCTTCAGAACCAGCACTGACTGCATCAGTCCCTGCTCTCGTTGCTGTGACCGAGGCAGCGAAAGGAAGGCAGGCTTTGGTTCGGCTCACAGCTGGAGAGGACGTAGTCCATCGGGAGAGAAGCATGGGGCAGCGCATGACGTGCTTGGTCACATTGCATCTACAGTCAGGAAGCATTGAAATGTGAATGCTGGCTCTCAGCTCACTTGTTCCCCAGTCTGTGGAATAGTGCCACCCATAGCCACCCTCCAGCTAAAGCTCTGGAAATGCCCTCAGAGTCATGCCCAGAAGTCTGTCTCCTAGGTGACTCCAGATCTAGTCACCTTCACTGATTCACTGTCACACTACTGTTGATTTTATTTATTGCCTCTGTATAGTGCCCCTTTTTACTTGAGACAGGTTTTCTTGCTCTGTAGCTCAGGCTGACCTGGAATTCCTCATCTTCCTTCCTCTACCTCCAGGGTGCTGGAATTAGCAAGAATGTACCACCATTCTCGCTGCTTCTGCTCTTTTAAGCAAGAAAATGAGCCTTTTCTTTATTGTCCAGTTTACAAGGGAAAATCTTGATCTCTTCCATCTTCTAAGTAGGACCAGGTTTCTGTGCAGCTGCTCTTCTGTCTAGGGCTTAATTAGCTTTATTTCACTACCAGAATTTACTGTTGTGTGTCTGTCAGGTTTCCACTAACAGAAAGTTGCTTATGAAATGTAAGAAAGAAGAAAGGTACCCTGAATTTCTTATTATTATCTGTCCTTGGTCCACGGGCTGGTTAGCTGTAGTTTGTTTAATGCCTCTCGCCCCTATATCATTAAGCCCTAAAAATGACTGTGGGGCAGCAACTAGCCAGAGATATGCAGAGTAGTGGATAGTGAGGGTGGGAGTCAGAATGAACGAGTGCTGAAATTGTGTGCTGGCTCCACTGGATCACTTAGGAGTGGGTTGATACAATTTATGTTAATGTGAACCAATGCTGAAATTGTGTGCTGGCTCCACTGGATCACTTAGGAGTGGGTTGATACAATTTATGTTAATGTGAACCAATGCTGAAATTGTGTGCTGGTTCCACTGGATCACTTAGGAGTGGGTTGATACAATTTATGTTAATGTGAACCAATGCTGAAATTGTGTGCTGGTTCCACTGGATCACTTAGGAGTGGGTTGATACAATTTATGTTAATGTGAACCAATGCTGAAATTGTGTGCTGGCTCCACTGGATCACTTAGGAGTGGGTTGATACAATTTATGTTAATGTGAACCAATGCTGAAATTGTGTGCTGGCTCCACTGGATCACTTAGGAGTGGGTTGATACAATTTATGTTAATGTGAACCAATGCTGAAATTGTGTGCTGGCTCCACTGTATCACTTAGGAGTGGGTTGATACAATTTATATTATATATGAACCAGTGCTGAAATTTTATACTGGTTCCACTATATCACTTAAAAATGGATTGATACAATTTACATTATATATACTTCCTTCTAGCAAGGGAAGGGTAAGGCACATAGCCTGTAGAATATGTCCAGTCATGAAAATAGTCCCTGGATTTCTTACCCATTTCAGCAGTGATGCTTTTAGATGTGTCTGTAGTGTTGGGAGATGGGATATTAGGCTCCATCTGGTTGTCTGTGTTAATCCCAGTGTAATTCTCTTTATAGCCCAAATTGGTATAATAATGATTAAGTTGGGATGTATGCTTAAAACTTTTTTTTTTTTTTTTTTGTAGACTATGCCGGTTGCCATGGCTTTGTTAAGAGATGTACATAATCTTTGTCCCAAAGAAGTTTTAACATTTATTTTAGATTTAATCAAGTATAATGACAACAGGAAAAATAAGGTACAGTGTTTTTCTCAATGAATATTACAAAGTACCCAGTGATACTTGTTTTAGGATAATGTATGGGGGCCTCAGTCTCCAGGACTGCAGTAAAAGAAAGGAAGTCATTTGTGAACGCCCGATACCTTTCTAGAGTTAGAGGCACAGGACATGATTTAATGGAATAACCAGTGAGTGCCTGTGTGTGTGTGTGTGTGTGTGTGTGTGTGTGTGTGTGTGTGTGTTTCAAAAAGCTTCTGAAGGAGGTTAGAATATTGAGGCAGCTACAGTTTGAAGAACAGAAGAGGAAGAATGTATAGTAAATCAAACAGTAACTGTCATTATTCTGTGCATGTAGACTGTAATGTTTCTTTTTAAAATAGTGTTGTTTTAAGGAATATGGTGTTACTGATAGTTTTGATTTTTTTTTTTTTTTTTTTTGATTCTCTTCTGGGATTTTTTGTGTTTTGAAATACATGGTTCTTCCAAGTTGCTTTTCTTTAAGCTGAGTTAGTTTCTTTCTTTCATTCTTTCTTTATCTTTTCTTTTTTTGGACTGTAATCTTGTAGATGATCTGGTTAGGAGACTGCAGGGTGATCTTACACATAGTGAGTGCTTAATATACTAATAGATCACTGACGATTGCAGCATTTTCACATTTTTCCAAATCATAAGTCTGTACAAAGGATAGGTTGATATTTACTAGAAAACTTGCTGGTAAATACATGATTTCACTGTGTGTGTGTGTGTGTGTGTGTGTGTATGTTGCTAGTGATGAACTCAGGGCTTTGTGCATACTAGAGATGTGCTCTACTTCTAAATTGAAATGATTTAAAGTTGTATGTGTTGTATTAATGTCTCATGGAAAGGCTTAATTGTATCTGTTCTTAATTGTTCTTTGGCTTAGTTTTCAGATAACTATTATCGTGCAGAAATGATTGATGCCCTGGCTAATTCTGTTACACCTGCTGTCAGTGTGAATAATGAAGTTAGAACTTTGGATAACTTGAATCCTGATGTTCGACTAATTCTTGAAGAAATAACCCGGTTTTTGAATATGGAGAAACTTCTCCCAAGTTACAGACACACTATCACTGTCAGGTGTTGCTCAGCCCTTTGCTGCTCCTTTAGATGGATTTTATTTCCACAACTGTACCCTTATTCCATTAGATTAACTTGGGGAAAATTAAAGTAAAAATGAGAAATTTAACTTTCTGATACTATCATCTCCAGATAAATAGATAATATTTGGAAAATAGTCTTTAAAGTTTTTTTCTTTGTAATGGAATTCTAAATTTATAATACTATATGTATAGTTTTATAAACAGTTTCCATTGTATGTATCCTCTAATTTTCTAAAAATATATATTGTTTTGTCCTTTCATGCATGTGCACATACACACATACAAGCACATGGTTTGTGGGGCACCTGTGCTGTGTTGCATGTGTCCTGGTCAGAGAACAACTTTGTGGATTTGATTCTCTCTTTCCACCTTTGTGTGGACTCAGGATGGAACTCAGGTTCCCAGGCTTACACCTGTCAAGTGCCTTTACCTGCTGGGCTGTCTCACCAGCCTAGACATTCTTCATAAGAAAATATTTTGTCAGGATTATTTTTTATACCATCACTAGTGTGTGAAGAACCCCATTTGTCTTTGAAACTGGTCTCATGTAGCCCAGCCGATGTAGCCACGATAACCTTGGTAACTCCTGATCCTCCTGCCTTCCCTTCAAAGTGCTGACATGCATCAGACCTAGCTTGTTATCCTTCTTTTCAGAACTGCAGTTCTCTGTCAGCTTTTTTCTGAGTTTGCTAAAAGTTGATTACTAATTATAAAAAAAAAATCAGCTCCCTTATTCTATTTATTATTATTATTTTTTTTTCTTTTTTTTGAGACAGGATCTCACTATGCCTTTCTTGCTGTCCTGTATACCAGGCTGGTCTCGAACTCAGAGATCTGCCTGTCTCTGCCCTCCAACTGATTCCACCCCTAGCCCCCACTTGTACAAGTGCTGGGATTAAAGTGTGTGTCACCACACCCAGCTAACCTTCCATTTTTATGGTGAATGAATAAGATTTCTGGAGAAATTATCTAAATTATATTTTTATTGCTAAGTACTTTATTCTGGAGTGTGGTTTTATTGACATGTATATGGCTCTAAGATTCTAAACATATTGAAATTTGTTTTTATGCTATTTAGATATTATTGAAATTTTATCATACAAATTGAACATTACAGAATTTAATGTGCATTCAAAAGAATTTTTTTGTTTGTTTGTTTGTTTCATTTTGTTTTGTTTTTGAGACAGAGTTTTTCTTTATAACCCTGGCTGTACTGGAACTCTGTAGATGAGGCTACACTCAAACTCAGATATCTGCCTGCCTTTGCCTTCTGAGTGCCAGGATTAAAGGTGTGCACCACCACTGCCCAACTCAGTATATTTACATATTTACAACAACCACTGCCCAGCAAATCATGAGTCTTTTTTTTTTTTTTTTTGGTTTTTTTGAGACAGGGTTTCTCTGTAGCTTTTCACCTTTCCTAGAACTCACTTGGTAGCCCAGGCTGGCCTCGAACTCACAGAGATCCGCCTGGCTCTACCTCCCAAGTGCTGGGATTAAAGGCGTGCACCACTGACGCCTGGCTCATGAGTCTTTTAAAAAATTGTTCCTGTTTGATTTTATGTGTGTGTTTTGCCTGCACGAACATCTGTGGGCATCAGATCTCCTAGAGACAGGTGTGAACTGCCATGTGGGTGCTAGCTGGGAATCCAATCTGAGTCCTCTGGAAAAGCAGCCAGTGCTCCTAACTGCTGAGCCATGTGTCCAGCCCCCCATAAATAAGGATTTTAATTGACTGACAAATGAATCTCTAATACTGAAGCAATAAATTTAGTTCATGATACTTCACAGGAAGTAATTTACTTTTTTCTCACTAGTTGCTTGAGAGCCATAAGAGTGCTTCAGAAGAATGGACATGTGCCAAGTGATTCATCTCTTTTCAAATCCTATGCGGAGTACGGCCATTTTGTGGACATCAGGATCGCCGCTCTAGAAGCTGTTGTTGATTACACAAAAGGTAATAATACCGTCCTGGTGGTGCTTGTTCCAGCTTAGAGAGAAATACGTCTTCATAGCACATGCAGTGCACAGATTTTCATTGTTGTGACTTTTTACAGCGTACATAGTGGATTGCACTGTGACATTTTCACACTTATCCATTATTGTTAAATTCTTGGCTCACTGACTTAGTTTGGTGATGATAGGAAAAAATAAAATACAGATATCTTTAACTAATGGGAGAAGCCAGCATATTATATAAATTCAATTTTACATTATTTTTAAAAATAAGAGATTTGGGGAAAATATCTAAGGATTCAATGAAATAGTGTACAAGTGTGTAAAAATTTGTAACTATGCAAACAAAGCAAGAGAGTAACTTCTGCAGGAAAATTAGGTTAGGCCTCAAGTTGAGAGAAATAAAGAGTGTGACAGTCAAAGGAACAGTACATATTTAAAACATTTTCAGAAAATGGGATGATTAAGATAAATAATAGAAATATTTCACAAAAATGGAGGCTGGAAAAAATAATTCAGGAAACAATGGAATTCTCTGAGAAGTGAAAATTAAAGTGACATAAGCTAGCCTCTACTGCAGTTTTAATTGTGAGTTCCTGGACATAATCAGAAGCAAGGTGGTGTACAGAGTCTAGAGGTCGCATATGGGACTCTATTGAAGCCTACACCTGTTTCTGATTTTCTCCTATGCTGAAATCTCTTCCTAATTCTGCTTTCTTCATGATTCAGTCTGCAAAAACATAGTCTAGTCAGCTTCAGATTAGGGAGTCAGAAGACAGTAAACCACACAGCTGTGTGAGTTTTAGATTCTCTACTATATGTTGCCAATTTGTCATTTACATTGGGGAATTAAACATACATACAGTTCATGTGTAACTTTTTTTTCCCCAAGATTTTATTTTGGGCCAGGAATAAGTTGTACATGCTTGGGAGGTAGAGGTTGGAGGATCTCTGGGAGTTAGAGACCAGCCTGGTCTGCATAGCAAGTTCCAGGCCAACTAGGGTTATATAGTGAGGTCCTATCTCAAAAAAAAAAGAAGTTTCATTCTTTTGGTTTTGGTGTTTGGTTTTTGGTTTGTGTGTGTGTGTGTGTGTGTGTGTGTGTGTGTGTGTGTGTGTGTGTGTGTGTGTGTGTGTGGTGGCACTAGGGCCAGAAGACGTATTCAGATGTATATATGATCTCAATCTAAAAGTCAAGCTTGTAACGGAAATATTGGGAGAATAAAGAAGCTGAAGTATACTGAGCTCTGTTTAGAATAAAAGGAAACAGGAAGTTCCATAGGGAGTTTGTGAACTAGAAACATGTATGATTAAGTCTTTTTACATTTTATAAATTTCAACAGAAATGCCTAGAGACAGGAAGCAGAGAGAGTAGCAACCATATTGTGTTTATATTGTATGTTTGCCTTGATTCAGAAAGAGCTATCATTTAGTATCCTTTCATTTAAGAGATGATATAAATATGATTTGTTGTTGTTAAGTGAGTTATTTGACAAGCAATAAACATATATAATTCTGTGTCTCTATATATTTTTTGATATTTTGCCAGCTTAAAATCTAGACTTGTTGAAATCATGTATTTGTTAGCCTAACCTTCTTTCTTAAGGTAGATGAAGGATATGTCTCAGAAATATGAAGAATTCATGAGTTAATACTACCAAAAATGAAATAGAATACTAATGTCTCCAAAAGAGTACAAAACTAATAAGTATAATTTAAAAATTTGAATGGTGCTTAGGTATGAACCATGAATTCTGTAGCTTAAAATATTGGTGCTCATATTAGAAGATGAAAGAAGGAAAACTATCATGCCTAAAAATTTGTAAATAAAGCTTTTCAATTCTTAAAAATTTGTTGAAAAGGTGATTGGCAATAGTAGTATGTCATTTTATGTCAGTTATAGTCATAACATGTAGCATGAATCTTAAAGAGTCTTATTAATAAAATCAAACTCGGAGCCAGGTATTGGGGTGAATGCTGGAAGATCAGAGAAGCAGAACAAGCCACAGCTTCCTCACTTGCCGATTCCTCAGCTGATCCTGTTTTCTCAGACTGGATGCCTCTTAGCTGAACTGTGCTGCTCAAAAGCCTAAAAGCTTAACCAGCCTAGTTCCTGGTTTTCACGCCTTATATACCTTTCTGCTTTCTGCCCTCACTTCCTGGGATTAAAGGCTCACTTCTTGGGATTAAAGGCATGAGTCTCCATGCTTGGCTGTTTCCAGTGTGACTTTAAACTCACAGAGATCCAGATGGATCTCTGCCTCCCAAGTGATAGGATTAAAGACGTGTGCGCCACCATTTTCTGGCCTCTATATCTAGTGGCTGTTCTGTTCTCTGACCCCAGATAAGTTTATTAGGGCACACAATATTTTGGGGAACACAATATCACCACAATAACACGTAATTGTAATTGCCTTTCTGACTGGCTTGGATCTTAGTGGAAGGAACCATGTGATCAGAAACGTTTATATTTATGATGCTATTGTATGTCAAGCCTCTCAGGGATTTAAGCATCTAAAAAGTTAGGCATATTTTGTCCAACTAATTGTGTCTAGTTGATGGCTTTTAGTGAGTTAAAACTTGTATTGGTGTTTGGTTGAATTTTAGTTTGAGCTACATATGGGGCACTATTTTTTGGTACTATTTTGTATTGGTCTTTGGCTGAATACGTACTAGGTACTATTTTTGTTCTTGGTTACACATGGCATGGTGCTCATGAAAGTTACTGGCCTAGTGCATACAGTTAGAAAATAAGAAAGGAGTGCTAATGGCTTACTTGGACCCTTCAGCTACATGACAGTCCAGCTAAGAAGCCTCCTTATATAATGTCCCTGCTTACTAGCACTTGCTCTTTGATTTGTTATAATTAACCCTACGTATATTTACTCATTTTTACTTTCAGTGGACCGGAGTTATGAAGAACTTCAGTGGCTACTTAATATGATTCAGACTGATCCTGTACCTTATGTAAGGTTAGTTTATGTATTGTAATATCTTGGTTATGAGTCCTGAAGTGGGTTGATTCATTTCTAAAGATTGTACCTGGAAAGATATTTATGTTTATGATTTTTAAAAATATGGAAATGGGTTCTGTAGCGATATCCACAGCAGAGTTCTGTATTTTTAAAGCCTTTTTCTTTTTTCTTTTCTTTTTTTTTTTTTTGGTTTTTCGAGACAGGGTTTCTCTGTGTAGCTCTCCTGGAACTCACTTGGTAGCCCAGGCTGGCCTTGAACTCACAGAGATCCGCCTTTTTTCTTTTTAAAGAGAGGGTTTCTCTGTAGACCAGGCTGTAGACTCAGAAATCCGACTGCCTCTGCCTCCCAAGTGCTGGGATTAAAGGCGAGCGCCACCACCGCCTGGCCCTTTTTTTTTTTTTTTTAAAGATTTATTTATTTATTATGTACACAGTGTTGTGCCTGCATGTATCCCTGCAGGTCAGAAGAAGGTGCCAGATCTCATTACAGATGGTTGTGAACCTCCATGTGGTTGCTGAGAGTTGAACTCAGGACCTTTGGAAGAGCAAGCAGTGCTCTTAACCTCTGAGCCATCTCTCCAGCCCTTTTTTTTTTTTTTTAATTAAATTTATTTATTTATTTTACATCTCTTCCACAGTTTTCCCTCCCTCCTCTTCTTCCATTCCCTCTGCCTACCTCCCCTCCCCCCAATCCACTCTTCCTCTGTTTCTGTTCAGAAAGGGGCAGGCCTCCCAAACCTATCAACAAAGCGTGGATATCAAGTTTAAAGCCTTTTTCTTATTTGATTTTAGAAAAACATTTTCAAAATACATTGTTAATAGTGTGTAATGCATAGGGATGATGCCTTGTGTGTCCCAACTTATAATTGATTTCACTATTTATGTCATTTTGGGAGCTTATTTCAGGGCATCCTGATTTTTGCTCATTTAACATTTTTTTTTACATTTATTTATTTTGTCCATGTGCATGCATGTGTATCACAGCAGCATGTGGAGGTCAGAGGACAAGTCTTTACTCCTGGAGCCATGTCACTGCCTCCCATGTCTTTGTTTCATTTCATTCAAAGCCTTCATTTTTATTACAGTTGACATTTTTTAAAATCTTAAGAAGCTAAAAGAACTGCAGGCTTGATGTGGCTTCTGCCTTTGTATTTATGCTTACCTCTAGTCGCTGCGTTTATTCCTGCTGTTTTCTTTTACACAGTGGGGTTTTTATTTAAGAATTCAATTTAACTATTTCTGTCTTCCTTTTTTTGCACATAGTAGACACGGGTTTTATTTGATTTCATGTTATGACTTCATAGAACAGAATTTTAGAGCTGAAGAACAACTCACAGCTATTTGAGCTAGAGACAAAAGACTTTGACCTGGAGACCTTAAATGGTTTGTTCAACTTTCTGCATCACTTGGCACACAGTGTTCTTTTAGAATGACATAAACTCTGCTTTTTCATATCTGAAATGCCTCTGGGTGTGAGTAGTCTGTTCAAGAGCCTGGGCATTTTATAGCAGTGACTTCTTAGTTAGTAATTGTATATTTCAATGTTTTAAGTAATGCTTTTTACACAAATTTTCATATGAAATTTTGTTAAGATTTTAATGTTCTTGATTTGTGATCTATATTTTGAATAATCTGTTCTTGTGAGTGATACAAAGTTGAAATGCAGAGAAAAAAATCTATTAGCTTCCCATTTTGAAGTATAGAGCATAGAATACAGCCTCATTCCTTTATCTAAAATGGTGCATGCACTTAAGTCATTGGTAGCAACTGGGAACAGATGCTATAAATGCAATATAGACAAAGCTTACCATGTATCCATTTGTTTTCAATTTGCATAATTAAAAAATTTACATCTGTGTTTCTGAGAACTTGTTTTAAAGACTGAATATTTAAGAACTGTTTCAGAGAGCACTTGGGGCAGATTGTCGTGAGTTTGTGATATTTGAAGTTACTGTATCACACATGGTGTCTGCACTGAGTGCTTTTGAACTGTCATTTTGAGTTGCTTTGGTTCATTCAAATGTCAAGAGCACTATTTGCAGTCTGGACTGAAAATCCATTTAGAGGTATGCTTCATAGTTATGTTTAGCATGTTTTCTTCTTAATTTACATACTTATGTCCCCATTAGAGAAACTTCTCCTTTAACATCACCCTACATATAGATTACATTAAATCACACACAGTTGCACAAGTTTGCAGTTAAGGGCTGGCGAAATAACTCAGCAGGTATGCTGTGCTAGAGATGAGAGCTGACTCCTGCAAGTTGTCTTCTGATGTCTGCACACATGCCATGGCGCGCACACACACCCTCACTACCACACAACAGAATAGCAAAGGTTTTTATTTTTCAAGTCTCATTTTTAGAAAGTCATTATGGCAATGAATGGTCACAGGATAAAAGTGTTTCCACACAGTGATTGTTTTTCTATTTTGGTGTTTTCTATTTTGTTTTAGATAGGGTCTTGATATATATAGCCTTGGCTGTCCCAGATTTTATCATGTAGACCAGACTGGCCTTGAACTCACAGATCTACCTGGCTCTGCCTTTTGAATACACTACCATGCTTTGTGTTTTTAATGAACTTCATTCATTTATTTTTATTTTGCTTTACTTCGCTTGAGGCAGTCTTACTGTGTAGTCCAGGCTGGCCTCGGCCTCTGCCTCATGAGTGCTGGGACTGCAGGTGTGTACCATGATGCCCTGCAAGTATTGTTTTTCGTTTCTTAGTTTTGTGTTTCTTGGGGTTTTGTTTTTGTTTTTGTTTGTTTGTTTTTATAGTATGTCTTCTTTTCCATTCTCATTGCTGTCACACTTGTAAAAACTTACTTGAGTAAACATCACGTGACTGCTTGTTCTGTAGAACTAGTGGTAAGACCTAGATACTCAGGTGTGTAACTCTGTTTACGTCATTGGCATTTTCCTGTCCTGTTCCAAACAGAAGCATTCTGTTCTTACGGGCTTTGTGGGTTTTAAAACTCGTGGTAAAATGGCCCTCGATGAGAATGACAACTTTTGAAGTATATAGATTTTCCATTCCTGTTTTCGTCACAGGATACTTCAGAATTCGCTTATGTAAAGGTGTGAGGTTGCCCAGAAGTCAGAAGCAGGGAAAACTCCCATGACTTGCAGTTCCTTTTCCGCTTTAGAATTAAATGTGGTGTCTACAGAGATACTCCGTGATTCCCTGGACTGGTGCAGTTCCCTCAAGTCATATTCTCCCATAAAATCCCGCAGTCCTATTGTGCTTAAGTACATAAATAGTTACATACGTAAACTTCAATGTCCTAGTTTGATGACATGGTCATTTTTGTCCCCTCTCCTGCTGAATAGTCCTGGATAGTCCAGGATCCTATCTTTTGCCATGGACTAATCCTTGGCACATAAGATAAAGTTAGCTAAATGCAGACAAGACAAATGGCTGAGTGTATGTTTCCCTTTTCCTCCAGTCATATGTATATGTAGATATTTAATGTAATTCGTGGATTAAAGAGATTTTATTTCTCCTCTAACAACTGTAGGTAGAGAAAGTCTTCCAAGATGTAATTGAAATGTTTGGGAAGCTTTGAGTCTTCCGAGCTCAATGTCTTGTGTCTTGATCAGAGACTCCCTTTTTCTTATATTGTCTTCTCTCGGTAGAGCATTTTCAGGCCGAAGTCTGTTCTTCATTAAGATAGTTTATGTACTAAAACTAAGCAAATTCATTTTGAGTAACTTATGTATCTCTTGACATACCGATATCTTTTTTGCTCTAAAGTTTGCTGTCAATTTTATGTGTCTGTTAGAACAAAAAAAAAAATTAGATGCATAGGCCAAAATAAATATTTTAATTTGGTTTTTTGAGACAGGGTTTCTCTGTGTAGCTTTTCGCCTTTCCTGGAACTTGCTTTGTAGACCAGGCTGGCCTCGAACTCACAGAGATTCGCCTGCCTCTGCCTCCTGAGTGCTGGGATTAAAGGCGTGTGCCACCACCGCCCAGCCAATATTTTAATTTATATGTGTTGTTTTAATACTAAAATTAAATTTTCAAAATTGAAGTTTCCTTTCAGTAAAAATGACCTTTGCCAGGAGTATTCACACATGCCTTTAATCCTCTAACTCAGGAGACAGAGGCTAGTGGAGCTATGTGAGTTCAAGGATAGTCTGGTCTACATAGAGTAAGTCTCAGTCTGGCCAAGGCGGCATAGTAAAATTCAGTTTCAAAAAAAAGGGTGTGGGTGGCTAAACTACTCATAAAATTGCAGGCTGAAGCCGGGCGGTGGTGGCGCACGCCTTTAATCCCAGCACTCGGGAGGCAGAGCCAGGCGGATCTCTGTGAGTTCGAGGCCAGCCTGGGCTACCAAGTGAGTTCCAGGAGAGGCGCAAAGCTACACAGAGAAACCCTGTCTCGAAAAACCAAAAAAAAAAAAAAAAAAAAAAAAAAAAAAAAAAAAAATTGCAGGCTGGTACATGCTTATAATCCCAATGTTAGAAAGCTGAAATAGGAGAATTGCAGGTTCAAGGCCAGCATGGGCTACATAAAGCAACCTTGTTGCAATAAAATAAAATAGTCATACAAATTTTGGAAAATAACAAAACCCCACCAAGAGAAAAATATGCACTGTACGTATAGTTAGTGTAACCAGAAATGATAGTCCTTGCCATTTTGATTTGTTGATTCATAGTTGTTTTATGTATGTGTATCATTATGTTTGGTTTAGATTATATAAGGTTAATATAAAGACAGCAGAAAGCGCTCCTGTTTTGGAAGTAAAATGATCATGATCCAGCTGTACCAGTTCTTTGAGGTGATGCATTTATGGTCACTGCTTTTTGTCTTGACAGATTTTCAGCTTTTATTTGTTTTACTGGTTGGTTGGTTTGCTGTTTTTTGGTTTGGTTTGTGGTGGTTTTGGTTTATTGCTTTTTTTTTTTTTTTAAATAGTGATAGGGTTTTAGAATTAGACTGCCTCATGAAGAAAATTATCAAATTTTCAGGCAAATGGAGTGATGGTTTTGCTGTTGTGGTTCCATGAACCTGTGACTTTAAGATTGGCTTTAAGTCTGTTTCAGATGTCTGAAGTATACACTTGTAACACTTTGATATTTAATCTTTGATAAATTAAGTGTGAAGTACTTGTCTTCTCTTATTTCCTTTGAACGTTTTGTATATTTAGTCACTTATATTTTCCTGTTTAAAAAAACATTTATAGCAAGTAAACTTTATTATTATTATTATTATTATTATTATTATTATTATTATTTTAATTAGGTGTGTGCTTGGGTATGGGTATGTGCATGTGTGTTTGGGTGTTTTTATCCTTGGAGTTGCGTTTTTTTGTTTCTTAAGTGTATATTGGTGTGCATGTTATCTGTTGTGTGCACCATGAGCATTGAGGCACCTGAGGAGGTTAGACAGAAGAGGGCAACAGATCCTCTGGAACTGGAGTCACAGGCAGTTGTGAGCCAGCTGACTGACGGGTTCCGGGAGCCTGACTCCCATCTTCTGTAAGAACAGGCCCTCTTATTCATCGGACCATGGTCTCCAGTCCCTAACATGTGAATTTTAAACGCCAAAAAAAAAAAAAAAAAAAATGTTAAAGAAACATTTAAAGTTTGCTACAAGTTATATATGTATTCATTAATCATCACTGCTATTTTAGTGGTAATTTCAAAGATGTCCTCAGAGTGTCCTTTACAGATCATGGACATGTTAGAATGTGTTTGTAGTGTTCTGAGTAATACCGAAAGCCTTAATGGTTGGTCTCTATGTTTTATTTTGGATATGTAGAAGTAGCTGGACAGAAACCTTACTTTTCAACTTACTGCAAATTAAAAGCTTGACAACATTAATATGCTCTAAAGAACAAAATTCCTAACATTCAGGAGGCTGAGGCTGGAGGATCACTTAAGTTTAGGAGTTTAAGACTTGCCTGGGCAACACAGTGAGAACTCCTCAAAACTTAAAGAAACTCATCCATATTTTTAAAGATGCCATTTACCCATAATCCTGATCTACTCATAGAGGAAGATTTTGAAGGACAAGGATTGTATTTATTCATAAATATGAAAATGGGTATATGAATGATTTGTAAGATTTTTATCACTTTTTGTATATCTATTTTCAGTTGTATCTAAAGCTACATATTGCCCCCTTTGTTTTATAATAGCCTTTGTGTGGTCTTTAATTTCACATCCCAAAAGGGTGCCAATAAAGTTCACATCTTCCACTTTCACATACATGGAATGGCAGGACTGAGAGTTTAGTATCTTAACCTACACCCAGCCCATCATCTTTCCTTTCACTTCCTCCCCAGTTGAAAGTCCAGCTGGATTTCTTACCTCTAGTAGTGAAGTGTAAAAACAAAGTTTGGAGCCGGGCGGTGGTGCCGCCGCACACCTTTATTCCCTGCACTTGGGAGTCAGAGCCAGCGGATTTCTGTGAGTTCAAGGCCAGCCTGGGCTACAGAGCAAGATCCAGGACAGGCACCAAAACTACACAGAGAAACCCTGTCTCAAAAACAAAACAAAACAAAACAAAAAACAAACCAACCAACAAACAAAAGTTTTGCTGTCTTCCTTGAGTTCCATCCCATTTCTTTTCTTCCTCGTTTATATCCAAGAGTCCAGTTAAGACTTTGTTTTCTTTGTTGTGCCTTATCTCCAGTAAAAAGTGGATTAAAAACTTCAGCCATGGAGTTTACAGTTACTCCTGAAAACACTTTTCTTACTTGCCTCTTTCCATACAGGTTTTGTGTTGCTTGTTCATGGTAGTGTCTTGCTATATAACATAGCCTGGCCTTGAACTTGCCACTGTTCTTCTGCCTCAGCCTCCAGCCTGGTAGGACTATATGTGCCACCACAGTTTACTCAATTGCAGCTTATTTTGAAGACACTTTCCCCTTTTTTTCTGTGTTCCATCTTTAAAATTGATCTACACATTTCCATGCTTTCCAAAGGGGCTAAGATAGGAAGTTTATGTTCCTATTAATTTGAACTTTTGGCCCATCTTGGAAATATTTTCTCCTGTTGTCCTATTTTAAGGATTTTCATACTTAACCACCAGGTTGTTGGTTGGTTTGCTTGCTTTTGTTTTCAATACTCCTAAAAAGAATGAGATTGTTAAGATTATATAGGTCGGATTGTAGAAGATGTTGTTTACACAATTCAGATAATCTTGGAAAGCAAACCCACAAGATAGTTTAGTGAGAAAACACGTGATAAATATGTAGGATTTGACATAAAGCATATAGAAATGGAACTAAATACAAAGTTAAACCTAATGGGAAAGGAGAAAAATAGTTTTCCTATCTTCTATAGTGTTTCTTATTGGTAGCACCAGTCCGCAAATGGTCATTTAAAAATTCATCTATTTATTTTTCATTCTTGCAGGCATAAGATTCTAAACATGTTGACAAAGAATCCACCATTTACAAAGAACATGGAGTCTCCCTTATGCAATGAAGCCCTAGTAGATCAGCTCTGGAAACTGATGAATTCTGGTAAGAGAGCAGTGACTTTGAAAGTCCCTTGTTTTCATTTTACATCAGATTTTCAAGAATGAGAGAGAGAGAGAGAGAGTGCGTGTGTGTGTGTGTGTGTGTGTGTGTGTGTGTGTGTGTGTGTGTGTGTGTGACCTCTAGCTGATGGGCCAGGCTTTTGTTTCCAACTCCCTAGCGCAAGACTTCCAGGGGCATGTCATCATGCCTGACTTACATGGGTGCTGAGGATCAAACCCAGGCCCTCGTGCTTAAGTTGCGTGCACTTTGCTGTGTGACCCACTCTCCAGCTCCTCCTTTCGTCACCCATTACAAATAGGATACCACATTTTTACATTAAGTTATAACGTGTGTTAGGAAATGTTCACTTTGTTTCATACTGTGGTTGCAGAAATGAAAAAATTTGAATTTTACGAGTTTTTTAAGTAGTTAAAGGGCTGTAAACCTTAGCCTTTCCACCTCTTTTGGTTTTTTGAGACAGGATTTCTTTATGTAACAGTCCTGACTGTCCTGCAATTTACTTTGTAGACCAGGCTGACCTCAAACTCACTGAGATCCACCTGCCTCTGCCTCCAGAGTGCTGGGATTAAAGGAGTGCGCCACCACTGCCCAGCTCCACCTCTTTTCTGTGGCTTCCCAGTGGCCTCATTCAGAGATAATTAATTTCGTTCTTATTTTTCCAGGACAGTGAGTGAATGTAGAATAAGAGACAACCTGTAGTTTTAAAGACTGCATGCTACTGTTCTACATCTCAGAGAGCATGCCATCTTACTGTAGTGTGAGTTTCCATCCTTTTGAGTGAGATCAGGGAGTGGAAGGACGTAGTACATAGGAGCACTAGCTCTGGGATGGATTTGCTGAGGTTAAACCTCAGCTCAGTTGTTACTCTTCATATAACTAGTTTAAAAATGCAGGTAGTAAAACCTGTTTCTGCAAACTGAGACATGAACAACGTGATGTTTGTAAAGCACGGTGTCTACCTCACATTAAACACTCAGTGTTATGCTTCTCATGTATTTGAGCTGTGTGTGTAGTTAGTTTCTTTCCTTCTCTGTTGGGGAATCAAATTCAGGATCTTGATTAGTTGGCTATACTTTCAGTAGCCTGGGTAGTCAAGAATATTTGTAAGTCACTTTTATTTAATTAGGTTATTAAATCTTTGACTTTATAAATGTCATATATTTAACGACAGTTTTTGTTATATCTCTTAATAGATTGAAATTGTAATACTGCTTTTGATTGAAAGGTTTAGTCAAAAACTAGGCTGAAATTATTTTGCTTAAATGGTTTTTGCAAGTAGAAAGATACCTGTGGGTATTTATTCTAATACTTAATTATTTATTTTCTAATACTTAAAATTTTTGAGTATGATACTTTTTCTCCTCTCTAGAATATGTAAAATTGCTTACCATGCTAGCCCATTGGTAACTTGCTGAATCAAATACTAAATTTTAATATTTCAGTTTTTTAATTTAGTTTACTAGTACTGAAATACTAAGGACTGTATAACTTTTATCCCCTCGTATAGTGCAGTAGCCATGGGAAGTATACCAGTATAGCTAGTTTGAAGAAATTTGATAAAATGAAAGTGGATGGACTTTGTTTTTAAAAAAGAAAACAAATACTAGAAAATAGCGTGTAAACTAGGCTGAACTAAGATGCTGTTAGTTGGTTTTCGTTAACTTTCCCTCCTCACGGAAGATTATTAGGTGTGCACAGAGTTTAATATTTTACTTGTTACTTTGAAGACATCATTGTCTCTTATTTAGATCCAGGGGATGAGCACGAACCTCAGAAGCTTTTAACAAATTATTTAGCAGTAAATCTTTGGTACAAAATGTGCCACGTCAGATATTAATATATGACTGACCTACTAGCTCAAAATATTGAGGAAGGCATAATCAATTATAAAGAATTCTTTTCTTACCTCTTGAGAAGAGTTTTTGGACAAGAGGAATGGTATTTAAGATTAATGGGACAGTTTCTGAACATTTGATCCCATCAGAAAGTTACAGTTAGACAAATTCAGTGTCCAGCTGTTATCTTATGTTTGTGATAATATCTAATGTAAAGTATAGTTGCTGCTTTAATTAGAAATTCTCTGTCGCCACAAATTTACACTGAACAGGGAGATCAGTGAGTCTGTGGTCCTTAATGAGTTCCTGGTCAGCTTTAAAATTTGCAAGTGACGGAAGCAGTGTGAACAAGGGAAGTGACAGGAGAAGCTAGTATTTACAAAGTGACTTTGGGAAACACCGAACATCTGATTGCGAAGCTGGATTGAAGAGGATTTAAACTTCCGGATAGAATGAATCTTTTATAAGAAGTCGCTTTCATGTTTAATTTTCAAAGATTTTTCATGATCATGATTATATAATCATGTTAGGAAAAGTAATACATAATTGTATTATATCAATATAGATTTGAGTGTATTTGGCCGTTGGAGAAAAAAATGTGTGTCTGTGTGTGTGTGTGTGTCTGTGTCTGTGTGATGTGTTGGGGATCAAACCTAGGACCTTGCCGGTGATATATAAAACTGTATAATAGCTAAATCCCAGGCTCAAACATTTTAAAGCAACATCAGGGGTTTTCCTACTGTATGTACCATCATCTTAATAGTCGTTCGTTTAAGAATGGGGGTATATTATAAGCAAAGAAGTTAAATCATTATTTAAGTCACTAAGTCTTGCTGAATCCTGTGTGCCTTGTTGAGTCTCTTGGGTTATCTGGTGAGCAATGTATAAATTTGTATCAAGAGCAAAGACACTGGATTGGAAATATGACTCAGTTAATAGAGTGCTTGCCTAGCATGCACACAGCCCTAGTTTTTAATCCCTGACACCATATAAACTTGGTACCTTTCTAATCCTAGGACTCAGGAGCTGTATCAAAATCAAGATAATCCCTCACTGCTTAGTGAGCTCAGACCAGCCTGGGCAGCATGAGACTCTGTCAAAAACATACCAGTTGGCAGCCAGGCGTGGTGACACATGCCTTTAATTCCAGTACTCGGGATCTCTGAGTTCAAGGCCAGTCTGGTCTACAAAGTGAGTTCCAGGTCATCTAGGGCTGTTACACAGAGAAACCTTGTCTTGAAAACCCAAAAACAAACAAAAAACCAGCTGGCAATGGTTTGAAAGTGGAGACTTTAAAAACTGGTTTCATTTAAAGTATATAGAAGAGAACGTTATAGCCATTGAGGAAAAAAATTTTAAGTATTAGAAAATAAATAATTAGAAAATACATAAGTATAGGAAGATTTGCTTAAATGATTTCAGAAACTTTAATTAACAATGTGAAGATGTTTAGCAAAGTATTCTCTTCCTCTATAATAAACTGCATTTAGAATTATATCAAGAAGTTGTACATTTTTATATTGTGCTTAATTTTTTTGTACTAGATTTAATTTATGATTTTGTATGTGTGTGTGGTGTGCACATGTGTGCATGTATGGAAGTCAGAGGACTACTTGTGGGAGTCGGTTGCTGCTCTTCCACCCTGTGGCTCCCACAGATCAACCTCCAGTGGTCAGCCTTGGTGGCTAGTGCCTTTACCTGCTTAACTACCTTCCCGGCTCATTTTCTTATCAAATTTAAAACCTCAAATTAGGAAATTTCCAGTAGTATCTGTTTTAGTAATTGAATCCTGTTGTCCTAACAAGTGGGCAGAGAATGAATGCATGCGGAGTGATTACTGAAGCGGAAGGATGGAAAGAAATGTTTAAAGCCGGAACAATTTGTTGTTTACATGGCAAGTTTTCACTTGTGCTGGCGAGATGGCATGGCAGGTGAGGGCACTTGCCACCAAGCCTGATGGTTTGAGTCTGGCCTCTGGAATCTGTGTGGTGGGAAGAAAGAACTGACTCCTGCAAATTGTACTGACTTCCACACTTCACCACAGCACCTCCGCACATGCTCAACACACGCACTCACTCAGTTAATCAGTTGATTTTTATTTGATTTCTGAAATTGATTTTGTAAGATTGATGATGTGGTAATAAAGTTTTCTGTGTCTGCCTCTTAGGGACTGCACATGACTGGAGGTTACGGTGTGGTGCTGTGGACCTGTACTTCACCCTGTTTGGCCTCAGTAGACCTTCCTGTTTACCCTTGCCAGAGCTCGGGCTTGTTCTTAATCTAAAGGAGAAAAAAGCTGTCTTGAATCCTACCATAATTCCAGAAGCTGGAGCAAGCAACCAGGAATCTCTGAGTAACCCAGGCTGTCATGCACAGCTAGCTGGATTTCAGAACCCTGTGAGTGTCTCGTTAGTACAGAAGACAGAGCCTCACTATGTAGCACCACCTGGAGAGGACAATGTCTTCTTTGAACCAGTCAGCTCTCTAGCCTCTGGTCACTGCCTTTTTAACCCCCCAGCTTGTGTTTGCTTAGCATTTTACAATTCATAAAATATCACAGTCATCACATGACTAAACTGAACAAATGTGCTCCAGTCTGCCTGTGTGATGATGTAAGATTCTTTGGGACCCTAGGATTTCTTCTCTGCATAGTGCAGAATAGAACTGCAGATAGACTCAGTTCCGAGAGCCTGTTCCACACAGCCTGTCTTGTCTGTGTACCAGACTGTTGAACTAGAGACCTGCCTGTAAGTTGTTGCTTGCTGCACAGTTAGAATGGTTGGGCAGTTCTAAACAGAGTGAGCACCTGGCAAATGGTTTTGAAAAGAAAATAATGAATGGACGGATAATATGATGACTTGGGAGGAGAGGGTACATTACATTTGATAATTTTTAAAATTTGTGTTTTTGCCTTTAGAAAACCCAACTCTGCACTGTAAATTGTCAGGCTGTGTAAAAAGAGTGTGTGTGAATCATTTCACCATAAAAGACTTTTTCCAGAAATGATTTTCATACTGATGACACAGTGTCTGCCATACTCCAGCCTTCCGTTTTCAGCAGGACTCAGACCAGACTGTTCTCATGGCCATTCCCTGCTGGTGTCTTGACACTTGACTAAGTTATCTGGAATATAATCACGTTTCTTGTAAATGTGAAGTGTGTCCTAAGGTTTGGGTTAGGGAAAACTCAGACAAATGTGTACATGGAAGAAGGCGGTCCCTTGTAAAGAGGTCTCTTCAGTGGGAATCAGTGTGCTTGTCTCCCCCCCCCCCCCCCCCCCCCCCCCCCCCCCCCACACACACACACTGATGTATCCACATGCACATTTCAGATAACAGAGAAAGTGACATCAGGAGATGCAGCCCTTTAGGGCTGGACCCATGGTTAAGCCATTAAGAGCATTCATTTGTTTACTGCTCTTCCAAATGTCCTGAGTTCACTTCCTAGTTGCTCACAACTGCCTCTAACTCCAGCCCCCAGGATCCGGTACCCTCTTCTGGCCTCCTGTTACTGCACACTTGTGACTATTTCCCCTAAACACACAGACACATACACATAATTGTAATTTAAAATGATAAAAATAAATCTTAAAAAAACAAAAACAAAAACACATAAAGGGGCTGGAGAGATGGCTCAGTGGTTGGGAGCACTGGCTGGCTGCTCTTCCAGAGGACCCATGTTCAATTCCCAGCACGCACATGGCAACTCATAATTGTTTGTAACTCCAGTTTCAGGGGATCCGACACTTTCGTAGACATACATGCAGGCAAAACACGAATGCACATGAAATAAAAATAAATAAATTATTTTTAAAAACCCATAAGGTCCTTATGGGTGAGAGAAATCGCCAAAAGTTGACAAACACTTCTGCCCCCATAAAAGACAGGAAAGGGCTGCACATTTTACATTGATTCCTGTTAACTTTGGTCACTGGGCATGCTCTAACCTGTGTGGTTGTTACAGCTGTTTACTTTTGGGCTGTACTACCAGCTGCTTGTATCCAGAAATCTAATTTTGGTCTTAAGTATTGCCATAGGATCACAGTGTGATAAGTGTTCAAGATTGTGAGCAGGAGTGAAGAGAAGGCTGGGCCCCTGGGGGCCCCACTAGAGCTGGTCAGATACTGGAGAAGAAGAGGGAGACTAGCAGTGAGCTCAAACTCATCATCCAAGTAAGAGATGGAGGTTACTGTGTTAGCTGTGTAGGACTGTGCGTAGGTTTTCCTGAGCAGGGACACGTCGGAAATAGCGAATCATAAAAGAATCCAAGTCTCCTAAAACACTCCATCCAGTTATTTAACTAACTGCATATTTCTTCACATTTGGGAAAGTGCATTCCACCATAGCTCACTAGTTCTTCCCATATTACAGGCATGGGCTTTAATTGCTATTCACAGTAATTTCCTATCAGCTGCTTTGGGGGCTGATTCACCCAGTTTTTGTTTTAGTGCCTTTTTTGAAGAAAAGAGACTTGTTTTTCTTTTTAAAATTACAATGGCTCTATTCTTTGGCCTTTTTCCTCCGATTGTGCTGGAAGATAATATCGGAACATGAAGTGATACCATGGCTCTTTCTTCTTTTGTTGTGTGTGCTCTAGTTTTCAAGTTCTCAAGATGAGGAGGAGGTGGATATGGACACTGTTCATGATAGTCAGGCCTTCATTTCCCATCATCTGAACATGCTTGAAAGGCCGTCTACTCCAGGTAAGGACAACGTACCATGGTCTCAGGAGAGGTGGAGACTGTTGACATAGATCCGTTCTAAGGTCTGTTGCTTTATTAAATGAGTAAGTGTAAAATTGAGAAGACAATACAAAATTCTTGGGCTGTATCAGTGTAATTTACACTGACAAATAGTAAATTGTAGAAAGCACGTTTTGGAGGTCTGGCCAAGGGGCACAGTGGGTAAAGGCACTTGCTTGGAAGCCTGGTGCCCTGAGTTCAATCCCTGGGACCCTGTGAAGGTGGAAGGAGAGAACTGACCTCATAAAGTTCTCTGACTTCCATCTGTGTATTTTGGCATGCATTTGTGCTTACATGTGTGAATGCATGTGCACACATATGCACACACAATAATACGATTAACAAGTGCTGCTTCTTTTAGTTTGTTGTATTTTATCAGTTCTCTTCCTCATGAGCTCCAGACCAGCCAGAGCTACATGGTGAGGCTTTGTCTCCCCCACCCCAGAAGATTTGGTATACTTCCGGATTTGTGTAGTAGTCATCATAACGAAGTATCTTGTTATAATACGACTATAGTTACATTTACAATATTTTCATTTATTATTTTTATTAAAGGCAGACAGTGTGTTCCATAATGTTCTTTTTTTTGTCTGCCCATTCCATGTAATTTGACACCATAGACTTGGGTGTATTTTTCGAATACCATATTTTGGTTGGCTGTGCTGTCTTTGTAATAGCTACAGAATGATAGATTTAGGTCTGTTTCATCCTGTGTGTGTGTTCACGTGTGGGTACACACATGTATGAGATCACAACTCTGGGTGGCATTCTGCAGTCACCAACCGTCTGCCTTTCGTTGATGCAGTGAGCTTCCAGGGATCTGCCTGTCTTCACCTCCCATCTAGCCATTGCTGGAATAAAAGAATGTGCCAGCGGGCCCACTTTTTCTTTTTAAACGTGGGTTTTGGTGATCCAAACTCAGGTCCTCGTGCCTCTGAAGCTACTGTCTTACTGATTGAGTCATCTCCTCAGCTTAGATTTATTTTTTAACATTTTTTTCTTATTATGAGTGATTTTTCTTCCCACCCCACCCCTTTGAATACTTTTGCTCTTTTTTTTTCTGATTATTTGAAAATCCTATGCCAGTTGGTAGTGGTACAAGCCTTTAATCCCAGCACTCAGGAGACAGATGTATGCATGAGTTCGACATCAGCCTGGTCTACAGAGTGAATTCCAAGGCTGCACAGAGAAACCCTGTCTTGAGAAAAACAAACACACAACAACAAAAAAAGTCTTAATCCTGGTCTGTACTTTTTAAATGGTCTTTATGTTCCCTTTATTAGTATGTGAACCTGGCCCCTTGTGTCTCTTAATGCATCTTGGTGGAAGCCTGCATCATCAGATGTCCCAGAGCTATAGCAGCTTGTTCGCAGCCTGTTGGCTTGATAGGTTGACGTCCACACTGTGACTACTGGTCTGTGAGTGTCCGGCAGTGAGCTGTGTTTCCTGGAGACAGTTGTTGGCTGTGACTTTCCTAGTCTGGTCATCTAGTCTTCTCTTCTTTTAAATGATTTGACATTTTCTCCTGTATTTACAATGTGTTGTGATTGTGTTCACCCCCGTTGCCGTTTGGCATCCCCTTTCCTTTCCCTCTGAATCTTGTATTTTCCTACCTAGTTTTCCATGGCTGTACCGCTGGCTAATGCTAATGACTCCTAGAGCAGTCATTAGCAGTAATTAACACAGGAAGAGATGGGTCCTTGCAGATACCTCTGTCCATGATGGGAAATGTGCAGATGTGTGTAACTGCTGTGATTCATAACACTCTTGATCTTAAGTCCTTTCTGCCCTCTTTTCTATGACGTTCCCTGGGTCTCGGGAATGAAGGGATATAGATACTCTATTTTAAGCTGAACATTTATTCTTAGCACTTTGGCCAGTTATGAATCTACATTTACCGTCATCGTCTCCAAAAAGAGTTTCTTTGCCCTGGCTGAGGGCCACAGTAGTCTTAGACTAAACATAAATGTTTTGAAGACAGTTTGACATGTTCAGCAGTGGTGCTGTGTTCCTCACTTGGGCCCATGTCCTCCTAGTCATGACCAGGTGTATAGTATCAGGTGTCTATTCCCACAGAACAGTTGGGTATCCCACAGATAGCCATGCCACTGTTGCCCCAGTAGACATAATTCCCTGGCAGGTCAGTTTTGTAGCACACATGGTCTACAGCTGGGTGAGACTAGGGATGAGTTTCCCTCCCAGCAGCCTACATTGTGCCTTCCTACACTATAAACATTAGTAAGCAGAGAGGGAGTTTCCTATTCAGTCCTTTCCTCATTTCTTTGTCTCCTGAAACCAAAGTATATGATATCTTCAGTAAAAAGGCTTTTAACATCTGATTCTGGTAGGCAACCTAGAACAATGACAATAGCCTGTATAGTTTGTGTGTGCACGCGCGCACGTGTGTGTGTGTGTGTGTGTGTGTGTGTGTGTGTGTGTGTGTGTGTGTGTGTGTGTTTACAAGTGCCCTCTGAAGCCAGAAGAGCATGTCAGATTCCCTTGAGTTGGAGTTACAGAAGTTGTCAGCCTCTTGACACGGGTGCTTGGACCTGAACTCATGTCCCTCAGAAGCACAGCAAATGCTTTTAACTGCTGGGCCATCCTACATTCCCATAGCCTTTACTTTTTTGGGTTGTCTACAACCTCTTGGCAAACAACTGGGGAGGTATACTGCACCTGGCATTGGGGTTCTTGTTTAAGCCCATGACTTGTAGGAGAGCATTACCTATCCATGGAACTCGTCTGTATGTGGTAGTCCTCTAAGTATCTTTTGCAGTGATTGTTTGGTCATCATGAGTTGTCTTAGTTTGCCATGTTGTGAAATGTCCATTTCTCTTACCAATTAAAAAATATCTGTGTTGACTTTAGCAGTTGTGGTTAGCAGCTGTTTACTTTCAGGGCTTTAGTGTATCTTTCCATGTTTTTCTGGCTCTTAGGGTGGCTGATGAGAAGTCAGTTGTTATTCTGATGTGTTTGTCTTTGTAAATGTGTTGCTATATTTCCCTTGTAGCTTTTAATATATACATTAAATTATGTAATTTAATATATAATATTATATATTAAGATATATAAATACTAATTTTTTAATGCTACATCTTACATATCACAGGCTAGCCTTGAACTTGCTGTGTAGCCAGTGATGAACTTCTTATCCTTCTGCCTTTACCTGTTGTAGAATATTGTTTTAAGGTGTGTTACATTTGTTTATGCTCTGGAATATTTGTTTAATAATGCAAAAATGTGTTGTATTTGTTTCAGTCTATGAAGCTGTGTTACTTTGCCTGTCTGAAACACCAGATGGTCTAATAAAGAGCTGAAAGGCCAATAACAAGGCAGGAGAAAGGATAGGTGGGGCTGGCAGGCAGAGAGAATAAATAGAAGGAGAAATCTGGGAGGAAGAAGAAGAAAGAGCAAGAGAACAAGGAGAGGAGGATGCTAGGGGCCAGCCACCTAGCCAGCCATGGAGTAAGAGTGAAAGTAAGATTACAGAAGTAAGAAAAAGAAAAGCCAGAGTCTATCCCAGGTAGATGGGATAATTTAAGTTAAGGAAAGCTGGCAAGAAACGAGCCAAGCTAATGCCAGACATTTACAATTAAGAGTAAGCTTCTGTTTGTGTGATTTATTTCGGAGCTGGGTGGTGGGTTCCCCAAAAGAGCAAAAACAACCAACAATATCTACCTCCTAAGCACTGGGATTGTAGATGTTGAGTATCCATGTCTGGTTTTTTTGTTGTTTTTCAAGACAGGGTTTCTCTGTGTAACAGCCCTGCCTGTTTTGAAATTCGCTCTGTAGACCAGGCTGGCCTCAAATTCACAGAGATCCACCTGCCTCTGCCTCCTGAGTGCTGGGATTAAAGGCGTGCACCGCCGCCACGCACTGCCACCATGCCCCGCTTTCACATCTGGTTTTATACTAGGTGGGGACTGAATCGAGGTCTCTATACATATTAAGCAAGCATGATGCCAACTGACCTACATCTCCAGTCCTTTTGCAGCTTTCAATGTTCTTTCAAATTCTCACTGTTACATACCATGGAGAGATTCTTCTCTGCTCATGTCTAGTTGGGGTTCTAAATACCTCTTGTGTTTGGATGTCTATTTCTCTAGATTTGAGGTATTTTCTGTTGTAATTTCATTCAATTGTTTCTGTCTTTAGTGTTTAATCTCAGTTCTTCCTCTTAGCCTGTGGATAGATGTTCTTCTTAGGTTTCATCTCTTAATCATATGCAGAGTACTTAGACATTGTGGTTATGTTGTTTAGGGTTTTTTCCCCTCCTTATTTATTGGTATTTGAATTCAGTATTTCTTTTCTTTTGGTGTGTGTGTGTGTGTGTGTGTGTGTGTGTGTGTGTGTGTGTGTGTGTACGTGTGTACATGCCACAGTACACATGTGGAAGTTATAGAAAAACGTGCAGAAGTCAGTTCTCTCCTTTCTATCATATGGGACTCCAGAACTATAGTCAGGTTTGTAGGCTCTGCAGTAGGACCTTTTCCTCCATCAACCTAGTCTTCATCCTCATGCTCAGTCTTCTGCTTAGTTGAGTCTATTCTTAGTGGCTTCGGTGTAGTTTGTACTTAATTTATCTTTTCCCCAGAGTTAATTTATCAATTAAAAAACACACAGTTTCTCTGTGTTCCCTGACTGTCCTGGAACTCACTTTGTAGACCAGGCTGGCTTTGAACTCACAGAGATCTGCCTGTCTCTGCCTCCCAAGTGCTGGGATTAAAGGCATGTGTCACCACACCTGTCTTAGAACCCATTTTTTATTATTATAACTTTCCTTTTCTCAGGTCATACCTAGGCAGTTTTTAGTCTTCATCTTATGTAAGAGTCCCAGGGTCCCTTGTAGAACACATTCTGTTTTTTTAAATAAGTTTGGGACCAGAATTTGACCTCTGGATTCTGTTATAATCCTGTTTCATGTTATACCACTAAACTAATTCTTACTTTAAATGCATTTGTAATCCCTACATTATTTTGATGTGTTCAGTAAGTTTGATAGTTGAAATGTTTTTAGAAATTTTTAAAAACTATGTGCAAATGCCAAATAAATAATAAAATATGTGAAATGGCTTCTGCAGCATAATATAAGGTCTAATTTATGTGTTTAGCAAGTCTTTCAAGTTTATTGCTACTCCAATATGAATTTCCTCAGATTGAGGCAATTTAACAAAGGATTCAATTACTTGTGATCTTTAGTAGTAGCCTTAACATTTCCCGTATTCATTGATGATTAGAGTTTTACTAGGATTAAACTGTTTCTGGCTTTAAAGCTTACATGTGAAACCCGTCAAGCTTTTGTTCTGCTAAATATATCCTATTTTCCCTTTCGTTTGATCTTTTAGGGCTTTCTAAATACCGGCCATCAAGCTCCAGATCTTCCTTGATGCCCCAGCATTCATTAGGCTGTGACATCATACCAACCACAAAACCCCAGTGGAGTATGGAACTGTCCCGAAAGGGAACAGGTGCAGTTACCTGATTTTTTGTTTTGTGTTGTTTTATCTCAAGCAAATCTAAATTCAGAGTTAATTTTTTTGTTGTTTTTTTGTTTTTGTTTTTGTTTCTTGAGACAGGATTTCTCTGTGTAGCTTTGGAGTCTGTCCTACAGAACTCACTCTGTAGACCAGTCTGGCCTCGAACTCACAGAGATCTGCCTGCCTCTGCCTCCCTAGTGCTGGGATTAAAACCATGTGCCACCACTGCCCGGCTTTGTTTTTCTTTCTCTTTTTCTTTTTTTTTAAATTTTTTTTTCTTTTTCTTTTCAGAGTTAATTTATCAATTAAAAAATATTGTAGAGATAGAGAACTTAGTTTTCTTGTAATATATTGGTTTTATATTTTGTAAGTCTAAAGACTGTTTCAGGTTAGTATTTATCTGTTTCAAAAATTTGTGTTTCTGTCATAGAAAATTTGTAAATAAGAAGAAAAATAGATGAGAAAAAAAATCACCTCTCATTATGCTGTTGCATACCCATTGTAATACCTATAACTATTTGCTTTTGCCTTATAGTTAGATGTTAACTTCTATACAAACCTTAGAATCGGTATCACTGTACCTTTATATAATCCACGAATTAACCACTTACTTCTCACCCATTGCTCAGGATTGCTGTTTCAGTCATGAAAACTTAGTGCTAGACATATACAACTTTTATTTAAAGTATTCCATTCAGGGCTGGCAAGATGGCTCCATGGTGAATGTGGGTTCTGCCAAGCCTGACGACCTGAGTTTGATCCCCAGGACCCACATGATGGAAGGAGAGAATTGAAGTTGTTCTCTGAGCTACACACACACACACACCCACACACACACACACACACACACACACACACACACACACTTAAATTATTCCACAGTAATTAGGCTTTCCTAAGAAAGGTTGGTCAGCTCAGTCATACTTACTATGTATTCACTCATTTACATGGTCTTCTGCTAACTGTGTTCTTTGTTGCTTCTTAAGCGAAGAGTATAATCCAAATGAATAGCAACTGTTGGATGCTATCACCTACCAGGACACAAAGATTAATTTTCGAGTGTTGAAGGAAAAGGAATAGGAAAAAAAGCCCCAGAAGCAAAGTTACTTTTGATGAGTGGTTCTCCAAAAGTCATTAGTAAACCTTAAACATCTATGGATTTCTGCTTATGTTTCAGTGGGTGGATTTTGCTTGTTTTATATATGTTTTTGTATGATATAAACAGAAGAGTAATGTTTATTGATTTGAGAAAAGAACTTGGGGGCCATCTGTGATTAATAGTAGACTTCAGCCAAAAGCAACAGCTCAAAATGCTTTAGTGTTAAGACCATACATAGACCTAGAGCCTTTGTGAGGTGTGTACGTTTATCTAAGCGAGTCAGTCACACACTATGTTTCAGAAGAAATCTAGCTGGGACTTTGGCTTGTGTTTCCAGGAATGAAGGGATTGGAAGATTCTTCCCTTGGCTCCTCCCCTCACTTCCTCCTTCCTCACTCCTCTTGCCTCTTTTCTTGTTCTTTTCCTTCTCTTTCTTCTTGGGTGTGTTATGTGGTTTTTTTGTTTTTTTTTTTTTTTTTTTTTTTTTTTTTTTTTGTGTGTGTGTGTGTGTGTGTGTGTGTGTGTGTGTGGAGATTGAACACAGGACCTTCTACATGTTTGTTTGGTACAATTTCGCTAATTCATTATACCTATTACATGTTTACTACACATGGGGAGTTTTCTACTCATCTAAAGTTATAGCTTATGGAGTTTCAGACTTATTAACATTAGTTTGGAAATGATTCTTTGACCTTCTCCTCAGCCGTGTAAAAGTCAACTCTGCATTTCCTAGAGTCAAGTCAATTTCTGTTCCAAAAACAGTTTGACTGCATTTGTTTGACTTTTAGTGATGTGGCACATGAGCTATGTAAAAAGCAGATCTTTAACACTTAACGTGTATGGTTTGTATCATTGTTCTAGTACTACTTTGAAAAATACATTTTCAGTTTTATTTTCTAGTTTCTTTGTGGCATTGTCCAGTCTCATCATTTTGGAAGATCAGAGAAAGCTAAATGTAGGACTCGAGGTGGGAAATAGGGAAGCCTGAAATTGAGATTTAGCTGTTGACCACGTTAGGAAGCAAGAGTACGGTTAAATAGACGTCTATATTAAGCTTTAATATATTTTGAAAACATTGTGTTGCATATGCGTGTATGTGTGTGTGCACCCATGTGCTACAGCTCCTGTGTGGAAGCTTGGGGACATCATGGAGGTGTTGGTTTTCTCCTTCCATCACCGAGCACTCTGGTTGTTAGGCATGAGGCACCTGACCCACTGAGCCGTCTTTCTGGCTCTTAAGCTTTAATTTACAATGTTCTTAGTGTTCCTTCAGTATGTTGGTGCTGCTAGCTTCTGAAGGCTATTGACAGCACATGGTGAAAATTCACCGGCAATATTACTTAGAAGATTTTGTTTTACAAAGGGTAGTATTCTAAAGGGGTGTGTGTGTGTGTGTGTGTGTGTGTACATGCATGTGTGTGTATTTTGAAATTCAAATACAGCTTTTTGCTAACACATCATTACACTGGATAAAGTAACTTTTCTAAACACAACAAATAAGCAATAGAAGTATTAACCTACTTCCTTTCTCATTTGTACATTTATTTGTGTGAGTGTGTATGCACTTTTGTTACAGTGCACATGTAGAGGAGTTTGCAGGAGTCAGTTCTCTCCTTCTACCACTTGGGGTCCGGGTTCAAGCTCAGGTTGTCAGGCTTGGTGGTAAACATCTTTAGCTGCTGAGCCATTCCGCTCTCCTGGAAGACTAGAAAGGGCCAGCCTGGCTGGTGTAACAATCTTTCTGTGGGATCATTATTTACAGATCTGTCTTTTGGAATGTCAGAGATTCAGTGTTAGTCTAAACCAAGAAATATCAAGTAAGTTGGTCCTGAAGGGCAATTCCTCTCTTCCCGCCTCCTTTTGGAGCTGGGAATATGTGGGAGCAAGATTAGTCTGTGGCTGAGTTAGGTTCCTGAAAGAGCACAGTGGTAAGAGAAGGTCTAGCCTCCCTTCAGTCTCCAGACTAGATTAAAGAGCACATGTGGGCTTTGTGGGGCCAAATCTAGCTGAGGTCTCTTTTATTCGTGGTAGCTAAAACTTACAAAAAGTTTTGCCCTGGTTGCCTAAACGTGGAGAGACAGCATATAAAAATCTGGCAGAGTTACAGCTTTTCATGAACTATTTAAGGAAAAGTCCTTTGAGCAGTGTGCCTTTCCTCGTTTATGTTGTCTCCTCAGGTTCAGAGCTGTAGAGTGGGGGTCCCTTGCTTCCTTTATGCATAAGGTGAGGTGACTTGTCATATGTCTCAAGGACGTAGAGCCAAGGAGCAGGATGATATTCACCAATGGAAGTATGTTACAGACCTCATCTAGGAGGGTAGAAACAAAAGAAAACACGATGCTTTAAGTAAGATGGAGAAGACATGCATAGTTTGTTGGTAGAGGACAATGATGATATGCTTTTACCACCACCTCCTACTCTCTCTCTCTTTCTCCCTCTCCCCTCCTGTGTACGAGGGTAAAGAAGATGTTTCAGAGTATGATTTTGTGGAGGCAATGGGTCAAACCGTGGGATAACAGAGGAGAGGTGTAAGAGTCTTTCCCTTCATGAACTGACCCCCGTCCCCTTTTTCCAGAGGGAAGGAGAACAGGCAGGAAAAGCTGTATGGTTCTCTGAGTGACAGATTGGTCACCGTGGAGCCTCTCCCTCCCAACACTGAGCTCTCTGTGTTCACTGCAAGGTTGGGGCCGACAGGACTGTCTCCCAGGTTCATTTAGTGATGGCAGGCATGGAGAGCAGAGGGGAAGGGAGGGAAAGTGGAGCAGCAGGAGCTCCCTAGTGCTTTCTGTGTGAAGAGCAGAGTCCTGCAGCTGTCTCGCTCAGACTGCTGCATTATGTAACGCCTTCTTGCATAATTCAGAAAGCACAATTCTAGTACTTGAAATCTTACTTTGAAATTAAAACAATTTGTTTTAAAAGGCTTGGACGCTTTCCCTAGAGATCTTTCTTTTGGAACTCAACATGAAAAACAGACTGTTTTTTTTTTTTTTTTTTCAAACTTTAAATTACAATGATGTGTTTCAACATCTTTTTTTTTTTTTAATTTGATCTAAAGAATCAACGAATAGACTTCTTGTCTTCCCTAATAGAAACTGCTACAGGCTTTGTCTTAAATATGAACATATACCTCCCCAATGTAAACGAAGTCAATCAAAGTAGTAGATTGTTCACTGTTTCTTAAGCATTCTTATCAGATGGACTGCAAAGCTTGCAAGTTGGGCTTTTATTAAGTACTTTTGTTTGTTTTACATATGTTAAGTTGCCTACAGCTTGTTTGTTTGTTTGTTCAAATTTGGTCTCAGGGAAGCTTTTACATTCAACAGATATCTTTTGTATAACAAAATGGACAAATTACAGTATTTTGAATTATAGTTATTTCTTCCACTGCTATATCCACTATCTAAAATAGAAAAGGCATTTCACATCACTGAGGGGGGCTTTGCCAGCTTAAAAGTGAATCCTACTGAGCCATGCTGAACCATCTCCATGGCTCTTTTTTATTTTTAGAGTGTATTTGTTTAAATCAGTGCCCACAGAAAGTCCACACTGCAATCCTTTTATCATTTATCTTTTTAAATTTATATTCTAGTCCATATCTTTTTCTCTCTCCACCCTGCAATGTATTTGTTAAAGAAATCATATTTTTGTCTATAGTTTTCAGGTGTATAATTTTTCTGTTTACTTGTGGTAAAGTTAGCACAATGGAGTTCTTTGTAATTTCTGTAATTACAGTCCTATCTAGACATGTAATTGGATTCAGGTTTGCCAGTGTTGTGTATTTCCATTTGGAAATACCCAATATCTGGTTGACTCTTTTATGAGGTTAACTATTGTGGATGTTCAGGATCTAAATGTATTAACTCATTAAGGATTACAAAGTAATGTTTTTCTAATTAATCTTTCCATTTTTATTTATAGGATGACTTATTTCTATAAAGCTAAATTCCTCATCATTATTACTCAGTGGTAGGAGCCATATAGGAAAGTCTAGATAAACGTCTAATTCTCTCTGTACATTCAATAATTTTTAAAACAATGAGTGCATTGACCAGCATCCTTTAATGTTGATGTGTTTCAGTTCATAATACTTATTATCCAGGATTAGTATTGAACTTGCTGTATCTTTAGACAGCTTTTGAGGTTGACTCTGAGTCAGTTGGGCAGAACTTTAAGTTTCTTGCTGTTATATCTGGTGCCTCAAGTTCATCTTATAAATATTCTGATTCAGACTGGAACTGGTGCTTTGTCACAGGAGCCATTGATCCTTCACCCAGATTCTTGAAGCTAGTTAACTTCTTGTGTTCTCATAAAAGTCAAGCACAATTCAAGCTTTGTAGTCCAGATAGCTTAATGTGAGCTCTGAGGCCTGCAGGTAAAGATGAAGTCACCTTTGAAGTGGTTGTAGGTATTCCCTAGAACAGAGTAAACCACAGACATCCATGTGGCCTTTGCCTCTGCTGGGCAGCACAACTTGGAGGATAACCGCTGGCTTCTCTGAATTCCCAGCAGGTTGGCCAGTGTGTAGGAGTGATGATGAACCCTGTGCAGCACAGGCCCTGAGGCTCAGAGAAGCGCAGACAGTCAGCTTAGGCAGTCAGCGCACATGGTTGATGAAAAGACAAACAGTGAGCAGGGAGCTCAGCTGTATGTGTGCCTCGAACACTGCTCCTTTCCCTGCTGCCTGGCTCTGCTTTGTGAGAGAGGAGTCTGGTTTCCTGTACGTGTAGCCTGAGGAGCATACTTAATTCATTTAAGATTGAAATGAAGATCATATGATAGCACAGTTTCATGACTGTTCGAGTTTGCTCAGTCAGCAGATTATTAGAACTGAAGGGGGTGTTTGAGGACATTGAGTTGCTTTTTCGATGAGATTCAGTACATCCTAAGGCTAAGCGGACAGACTCATCTAGAACACGGTCTTCTGGTTTTCAGTTCCTGTCTTTTTTACTGACATGAGTCTTGTCTTTAGGAACATTTCCCTTCACAGCCTCTACTCTCCTGGGTCTTTACCATGTGTACTGGACCTTCAGAAGAGTTTCCCTTTATCTATATGTTCCCAGAAATCATCTAAGCAACTAAAGGAGTATTTCATTTTCACCAAGATACCGTTATCAGTAACTAAGATAGTGTATTTGTGTATTAATAATTTTCTAAGTCTAAGTGACTCAATAAAGCACTACCCTCCCCCATAATAGTTTAGGGCAGAGCAATATTTGAAGGAGTTATATTTTCATTGGCCAGTATAGATTTTAGTATATAGCACTCAGGTAGTCATTACTGTTTAATCATGGTACTTAGAAAATACTAACCTCCAAAGGATGATTTGCTCATACACTAGCATATGTAATATTTTTTATAGGCTAGATGGACCTAAGTTAGTTGACTTCTGGCCAAGATGCTGGCAGTTCTGTTGAACTAGTTAACTGTTGTATTTCAGTACTTCAGGAGACTGTCGTCAGCTTCCTCCTAGGATAGCTGTCCTTCTTACTATCAACAGACATTCATTGGTGTTTTCATCTTGAAGGTAAAGAGCAGCCGTTGGAGATGAGTGTGCACTCCATGGTAGCGGCTCCACTCTCAGTGTTTGCTAAGGAGTCGACGTCCTCTCGGCACAGCGAGCACCATCACCACCATCACCATGAGCACAAGAAGAAGAAGAAGAAGCACAAGCACAAGCACAAGCATAAGCACAAGCACGACAGCAAGGACAAGGACAAGGAGCCCTTTGCCTTCTCCAGCCCCGCCAGCGGCCGGTCTGTGCGCTCCCCGTCCCTCTCGGACTGAAGCTGTGCGGAGCCCTTCCAGAGTCCTGCCCAGAAGGCGGTTCTAATGCCTGGTCCTCTGTGCAGGAGGATGCAAGGGGGATATAGAGAAACTGAGAGTGCGCTTGAGGTCTGGCATTCAGTTTCTGTTCTCTGTATAACTGGGATCTAAGTAGGAACTGGTTTTTTGGTTCTGGATGAACTGTCCCGTCCCTTGTTTCTTCCTGGAAACACAGAGTGACTTCTTTTTATAAGAGCCTTCATATCCACTGCAGATCCATTCACATACTGGTCTCCTGTGGACTGCCAAGGTCAGGTGTGCTTGAAAGCCTTTGATGGGTGTCATGGGCAGAAGGACATTTCAGCAGAAGTAACTGCCAGATCTGGGATACCCAGTGTTTTCAGGAAGTGCTGAATAACACCACTTGGAATTGCTGGAAAGATGGACCTTTCTGTAAGACTCATCCTTCTTGGCTGCTTTCTGGGTTAGCCATAGAAAATAAGTACCATCATTTATGAGCAAAGAATCTTGTATTTCCTTTTACCCTAAAGTACAAAAAGTTTGGAAAGAAATTATTTTTAAAAACATTTGAAGTAACTATCTTTTGATAGTACATTTGGTGATTTTGAGGTTGCAATTTAGCAAAACAGTCAGATCCACTCTTCTTCTCAAATCAAGATGTTTAAATTACATTTTGTTTTGTCTTCCATTAAGTACAAGTGAATGTGTTTATATGTAAAATATGTGTTGCTGAATGTGGACAGTTTACACACATGATTCGTATTCTTTCTAAAATTACTGTGTATATAAGGCAGGCATGGTGCTGCATGCCTGTAATCTCAGTATTTGAGAGGTCGAGGTAGGAGGATCGCTCAAGACCAGCCTGAGATACATGAGAATCTGTATCAAGAAAGCAAAGTAACAAAAGTTACTGTCTATAACAAAATAGGATAATTTAAAAAGGTGTGTTTATTTGTTATTTATCGGCTTGGACATAATAATTTGGCCCACATTGTAGTATACCAACAACAGTTTAAAAATATGTGTGCAGTGTTTGGGTTTTATATTTTAACAGTTTGTATGGTTGTATGTTTTGTCTTGGTTATTTTGTTTTTTGGAATTTACCAGGTTCTCTGTTAATTTTTTTTTTCATATCCAGTTTTTGTCGTTTCCCTTGTTATTAAAACGTTGGACTAAATTCTTATTCTCAGAATAAATACTTCAAAAGGGATCCAATAATGCTGGACTTTTAAATAATAAATAACTTTTTAAGGTCAATATTCTGCTTTTGTATCACTATCATTTTTGTGACCTTCCTGAGTGTATGTGAATGATGTGCCAGTGCATATTTGCGAAGAGCTCTGAACTGAGTGGAATTTGAACTGTCCACAGTAGCAGGGTAATTTCTGTGGACTGAGATGAGGGTAAGGTCTCAGCAGAAGAAACAGTATTTAAGGTACTGCAAGGATGTATGCAGGAACTAGAAAGCAGTGAACTTGACCTGGACTGCGAGCACACAGGAAGTGTGATCAAGTGGTGTGTGTTTGCGTGAGTTGAGATCTCACTCTGCACTTCTGGCTCCTTGGAACTCACTGGAGAGCAGACTAGGCTTGAACTCATAGAGATCCATCTGTGCCTTCCAACAGCTGGGATTAAAGAAAGTCATGTGCCATCACAGTTAGGCCTGTGATCAGGTGTTGAAGGGCCTAAATGACCCTTACTGATTCAAATTAATTACATTTTGTCCAATTCCAATTAGTTTGAAAAATAGAAATTTTTATATTATGGTGTGCAATAACATGGCATACAGAACTTGGAACTTTGACATTTCAAAAGAATTTTTTGTGTCCTGGGCTGAAGAAAGTAATATAAGCCAGCTGCTGTATACATAAGGCACAGTATTGAGACTTGGATTCATCTGTGTAATTATAAGCCAGATACTCAGAACAGATACTTCTCCGAAAGAACATTTTATGGTGACTCCAAATACTTATGCTGCTGGTTCATAGCAGACAATAAAAAAATTGTCTCTGGATTTGAGAATTGCTGATCATACATGGTCAACATAAACGTGAGTGTGTCTCAGTCTCCTTCCCCAGAGGCAGTTTTTAACAGTATTTTGTTATTTGGGACTCATCATATACATTTACCTACATATATACACATAGTAGCTCTTCAAACTCACGACAGCAGATGATACACACTTGCAGAAGTTGGTTATTTTTATATTTTCTGGTTTCAAAATGATGTCATAGTAAAAAGGTTTATAATTCTGATTCTAGAAGAATTCTCCTTTTGTTGTTGTTTAGAATATTTTTTAAATGTTTTTGACTTCTTTCATCCAGAGAGAATTTACCTTGAACTTACTAATGAAAGATACATAGCGATCCAGTTTCTCTTTGCTTCCCAAATGATACTCAACACAGTGTATTCAACACTAAATTTCTCTGGATTTCAAATATTGCATACTGAATTTCTTTATAAATTCTGGTCTACTTTATGGATCTGTCTACTGTGATAGGTTTTGATATGCTAGAGCTGATCTTTATTACTTTTCAGAATTGTCTCATAGGTTATTTCTTTTTCTTTTTAGCTTATAATTAACGTATGTCAAGTAAATTTGTTGTAGTTTGTACTCCTTAGCTTTTTTTTGTTTGGTTTGGTTTTGGTTTTGGTTTTTCAAGACAGGGTTTCTCTGTGTAGCTAGCCCTGGCTGTCCTGGAACTCGCTCTGTAGACCGGGCTGGCCTTGAACTCACAGAGACCCGCCTGTCTCTGCCTCCCGAGTGTTGGGATTAAAGGCGTGCACCACCACTATCTGGCATGTACTCCTTAGCTTTAACAGATACTTAGATGACATTCCACCCTCACAGCCCCACCACCCTCAGAATACCCTTCACCCTGCCAGGTGTGGTGGTGCATGTGATTCTCAATCTTCCTAATATAGTTCCTCATGTTGTGGTGACCCCCAGCCATAACATTATTTTCATTGCTACTTCATAACTGTAATTTTGCTGCTGTTATGAATCATAATGTAAATATCTGTGATGGTCTTAGGCGACCTCTGTGAAAGACCCTCAAAGGGATTGTGACCCACAGGTTGAGAACCATTGTACTACAACCTTGACTGGCCTGGTAGTCACATAGCTCTACCTGCCTGTGGCTTCTACATGTAGCCTTTGCTCAAAATTGTTTTTTGTAGCTGATGTTCAACTAATTATAATACCTTAATGTGTTTTTTCTTATTAGGGATGTTGTTATTACTATTAATACAGTTATTTCTTTTAAGATTCATGATAGGGTAATTTATCATTTACAGTCCTGCTGTGGTTGTACATGTCTTTAACCTAGCACTTACGAAGTTGGGCAGGAAGGTCAGAGCTCAAGGATAATCTTGGCTGTTGACCAAGTTTGAGGATATTTTAGACCACAAAGCCGAAGAGATTCTAATGGAACTCATTTATATTGTATAAATCATATTTTTCATTGTATGACTATTCTTTCCTCTATACTGGTTTTGTGCTTGGCTACTGTACTGAGTACTCATTTGCAACATTTAGAGGCATTATCCTATAAATAATGGTAGTTTTATGGCTTTTTATACATTGAATTTTCTATTTTCTCCTCTTATGCGATGTCTTTCGCTTGCTGAATGAGAGCAGCCGGGCTGGCCGTCCACTCAGCTTTGTGCTGCCATTTACCTTCTCTGTCCTTGGCAGTCCTGTCTTGTGTGTTGTGGGTTAGAGTTTTACGTTTTTGTTTCTGGGAAATGGACATTTGCAGCTTTGTTTCTTGTTCTTATGCAGATGATTCTTAAAAAGAGCAGAAAGGCTGGTTGTTGCCATCAAAGCCTCCCAGTCTACTTAAAAGGGTGATTCTAATCCAAATGCAGTGAAATCCTTGCTGGGGAAAAGTAGACAGCTATTTGTTTCCCACTGCCTGTGGCTCGTCTCTTCTCTCTTCAGTTTTTATTGTCAGTGAAATTTCTTGAGATCAAGTGTACACTAGCATGGACCTGATTTTTCAGCATTCTCAACTGCTGGCACCATTGGCTTTTAGTGTAGCCTAGCCTTAGTGAGTTGCTTCCAGAGAATAATATATATATATTCATACAGAATGCTGACAGATACTGCCTCACCTGTCCATGGTAACCAGCAGTGATAAGCTGTGCTGATGTGCCTTTCATGGGGCCAGAGAAATGGCTCAGAGGACCTTGGTGCAGCCAAGGGAAGTCTGCCTACGGGAAGTCACACCTATCTGTAACTCCAGTTCTAGCCTCCTCAGGCACTGCACACATGTGGAGCACATACATACAGGCAAAATATCCAGACACATAAAAATATATAAATCTTTAGGAAAAAAAAGTTTGTGTCTTCCATAATGTGATGTTGGAGAAAGGCACCGTGTCTGGGATGAGAACTCATGTTCTCAGTGTCTGGAGTCTATAATCATGAGGAAAACAGAAACCTAAGTAGATGACAGTTAATCCTCAAAGCTGTTACGGTTGTAGGGAACAAGGGGAAAAAGGAAATTCAGGTCACAGGCGAGTAAGAACAATGCACTGTGTTTCTGGTGTGGGTCCCGCAATAGGAAAAAAGACTTTGGTGGGGAAACAGTTGAAATTCAAGTATGTTCGGGAATTTCTTTGATGTACCAGTGTGGTTGCTATGGTTCCAGTGTTAGAGTCCCCTAAAAATCTGTATGTTGAACTCTTCCCCCTCCCAGATGATGATTTTTTTAAAAGTAGGAACTTTGAGATGTGATTAGGCCATGAGAATCGAGTCCCCATGGGATTGGCCCTTTTTTTTCTCCAGTTTTTAAAATTTTTTATTTATTTAATTTTGCAGTATCCCTTATTTTACATTCTGCAGTATCCCTTCCTCCCCTCCCATCTTCACCCTCCCACCTTCTTCTACCACCACCCCCATCCACTCCTCCGTTTCTGTTCAAAAAGGTACAGGCCTCCTGTGCATATCAATAAAGCATGGCATATAAAGTTGCGGTAGGACTAAACACCTCCCCTTATATTTAGGCTGGGCAAGGTGGGACTAGCCCTTTCTAAGAGAACCCAGAAAGCCAGCTTGCTTCTTCGACTATGGAGGCACAGGAAGAAGGCCCACTCATTAGCCAGGAATTAGTCCTTTTTGGATGCAGAACCTGCCTGGCATCTTGAACTTGAATCTCTCAGTCTCCACAATGGGAAATAGTTTAGTTTAGTTGTTGTTTATAAGTTACCCAGCTTGTTGTATTAGCTGTAGCTACCTGTGTGGACTAAGTCATTTTTTTTCTTTAGATTTGATAAATGTACTGTTATAAGATGCTAACAATGGGGAAAACAGATAAAGGTTATATAGAAATTCTTGTGTGGTGGCTCACGCCTTTAATCCCAGCACTCTGGAGACAGAAGCACGTGGATCTCTGAGTTCAAGGCCAGTCTGGTCTACAGAGAGTTCTAGGACAGCCGGGGGGGCTACACAGAGAAACCTTGTCTCAGAAAAAAAAATGTGTGTGTATGTGTGTGTGTGTGTGTGTGTGTGTGTGTGTGTGTGTGTGTGTGATGTGTAGATGCCCTGTGGAAGTTAGAGAATGACTCAGCTTCTCCCTAGGGATCAAAGACTTAGTGGCATGGATCTTTAGCCATGGAGCCATGTAACGTAATGCAACTTTGGACTGCCAGCTCCCAAATAATGACACAGAGACTTATTATTAATTATGAAAGCTTGTCCTCACTTGGGCTTGTTCCCAACTATCTCTTAATCTAACCCATTTATATTAATCTACGTTCTGCCACATGGCTTGCTACCTCTCCTCAGTACCCTACGTCCAACTTCCTCCACATCTCACCAGCAAAATTCCCCATCTCAGATTCTTCCCGGAGTTCCTATCTCTGCCCAGAAGTCCCACCTATCCTCTCCTGCCTAGCTATTGACCATCCAGCTCTTTATTAAACCAATCAGAAGGTGCCTTAGGCAGGTGAGAAAGGACAGAGACACATCTTCACACAGTGTGATCAAATATCCTGCAACAGAGCCACCATGCCAGTCCAATTATTTACTACTTCAAGTAATAGCAATTTATATTCCTCACATCAGGACTTTGTGGAAAATATTTACACTTACTTAGCAGAAGAATATTTGGAGAGAAATCAGAGATAGCAGTGCTCCTGATCTAAATCTTAGAAACTGTGAGGAGAAAAATCAAAAGAACTTTTAAAGAAGAAATATAGTAGTTGAAGAGTTTGTAGTTAGATTTTGTCAACCTGACACAAACTTGAGCCCT